TTTAAGCGCTAGCAGTCGCCAGACGCTGACTATAAAAATAATTAATATTTTAGAAGACTGAAATCATGAATTCGTGTCGACTCAATCCAGCAGCATCAATTATTTTCCAGATACATTTTAGGCTCAACGGAATTTGTGTGAAGTTTGGGCTTCGACGATTCCAGGTCTGTTCCTGAAATACTGAAATAGATCATAGCTCGCTGATGATTTGCCAGAAATTTTTGTCGGCTCCGAAAACCCTGGCAGCATTGTCGACGTCAAACGACCGAAGGGGATGGCGGGACCTTCAAATTCGTCTCAAGACACATTTTTAAAATTTCGTCAATGTCGTTTGACTCTGTATGGCCAACAGGCAATGAACACAGCTTTGTTGAAATATGGCCGGAAAAAAAATGAAATCAAAAAAAAAAAAACAATGCGTGACGGTACTATAATAGCTGTGGACACCAGTTGCAAGTCATTTGAGATGTCATTGTTGTGTTGTATCATTTCCGGCGACGACACGCCTGCTTGTCGCCTCGCCTCATCTTCGCGTCTTCAAAAATAAGCGAGACGCTTCGACGCTCTCGAAAAATCGCCCACTGTCTAATCGATTCGAACTCTTAGTGATTTTCGATCAGCTTTTCGTCAACCTCATTTTTCATCGACATTCATGCTCCTTTTTTCCTTGACGATTCTTTTTGTCATTCAATTCCAAGTTTTGTTTTTCTATCACTGATTGTTTCCTTTTTTTCAAAAAAAAAAAATGAAATAATTGAAAAACACGAGAAAATATCGATTTTGTCGGTGTGCCATAAAAATTTTTTATTGTTTATTACAATAAGTTGAAGCTCACGACGACGAAACAGATGAAGAAGAATACGAAGAGGGTGAAGTCAGTTTGTCGTTTTACCCGACGCGAATTTTTTCCCTCCACCTCATCGATTTTTTTTTCTAATTCGATTTTTCATTTCTTGCAGAAATTCGAATTCAAATATGGTTTGAACGTCTTCGTGGCGGACGAAAAAAACGAGACGGCGGATTGGAAACATGTAAGTTATCTCCGCGAAAAAATATCAATGGCGTCGTAAATCGTGCCCCTCCCTCATTTTTCAATTGATTTTCTAAAAATATTTAAAACTGATATTTTGCGTGTTTCTCTTGAATTTGTCAGTCCTTACTTTTGAAATTCCAATGAATTTTATTATCGCAAAATTTAAAAATTTGAATAGTCCGCAAAAGTTCGTCATGGTACTACGGTCGCTGAATTTCTGTGATTTTCAAATTTTTATTTTTTCTCTTTTTTTTTTAAATTTCTTGCAATTTTGAGGGATACTTTTTTAAATCCAGATTATTTTTTTCCAAACCTCCTATATATTCGTTTTCCTTTCATTATTTCATTATTCCGATTTACATTTCCCAGTTTTTTCTACATAAATGATTCGACTAATTCTGACAACATCGCTCTGGGACCTTTTCAACTTTTTCCTTTCAGATTTGATTTCGATTCCATTTTCAACTACCGGTCCCTCAAATTTTTTTCTAATCTCGTCTGCGAATCTTTTCGGAATTCTTTTTGTTCCATCGCATGCACCTCACATCAATTCTCGTCTCATATTTCGTCCCGAAAATTCTCGCCGCGTTTATTTTTAAAGAAAATAATGTTTTACTGCACGTTTGCAAACGCAATTCCCTTAAAATTCCCGATTTTTTTTTCATCTCCTAGTTTTTTTTCACCCAAAAATGCGACTTTTCTTCGTTTTTTTTCTTCTTCTCACATTCATTTGTCCGTCTTCTCCATCAATTTTCTTGTTTTTTTTTAATTAAGTTTTGCGTCAATTGGATTTTATCTGTTTTGCACACCTGTCGCTCACATGATATGTGTACTTTGCGTTCTGTAGTGTTCGCCAGAAAATAATATGTCGAACGCACAATTTTAAAGTTAAAAAAATCACCTTAAACTATTGATCCTTTATTTTCACTTTAAAAAATGTATTGCGACAAAATTTGTGTGATTTCCCAATTGTCAAAATCCCAAAAAATATAATGTCTATTGCCTCGAATTCGATACCGCACCGGTCACTTTTTGGCTTACTTTGGTGTATTTTAATTAAAAAAATTTTTTAAACATAATTTTTGAAAAAATTTTTGTATACTTTTTTTCAGAAAGCTGTAATCATTGCCTAATTGAATTGAAAATTTTATTTAGTAAATTTTGTTTTAATTTCCAAAAAAATATTTTAGAGAGGATTTTTGAAAAATCAAATATTTTCCAAGAAATTTTGAGATAAATTACCATCAATTTTATTCCATCGTTTTCTATTCAATCTATTCATGTAATGAAAATGTTAAAAATTGCAGAGGTGTAAAAAATGCAAATTTAATGTAATTTTGTTTTTGTAAAATAAATTTCTTGAATAGGTCCAACGTCGCCCGACTCATTTTTTTCAAAAAAATTAAAAAAAAAATAACTGGCAACGCATTAATTGCAAGGTCTTACAGACAGCGAAAAACTCTAGTAGACCCCATTTTTGGGGCGAAACCCCCTATAACATCAATTTGTACTATAAATTCCTTTTTATTGTGGTCGGCCCTCAAAATAATCGCGAAATCACGTCAATAACATGAAATGATCGGCCAACACAGAAATCTCGTATTTTCGTGAGACGCGATGGCAAACAAAATTGACTTTTGTCCCACAACACCGAGATTGGTCCGAAAAAAAGTGAATGCCATTAATTTTGGTGTCGAAATTTTTCGAAAATCCAAAGGACCCAATTTTATTTTTTTTATTGTGATTGCATTGGTAGAAAAATTGACAAATTCGGCAATTTTACAAAAATCGAATAGATTTAAAACATGTCCGTAGTACACCGAGCCAACATATTACAGACATTATTTTAATTGAATCACGCCAAAAAATTTTTTTTTGAAAAATGCCTTGTTTTCTCTTTCGGCAAAACCGAGACAACCCAAATTTCTTCGTCAAACTTTTTCTTGCAAATCCCCTTTTTGTTTTCCTTTCAAAAAATAAAAATAGTCGCATTCCATCATTAAAATGTCAAAACATTCGAAAATTCTTAATCGCCACCATTTCTTTTTTTTTCTCTCTCTCGTTATTTTCTTCGCCGACCTTTTTTCCGATTTGTTCGCAAATCCTACACACACACACACACACACAAAAAAAACTTCCTCAACACCCATTCATTATCGTAAAGTCGATGCGAGACACATTTCATGCATAAATCGGGTTGGCGACGCAACAGAAATAAAAGTGGAAAAGAAAAGAAATTTGATTACTCCCGACCATCTGGGGACCCGCCGGGGGTTTGAGGGGATGTTCATGATGATGTTGATGCTGCCCGACTCCCTCTCTCCCTCTCGGACCATCACGATTGAACAGGTGTTGGGTTGTGTGTAACTAACTAGCCGACAAACTGCGTATCCACGTTGCATTCGTTGCCTTCAGGCGGCGAACAATTGTGCTCTAGAAGACGCTCTTTCTTGTGCACTCGTTCATCGCCTTTTTCTCTTTCGCTTTTTCGTCGTCGTCATTTTTCGAGGAAGACGCGTCGAGAGCTTTGAGCGAGAAAAAAAAATCCCCCGACCCCTTTTTCCCGATTTACGACACCATTATTATTATTATTATTATTCAATTTTTGACCGTTACGGGTCGCTATATATATTGTTATTTTTTTTTTCCTGTGACATTCGAGACGACGAGTTTCAGTTCGCCGCTGAAACTCACCAACCGTATTCAAACTGACTTCGACGATTGGAGCACCGCGCTTAGGCGTCACGCCTCGAGCCATGAGCCAGGCAAAAACCGAGTGAGTTGCTTGTCTTTTTTTGTTCTTCTGGCATACAATTTTTCAACCCACCCAAATTTTTGGCATTCTTTTTCTTGTAAAAAAAATGAACATCATCAATTCGATTTCCACCGACCAGTGTTTGATTTTAAGCTTATCGCATTCGTAGTTTGACCATGGGTTTTGTTTGATTTGTAACAGTTAAAAAAAATCGAGAAAGTGGTTACTGTAGATAGTCCACAATTATTGGCACCGCCCGATTTTCGCGTTTACATTTTATTGACAAGGTCAGGTGTCGGAGAAGAAAACCGCTGTGAGTGAAACGCTAATCAATAACAGAGATTGTACGTCGAAAAATTTGGGGGTTTCGGTTCTAAAGGGTCAATGAAGTGAATTTTTTTTTCAAATAGTCATTATTTATTTTTTTTTTTAAGTTTTGACCCATAAATAAAATTGTTAAAATTGCCGAAATTGACAAATTTTTGAGTGAATCCATTTGGATACCCTTGGGACCATCATCGTCGGCCCATAGAAAATTAGAAATGAATTCGAACGTCAGCAGACTTTTAATTGTGTGTGTGTTTTTTTTTAATTTTGAGTTTTTTCGAAATATGCGCTAAAAATTATCGACCCCTGGAGTATTCGACAATTTATCCAACAATAATTTGCGTTGAGAAACAAAAAAAAAAAGAAAACTCGAACCATTCTGTTTGAACAAGGTGTAGAGCACTTGAGATTTGGCGAAGCGCCAATCAGTTTCGTCAATCACAATTCTGACCAGTCGGCGATGATTTTTTGGCGAGAAAAAAAAATGAATTGCTGGTCGACTGGAATTTTTCAGAGCAATTCGTCTTCTTCTTTTTTTTTTCTTATTTTAATGCCCATTGTAAAATGTGCCAGAAATAGCGCTCAATATTTAGACAACCATTTGGTAATCATTGAAGGGGGGGAAAAAAAAAGAAAGTCTCACAATAAAAATGTAAGAACGTGTATAAATAAATATTTGCGTTTTGTTTGGGGGGGGGCTCGTCTATTTTCGCGCAGAGACCCTCAATTTTTCTCTCTCGCCGGTGAGAGTGCGCAGATGGTTAGACGGTACTGTTGTTGGTTGGTTGGGGGGTGCTTGCGCGAGTGTTGGCGGGGCCGCCTCAAATCGTCATAGTTCGGCCATACGCAACGCCGCTTTTTGGTTGTTTGGGTGGATTTCGCGAAATGGATCCGCCACCAGCGCCCATGTTCCCAAGATCGCGACTTTATCACAGGTTCGAGTCAATCGTTTTGTGAAAATTTCGAGTGTTTTTTTTTTAACTAATTAATTAATTAATTGCCAAATTTCAGTTATTATTCCGAGGAGCAGACATTCTCGGCGCCATCGGCGAACACCCAAAAAGGCACCGCGCTACCGTCGAAAGTTTATAGTAAAGGACTCAAGGTAGCCATTTTTGTTTTGTGCTATGCTATATTTTTGTTTGCTCATCACAGGATTTGGAAGACAATGACTTCGAGGGACTCCTTTCGAAACTCTCGATCGACGAGCTTGAAGACCTCAACAATGATTTCGATCCAGACGTGAGTCCATAGAAGACGAAGAAGAAGAAAGAGCTTGTGTCTCCCAAGTGCACCCAAGTTGATTGAAATACACGGTTGAAAGAGATCGAGAGAGAGAGAGAGAGGGGATATATGTGAGTTGAGGGAGTGAGTGAGTGCTTTTCGGCTGCCCCACGGAATGATCACTCTTTGCCATTGCAATGTATTGGTATGTGTGTGTGTGTGTGTGTGGACATAGGCAAAGATTCATGTGACGAGCTTTCTGCCGGCTCGGCAGCACACACCAAAGCGATTGAGAGGCATAGGAATGGGGGAAAGCGGAATGAGTGAGCCGCTCGCCACAAACCGAATTTATTGATTTTATTTCGACCGGATAATTTGTACAGGACTTTAATGGACGGTTGATGTGTTTAGGAATAGACGACGTTTGAAATCGAGAAATCAGCATTTTATTGATTTTTTTCTTTGTTAGTGATCTCTGATGGAACTCGTTGGGAGAATGAGAGGCCGAATTCGCGTGGATTCTAGAAAACATTTCTTTTTTTTTTGGTATACTTCATGATTTTGAATTCCCGCTTTTGGGTCTCGTTTTGAACCAACTCTTAGGAACGAGTTTTGTTCAATTCAACCATTATAATGTGAAATAATTTAAAATAAAAAATATTATAAAAGAAATGTTCCAATTTGATATAGCGAGTTATAAAAAAGTTGGAGCAGACGGCAATTATTTTGATAATACACGTGGATTTCGAAAATTTTTCTCTGCGATTTGTTTTTGTGAAAAAAGCTCTCTTGAATCCGAACGAATCTCAATAGATTGAATTTCGGGTTCAAGTATTTTTGAGGTCAGGTGATGGAATGTCTTGTCATTTGTTGCGATCATATGGGACCAAAAAAAAATTGTTTGAAAAATTGAAGGGACAGAAAATTTCGTGAACTGGGGGCTTGCAGAAAAAATGCATCGACAGGGGGGGGGGAACTTGATTTTTTGCCAAAAATTGTCACTGTTTTTTTTTGTTGCTATTTCCACAAAAATGGTTGGCAAAAAAATGCGAGACATCGTTTAAAATACGAAAAATCACGTTGAAAATTTTGGCGAGACGAGCGTCGAAAAGTGGCTGGAAACGCCGGAAGGTGCACAGATCACCTCATCCTCCTCTCATTCGCCCCAACTCTTCAGAGTCGAATTCAATCCATCATCCATCCGTCCGAGGTCCCATTAATTTTTATGAAATGTGAGGCAAATTGAACCGGTGTATATCGAAAAAAAATTGTGCGGCGGCCAATTGTTGTTGGGCTCCATCGCTCGCTCGTCAGTCATATGAATATTTTTTCGTGTCGAGACGACGCCATGCAAAATTCGGCTGACGACGACGACGATGACGAGCTGGTAGGTGATTTCTGTCCAAAAAAAACGCCCAGTTTTAGTGGATTTACGAGTACACCTCTCGAAATGGTCTCGCACCGACTATATTCAAGCAAAAATTGAGCAGTGCGCGTGAAAATTAAAAAACAGGTCTTCACGCGTGGCGAGACCACTTCGAAAGGCGCTCCCTCGTAAATCTACATCAGAGTGCCGACTATATTTCCTCAATAATTTTTTTTGTTCACGTTTCCCACCAACAACCCGTACACCGAACACGATACTATTGACTTATTTTTGTTTTGTTTGTGAAAGTGGATTGTGAAGAGTTGAGATGTCTTGTGACGGCGATTATTCGAAATGAGTCGCTTGGAGAGGCGACAAATCAATAGGCAGAAGCAAAACTATGTATATGAGAGAAATGCGCGCGTTTCTAGAACTCGATGCTACCGCCGTCGCAGCGATGCCGCGATCAGACGTCGAAAACGCCGACGGGGCCGTACAAACGCGAGAATTTGCTGAAATTTCTCGAGGAGAAGGCGAAAACCGAAAAAGATTGGGACGATGTGTGCCCGTATACGCCGGGAATGAAGCGAGGTGGGGTTGTCGACAAACACGCTCGAATCGATTGATGCGGTTTCGTCTTTCAGGAAAAGTGTACGATAGCGATAGTGGTCGGAATTCGGAGGAGCCGGACGCCGGCATCGGCAAAATGGAGATGCCGATCGAGTTGGATCTCGATGAGGACGAGGAGGAGCTCGAGTGCGCACTCGTCACCGCGCCCGAAAAAGATCTTGTCGATTTGGCGGGAATTTTGGGTGCGCATCATTTCTTTTTTTTGGTCTAGTCGTCGTCATTTCCAGGAATGCACAATGTTCTCAATCAGCCGCAATACTACAACGCGCTGAAAGGCAAATCGCAAGATGAGACGACGGGCACGACGTTCAACGGAATTGTGCAATCGTACGTGCCGCGAATTGTGCCCGATGAGCCCGACAATGATACCGATGTGGAGGCGTGCATAACGTGAGAATCGTCTCGTGTGTTCTTCATTTCGTTTTTGTTTCCTTTTTCCAGACAACTTCGCGAAAACGATCCGGACATGAAAGAAGTGAACATTAATAATATGAAGCGAGTGTCGAAGGAACGAATTCGGACGCTCATCGAAGCCGCGTGCAATAGTAAACATATCGAGAAGCTCTCGCTGGCCAACACCGCCATTTCCGATAGTGAAGCCCGGGTAACGTTTTGTTGGGTCTTGAAGAAATTGCAATAAGCGAAATTTCTGTATAGTTTTGATACTGTACATCAATTATTGGCTATCCGAAATTCTGTTGAAATTGTAAAAATTGATGGTTTGTTTTTCAGGGACTCATTGAGCTCATCGAAACGTCGCCGTCATTGCGTGTGCTCAACGTCGAATCGAACTTTTTGACGCCCGAACTTTTGGCGAAATTACTACGAGCAACACTTGTCACCCAATCGATTGTTGAATTCCGAGCCGACAATCAGGTTTTGGCCAACAAAAAAAAAGAAAAGAAAATAATAATAATTTTCAGCGGCAATCGGTTCTCGGCAATCAGATTGAGATGGACATGATGATGGCGATCGAGGAGAATGAATCGCTATTGCGTGTCGGCATCGCGTTTCAATCGATGGAAGCGAGGCATCGCGTCTCGGAGGCGCTTGAACGGAATTATGAGCGAGGTATGTACTATCCGGCTGGAATTTTCAGTATATTGTTGATGTTCTGAAAATCGTCAAAAATGTTTCGAATTCTCCCTCCTGGGACCACCACCGCCAAAATGATGTATTTTTGGTCTTGAAATTAATTTGCTCAAAATATTAGGCGCCCACACAGCGAGCTTCGCGTGTTCATTGTGCACAACACGAGTGAGACATTGAGAATCACGGGTTGAACGGTTGAGAGAACCCAGATCATCGGCAGGCCCGCAAAATTTTTTCGCGCTTCGTTCTTTTTTCTTGTTTTTGCTCGGAATGCGAGAATTGCGTCATTTCTGCTAAAACAAGATGTTTTTGAGTTTTTCTTTTTTCTCAATTGGTGGACGAAATTTTTAAAGGCGCATCACTGAAACGGGATTCACGTTTACTGTAGTTTTCTATCCCGATTTTTCACCCCCATTCTCTCGGATGGAATGACCTTTGACCTTTTGAAAGGGACTTTGGAAAAATTGCAATTTATCCTATATTCTCGTACGTTCGAGACCCAATGTAATTCAGTCTCTGAATGACCTTTGACCTTTGAAATGAAATGTGGAATAGAAACCCGCAGTGGGCAATCGTGGTGCGAACCAGCAATGGAGGCTTCTCTTTTCGTTGTGAGATCTGAGACCTGATGTAAGGTACAGGAAAAAGGGAGGTTATTGAAATATTGGCTGCAAGAATAATAATGTGATGTCCCTTTAAATCAAATGCGAAGAACGCCGCCAATGATTATTAGATTTAATGGAAAATATGTCAAACTCCAGTATCGCGAAAACTTCCTATTTTTCGTTGTGAGACCCTCTAGCGCGCAAAAAATCCAACCTGTCGAAATGGATTTTCATGTTTAGTTTTTTTTTTGAATGATATTTTTTTTCAGTGCGCTTGCGACGTCTTGGCAAGGATCCAAATGCTTAAAACAAGACAAAAAGAAAAGACTGTGTATTTGAAATCTCTTGGTTGCAGCCAGTGGCCCCCCCGATCTACATCGAAATATTTTCGACATTTTATTCCCTATTGGTTTCTTTTTCTATTGCAAACAAATCCCTCTTGTCGTCATGTTCGCTTCTTGTCCGCGCGCGCAACAAAAAACTCTGAGACAAGGTATATTTTGTATATTTACATGTATTTTTGAATCAATATTAGATCATCATCTAGAATGAGCAATGCCGCCCAGGAGTTTCTCGAGGGCGCAAAAAAATCGTTTTATTTTTTTTCATCAAAATTGGGTATTATTCTATTATAGTTGGCTATCATCCCCCCCCCTTCCCCCATAAGCGAAATGAACATTTTTAATCAATCCCCACACCGACCGGCTTTATACAAATTTCTTGTGATCATTGTATCCCCCTACCCATGAATAGCTTGTTTTATCAGCATAATTCTCTCTTTCTTTTTTTTTGGTGTTTTAATTCAAAACATTTTTAACACGAAACATGTGATTGTCTTGATAGAATATGCATATATGAAGTTTGAATTTTTTTTTGAGAGAGAATGGCAAAGAAGCGGCTAGGATTTATTCAATTGAGAGATCTTCGGACAAACCCATATTTTTTCATCGAAGAAAGGCACACTTACAATCAGTTTTCGAGATCAATTTGAGATTATTCGCACCAAAATATGAACAATTATTGGAACGTTGGTATATGGATTGCCGAGGCGTTCCATAATTGTTGGGGTAGTCGAGAATCGGTTTTGAACGCTGGCACCTTTTCCAGAAGTGACAAAAGTGGTCCCATCGATCCCATAAGGGTGTCCATGAGAAGGTCCAGCGAACCATTCACAGTTCCGAGCTCATCGGCGCGAGTCACCGCCGCCGATCGGACCGCGTGCGCCATCATTCGGAAAGCAGCGGCCGTGTCCGCAGCAGTCGTTCCAAAATCCCTGAAATCACAATCATAGGTAATTTTGTCATCGGAAAAAAAGTATGTGTGGACAAAATAACGCTTAAGTTGAATTTGTTGATTTTTCGCGTTAAAAAAAACATATTTTTGTTATTTTTCGATATTTCGCTCTCAAAACAAACAAATTTTAGAATCAATTTTTTCTCAGAGAATTTCCCTGCGATGTCCTTCAAATTTGGGTAAGCGAAAAAAAAACAAAAATGCAATACCGTATGAGGTTTCGCTTCGACAATATATTGAAAAACAAAGCGTCATGATCCTTTAAGCGCGTTACAATGCCCAAAAAAAACGATGGCATTTTTGACGACGCCGACAACATTTGAAACTAATTTTTTTCCTTGACAATTTCAAACAACGCGCCAAAATTGAGAATAGCATAATGTTTCTTCAAACAAAACTCAAAATTTAAAAATTGGTTGCGTGAAAAATCCGAGTCCCCATCGACAAATTTGATGATTCACTTCTTCAGGACCACAATAATTCGAAAAGAAACAAAACTGGACTCGAGAATTTCATAAATTGTAAAATACGTACCTTTCCGGCGAAACATCAACCCTTCGCTTCTCGCCGGTCCACCATCGCGCGCGTTTCTCCATCGCGCACGGCCGATAGTGCATCTCCTTTTCGCTAAGCGGCGAGACCGCTGAAAATCATCGAAATTTGAACCACAAATCAAAAAAAAAAAAATGTTGTGCGAATTGTCAAGACCTCGTTTTTTCGATTCGTCGTCAATCGGCGAAAAATCGTCGCGTTTGGCGTTGCCTTCCTTGTTCTTCCGCTTCGTGTACTTCCGATGCGGCACACCGCTCGGATTCGACGCCGTCGACGCCTCCGCATGCATCGGACTTGGCGGCGCGCGAGCAGCCATTGCGGCCGCCTAAAAAATTCGCCATCTTTATTCGAAGAACAAACGGCGGCCTCGCCCCACCTCTTTCTGCATTTTCAGCCGAATTTTGATGTCATTTTTGGACGGCCTTCCAACTTTTCGCTTCAACAACGCCGGATACGATGTCTCATCGACGTCATCCTCTTTCTTCTTCGATTTGCTCGGTTTCGCCGATGATTTCAGGCTATTAATTTTCTGGAAAAGACAAAAACTTGGAAACCAAAAAAAAAGAAAACGTTTGCGTTCGAACCAACCTTTCTGCCCACATTTTTCGGGATCTCCTCGTGCGACCGCACCCATCCGTACCATTTTCGACACTTCTTGTAAACGCAACGCCATCTGAAAGAAAAAATTGGAGAAAATCTAAGAAAAGGGGTTTTCGGGGGAAAAACTCTCATACGGAAATCACTATTTTCAGGTTTTTTTTTAAACAGAAATCACTATTTTCAGGTTTTTTAAAGAACATCTCATGGGGTCAGAATTCAAAAATTGCCACAAAACCGGATTTTCAGAGTTGAAACCTAGACAACATACCGATGCCGATTGCCGCCGCACATTTGCGGGCGAACCTGTCCGTTACAAAAAACGCAATGCCGATGTCCGGACGCCGAAATCGGCGGCGTCTTCTCAACTTTGCTGTAACCACTTTACAATGCCCGTTTGCTACGTATTCTGTTTGTCGAAACTCACTAATGTTTGGGTCGAGCGCGATCGCGACGAAGCGACGGGCTCGAGCGGCCGCCGACGATTGGCGGCGCCGATTCGTCGTTGGCCGAATTGATTTGAATTGTCGATGGTGATGTTGGGCTCATTACCTGCAGAAAATTCAAGAATAGCTTACATTTTTGAGAAGAAAAAACCAAAACCTGAACTTTTTTCCGTTTTCGCTCTTTTCTCGTCTCGGCCGCTTCCGACGCCGAATCCTCTTTGATTCGAATCTTCGGCTTCGGCGACGCCGCTTCCTGCTTCACATTCGCCAATCCCGACTTTTTATGTGTTGGTTGAGCCATTAGCTGGAAGAACAAATAAATTAATAACCAAAATTTGATAATTATAACAATAATTACCATGCTATTTATAAATTTCTCTCCACTACTAACCGATTCCGTTTTTATATTAACCGCCAACGGAATGTCGAGCTTATTTCGCGATTCATCGTCGAGAAGCCCGTCGACAGCCGACGATGACGATTCTTTCATTTTTGTACATACAGTGCTATTACATCTGAAAATTACTTATTAGGCGATGGCAATTAAATCGAAAATTACTTTAGAACGCCGTTAATTAATCGATATTCATAGCCGCAAGTTGGGCAAAATTCAACAGGCGCCGGCATTTGAGGTCGCGAGGTTTCTGGCGAAAGTGGGCGGTCCTTGAAAAAAAAATTGAGCTTTTCACAAGAAGACACAAGATTACGCTTACAAGGCTTCCATCGGACGGCATATTATTCAAGGTTATCATAAATTGTTCAGCTTGAGCGTCAAGATCAAGTGGACCATTTAGAAGCTCATCGAACATATCCGAAACACCAGAGAATCCAGACATCGAGATCATTCTGAAACGCAAAAAAAAAAACGTATGATGAGCTCGTCAATGCCGGATTAGAAAACGCGGCTAATCCAATTAATTTTTGCAAGCAATTTTCAACACGAGAAAAAAATTCCTACCGACTTCGTCTTCCGCTGGCACTTCCACTTCGATTTCGGGTGCGCGCACCGAAAATCAAATCATCGAAGAGTTTCGACGAGCCGCGCGAACGTTTCGACTTCCACGATTTGTTGTCGTCCGGCAGACTGGCGAGATCGCCGAGGAACGCGTCGCCAAACAACGCATTGAAGTCAGTGCTGTCCTGAAAATTCGAAAAAATTGATTGAAAGTTTATCAGAGAGAAAATTGGTCGAAGAAAAGGCCAGTAAAATGAATTTTGTTTTTCATGGGTCGCATCGTTTTAGAAATTCGTTTAGATCTAATTTCAGAAAAAAATGAAAAGTTTGAAAAAGGCAATCATTTAATTGAATTTTTTTAAATCGATTAAGACACAAAAATGGAATATTGTTTTTTTTTAGCAAAACATAAAAGATTGGAGTTTTTTACTTCCAACAAAACGAATTTTAAAAAAACTTTTTTTATTTTATGCTACAAAATTAAAGGCGCAGATCACGAAAAAAGATATCTCTTATAGTTTTTGGCATTTAGCCAACTTTTAGCGCATTACACGAAATTTGGTACGAATGACAAAAAAAAAGCCTACCGCATACTGCTCGCAATGATCAGCATTCAGACCACCGCTAATCATTTTCCTTTTTGATCCATGCGAACTCTCACTATCCAATCGTCTTCTTTCCTTCTTCATCAAATCCTTGACAATTTTAAAAGCTGATGCATTACTGCTGGCTCTCGATCGCGATCTGAATCAATTGCATCAAATCCCAAGTGTATCATTTATTGATTACTTGGTTGAAGCGCTGTTCGAACGCTTTCTGCGTCCGTCAAGACCGCCGGATAGCAAAACGTCCAAAAATCGGCCGCTGGTTTGCCTGGTGCGCCCATTTCTCGGCGACGACGGCGGACTTTTATGAGAGACCGGAAACGAGACGTCGTCCTGCTCGGTGGCGAGACCGGCGGCAACGCGAATCTCCTGTACGGCTTTGTTGAAGTCTTTCTGTTTTCTTGGAATCTCGTGAAGTGTACGATTCGTCAAATAATCGCTGAGGTCCGTCGGCTTCATGAACGACTTCTCAAGGGTGCCGAAAAACATGACAGGAATTCGGCGAGCCGGTGTTTCGTCAGTTTGCTCGAGTACCTATGGAAATTCCATTGGAAAAAATTAAATTAATTGATTTTACCTTTGCCGGCCACGGCGGAAACCCTTTCATTTTTGCCCAAATCAAATCGCCTGGTTTAAATGTACATGCTGTTGGTGTTGTTGTGGTTGCTGCCGCCGTTGATGTCGATGCACCATTTTCCATCATTTTCGGGGTTTTCTCTTATCTCTGCGTATCACGAAATGCGATTTACTTTACACAATTATCGATATTTATGAGATTACGTTTTAAACACAAGCGATACATCTTTTTGTCATTTATAATTATGCAAATTACAAAAAATAGTTATAATTATAGTTTTATTCAAAAATTTAACAAAATTTGAGCAGCAATGAGATGAAACAAAAGAAACGAACAATAAAAGACAGTTGGCTTCCGGCCAGAAGCACGAAAAATGTGACATGACGCGAATTGCGCCAGTGCGCTATGTTGACGCATATCTGGTGCATTTTTTTATTTTTATTTTTCACATGATTTATTATTTAAAAAACGAATTTTAAATCCTTAAATCATTTATTTAGATGGCTAGCATTCTTGACGATGATGGGCTGTTTCAATCAGACGACTTTTCACCGTCGGATTACATTCGTGATCGTCTAAAAGGTGTGAAGACGGGAGATGAGACGCGAAAACTTCGCCAATTACGATCGGAGATGAGCGCGTTAAACCATGCATCGCAAGAAACATTGAAGAACAACGTTTTTCGAAATTATCAGCAATTTATTGATTCTTCAAAGGAGATTTCTCGTAGGGATTTTTCACAAAAATTTATTTTTTTAAATTTAATTGTTTAGATTTGGAACGAGAAATCTATCAATTATCAAATCATTTAATGGAACAAAAGCAGGTTATTGAGAATCTAATAATGATGACGGGTGATGATAAAAGCTCAATTCATACGGTTTCGAGCCATTCAACGGCGATTTCAAGTACAAATACAATTCAAATTCTGATGCAGAAAATGGACGGAATCGGGGTATTTTTAAAGATTTTTATAATAAAATGTCGAAAAAAAAACGAGAGATTTTCAGGGAATCTTAAACAACATGTCTAGCACCGAAAAAGTCATACTTTACGGCGAAATGGAGCAATTTGATATGGAAACGAAAAAACCGATGCAAAAATGTATGCTCATCCTTCTTTCTCATAGATTAATTATTGGAAACGTGAATGCGGCGGGTCGATATGTGTAAGTCTCGTCGGAAAATTCAAAAAAATTGCAACATTCCACTTCTAGCATGGAATCGACACTGTCGTTGAACAGCGTGGCGCCGGTGAACGTGAAGGATCGTGAGTCGGGCGCGGCGAACGCCGGCAAAGTGCTGAAGCTTCTCATATTCCCGGAGAGTCGATGCTATCTATGCGAGAGCGCTCGAATTCGAAAATTGTGGTTCGACGAGCTCGAGCAGGCGAAACGCGACATTTTGCACGAGGGAAGTCTTGTGAGACAGGCGACGATACGCGGAAAACGCCAAACGGTGAAGGATCGCGCCGCCAAGGCGTCGGCTTCTCCCACCGAGAAGAAGTATCACGCGTTTCCCGAGGAGGAGGAGGAAGAAGTCGATGAAAAGAGTGAGAACAGTCTTCTTTTTTTTTGAATTTGTTTTACTTCAAAACATTTATTTTCCAATTTAGCCATGAAGAAAAAAAAGACATTTGGCTGTAATTTTGGCAACAGTTTTCAGAAAAAATCAAAATTTCCCTTCAAAACCATTGAAAATTAATATTTCGCCTTAAAATATTCCACTTTCTTTTGTCCAGCATATTTTAAAAAAAATAATAGTTCGAATTCAGACGAGAACGACCTTTCATGGCTCGCCGAGCTTCCCGCCGAACTCGACGACTGCATCGCGCATCGCGATCTCGAGCAAGCCGTCGAGCTCATACACGAGTGGAAGCAGTGTCCGACGAAAGACGCCGTCATCGACGTTCAATTGCAAATGCGCGAAAATCAGATTGTTCAATTGCTGAGCGAAGACGTTAGTCGTCCGGGAGCGATTCACGGCGGCCCGCGAGCGATGAAAAAAGCGCGAACACTTTTGACGCAACTCGGACGCGGCACCTATGCGACGGATGTGTACTTGAGGCGGAGAAGCGCGATTCAGCGCAACGCGATGAAAGATGTGACGGTGTCGGAAGAGCCGATCTCGTATGTCCGACAACTCTGCGCGCTGTATTCGAGCGCGGTTTCGGACATTGCCAATGAATACCGAGCGATGCCTCAATATTATTGTCAGGTTTGTTCGAATTTTGATTTGGCTCCGAATGATGACTCAACGTTTTGAGGTGCTTCAATGGTGCTCCTATGAGCTGAGCACACTGCTCTCGCTTATTAGGCGACATGTGATCGAGGTGGCTCCGGCGATTGCGGTATTGGCGTACGCCTGGAAGTATGTCATGCATACGATGAACGATCTCACTGCGATCGGAGTGCATTTGAATTTTGAGGTTTTGTTTTTCGGCCATCGATTCTCAACTTTTGAAGTGTTTGTTTTTTCTCAAGGTGAATCGATTGCTTGGTCAGCCGCTCGAAAACGCGCTTCAAACGAATTTCGAGAACATCATCGATGCGGTGAAAATGCGAATTACGGTTAGAAATTGACGATAGCAAAAATCATTCTGACTAGTTATTAGGAGGAGAAATGGAGGCCCTACGTGCTCGAATCCGAATCGGCGCTGAATCGTTTGATCGAGGAGCTCGCCGATGTCGGAATCAATGTCGAATGGGCGATATCGGCGAATGATGAGACGAGATGCTCGTTGAACGTCTCGCAGAATGTTGTGCATTTCGCGCGTGTCGCGCATACGCTGTCGAAAGATTTGGCACCGTTGAGATTGTAAGAATTTTTTAAAGGGAAAAGCTCAATATTTCGAAATTTGCATTTTTTTTTCCAACCACATTTTCCAGATTTTTTGGGGAAAACACCTTTTTGAGTGTTTCTTTTTTTTTTTAAATTGAATTTTCGGTTAAACACCATTTTTTTGCAATGTCAAAACAGAGAATTGCTGTTTTTTTTTGGCGCGAAATTCGAAAATTTCAAAATTTCGGATAATTCTTAAAAAAAAATATTTTTCCTCCATCATTCTCCATTTTTTTCCTTTTATTTTATCTGCATTTGCCCTTTGTTTAAAATTAATCACGTGGCTTTTTTTTTGACCCCCCAAGAGCGAACAGTTGATAGTTTTAAAATTTGCCAAAACGGTGTGAGACCCGAAAAAATGTTTGGATTAAAGGCGCATCGCGCGAAGACCCTCGCTCACAATAGGCAGCAAAAATCTCGTTGAATTCGTTGATTAATCCCAACAATTGCACAATTTCGCTCAGATCGCCAGCGCAGGTTCTTTGCGAGGTGTACGCGGACGAGTTGTGGAAAATGTTTCTGCAACATCTGTCGGATAGCATTCGCGACGGCGCCGTTTTCGCGTACTCGACGACATTTATTTTGACGCAGGTTCGTCGACCAAAATTTTGAATTTGTTGAGATATTCAAACGCACTAGAAAGCGTCAAACGAAGAGATATGTTGAAAAAAAAACAACAACAAACGACATTGGTTCAGGTTTTGCCGGTATGCGACCGCGTTCTTTATGGGGCCGAAGGCGAATTAACAAGATTGATTGAGGAGTATCCGAAATTAGCGCCGTATGCTGATGAATCCGATGATGAGAATGCGTTGACGAAAGAGGATGAAGAGATTGCGCACGTTTAGCAATTGTGAATAGGGTTTTCTTTCGATATGTAAATAGGCTTTAAAAATTGAATTTCTGTGATACGAATTTTGCTTGGTGCTTTCCCCCCCATCGATGTGTGTGTGTGTGTTTTTTTTTTTCGTCGCGCTAAAATAAAAATATTGAATTTAATAACGCTTCTTTCTTCTGATTCTTTTATGATTGTTTAATGTTGAACAATGGTGACGCACGCGTTTGCCGAAAAAGAAGCGTGTGTCAGCGAATGTTTTAGTATTTTTTCGTTTTTGTGTCGTTTGGGAAAAAATGGAAATAAATTGACGTGTGTTCGGCGGGAAAAAAAACAGAATTGCGTGGGTGACATATCGGGACCCAATATTTCACCTTCATGTTGTATGCTTTTTTTTCTCCTTCTTCTTCTTTGCCAATTGTTCGGCGGCCGACGCGAGGCGGATTAGTGCACAAGGCACGGAGTGCACGAGAGAGATGCGATTTATGTGGGGGCTTTACGGAGAAGCTCGTGTGTAAAATAATGATATTCGCGGTGTACTGCAGATGATTCCAATTAAAAGTGCTGCTGAAAAAAGAATGAATGAAAATTGTATTTTTGGAATGACCGAGGATTGGAAAACAAAACTCGGCCACGGCCATTTTTTTAAAGCTCTTGTTTCCACCCGCAATTTTCGGCTTCTCGTTTCGACAAAGAGGTTTTACAATTGTGGCTCGGCGATGCACATGTTGGCAAAAAAGAAATGATTCTCGATAGTAATGGTGAGCCAGCTGACAAGAGATTTTTTTTTTGGGGGGTTTCGTGCTTTTTGATGTTTTCGGGCGTCTTTCTCATGGATGAGCGGGCGGATGGAGATTTGAGGGAAGAACAAGCCTGTCGTCGCCGTCGGTGAAGACCCACGCGGGAATTTGCCGGCGAACAATCGAAAAAAATAACAACAACAACAAGAGTGGATCATTGTAATACATGCAACGCAATTTGAATTGAAATTCGCAGAACTCGACACTCATTTTTTTCTTTTGGGAAGATCGCAAAAATTGCATTTTACTCGAATGTTCTAGAATTTCCAGTTTTTTTTTCCATCAGCATGGTGCCGAAAACGCAATAACATTATTATGAGACGAAATTGGATGATCTTGCGGTGCGATTCAATTCCATAAAGGACCACCCTTATAGTCTAATAAATGAGAAATGGGTAATAAATAAGCAAGCGGAACATTAACGATCTGAAATGGGATTTCCTATGAAAACTGCAAAAAAAATTTTTCAAATGAGATGGCCTAATTTTTTTCTCGGCCACAGCCGGCTTTTAGTCATCCATGAATCACATTTCCAGATTTTTGATGATTGCGATTGTACGTAACTCCAAATCCATAATTGCACTTGTTACACCCGTACACGCAATTAATTAGATCCAATTCCGTACAAGGCCAATTCGTGACGACATGTGTAATAACTAGTCAATTATACGAATTTCTTAAAATCATCAATCGTCTCTCTCCCTCTCTTTTCTTTTGGTTTTTTTTTTCGAGAGAGAGAGAATAGGTGGGAGGCTCGAGATGGACCCCGACAAAAATTGATAGTTTAGCGTCCCCGCTGGTGGGTTGTGAGACGCAAAAACTTTGCCTTCAAGAATCAGTGTAATGTGTTGTGCTCGGCGATTCCGATGGAGAGTCGCTGGTGGGTGTGATTTCGTCTCTATCACACACACACACATGATGATGTTGATGATGACTACTGTAGTCGTCAAATCGGCGAGACGGAAGAGAAGCTCGCCGGTGTGGGCGTGGCTTCGACGGGAGGGGGAAGAAGCGGTGACGGGGACCCGGGAGGTGCCCGCCATCAGAAGGCTCATTTCGAGTTTCTCTATTATTTGTTGTTGTGTCGTGTCTGTGCCAACGAGTACAAAGTCAAATTAGCCGAAAATGGACGCGATCAAGAAGAAGATGCAGGCGATGAAGATCGAGAAGGTTTCTCATTCATATTTCTATTCATTATTCAATTTTTGCTCCAACTCATAATTATTCAAATTTTGCGATATGAATCAAAAATTGCAGGACAACGCTCTCGATCGCGCCGATGCCGCCGAAGAGAAGGTGCGTCAAATCACCGAGAAGCTCGAACGCGTCGAAGAGGAGCTCAGAGACACACAGAAGAAGATGATGCAGACCGAGAACGATTTGGACAAGGCCCAAGTAGGCGCCCAGGAATTGATCGATGATTAAGCTTGTGTTTCAGGAGGACCTCGCCAGCGCCACCACCAAGCTTGAAGAGAAGGAGAAGACCGTTCAAGAGGTATGTCGAATCCGAGGGTTTCAGGCGCCAACAAAATTGGTGGCGGTTTTTTTTGGGCGCTCGACAAGCACGATGCTACGCTAGAGGTGAGCGACACAAGAGATGATGAATCAGCAACCAAAAAAAAAATTGGGGGGGGGGGAGACCCCCCCCTCGCCATCGTGGTTATCACGATGACAAACAAATAAACTCGACACTATATATATATTTTTGGTGTTATCGATTTTGGGCATCGACCGCCGTCACCCCCACCCAATCCTTAATTACCCCCAACAAACCTCCTTTACCACGAATCGAATCGATTTGTCGTTTCGCTGGGCTGGCCGGGCTGGCTGCCGACCGACGAAGAAACAAAACTTGATTTCGCCGACGACGTCGTGTTGTTCGCATCTATTTTTTTTTTGGTCGTGGGCGGCTTCACACGCGCGCTTTTGCACTTTAAGCTTTTCGTCAAGTCGTCCTCTCTTCAATACCATTTTGGGTCCCAATTTTTTTTTTAAATTATTTTTGCCGACCCTCTCATTTCCCGCAAGAGCTCCCCCCCCACAAAGCGGTGAAGAGGCGTCTCGGATTCGAAGAAGATAAAGTTCGAGAGCCGTGCGTGTCTGCGCCCTCAACGAATTGTGCAGCACATTCCGCCGACTGATTACAACAAGGTGAGGCGACGCACAATGATGGCCCCCAAGAGAGAGAAAGAGAGAGAGAGCCAAGCTGTTTGCTTTACAACAAAATGTGTGTGCTCGGCAACGGTATCCCAAGGCAGGCCCCCCCCCACGCAATTTTCTCTTCCTCTCACAAGAGCTCCCTCAACATACACACAATTCGAGGGTGGCCGATCGAACATCTTGGAACCGAATTAGACTGGCGGCACAAATGAATGAATGGGTGGTTATAGATTTGTTGTTGTCATGCACCATGAATGGAAAGGAACCGGCACCACCACCAACCGACGCGCGCGCGCGCAGGGGGGGTCCCCGTCGAGTACACACACTTTCCATTTAATTGACAATACAACGCATTATAATACACCATGTAGATATGAATGCAGAAATATGCGTTTGGCGTTTTTCGGTCTCGGTATCGAATCTCGACATCGCATCTCGACGAATCGCAACAATTTGATTCGCGTCGTCGAATGTGGCTTGTAACAGCGAGTTGCACAAAAACCCGACGGCGTTGCCCGATTCGTCTTCCTCATTTTGCCCTCCTCAATCATCATGGTGTCTCGCTTCCCCTCCCCAATAAGGGCATCGCCCCTTCTTCCCCCCTTCACTTTCCACGAGAGAGAGAGAGCGGGGTCGCAGATGTTCTTAATTCATCTTGTTGGCGCGAAGGAGAAGCTGAATGGATGGGAGGAAGGGCTGCGAGTTTTGTTTGCTCTTCAGGAGCTTTTCGCCGCAAACTAACTAACTAACTGATGAATACCAGTTTTGTATAGTTGTCTGCACATTAAGAACACGGAGGACCCCCCCCTTTAGTACTGTCTTTTCTATTTACCTAGAGGCGCCCGCCCGTGCGCGCGCGCGCACGCGCACGCGCCCTCCCCAATCCAAGAAGGAGGCAGGCACTCCACTCGCAATTCATTCAGTTTTGCCAGGCGCACTCTCAGCCGACGCGAGTCGCCCCCCCTTTAACTTTTTCGTTATTCCATATTTCATTTTTCGTTGTTGTTGTTGTTGGTCCTTCTTGCCGCATTTCCAAAAAATCAAAATCAAATCTTGTGTCTCGCAGCGATGTCGAAGGTGAACAAGGAAGGCGCGCAGCAGACGTCGCTTCTCGATGTCCTTAAAAAGAAGATGCGGCAGGCGCGCGAGGAGGCCGAAGCCGCCAAGGACGAGGCCGATGAGGTGAAGCGTCAGCTTGAGGAGGAGCGCAAGAAGCGCGAAGATGTGAGTGATTCGGTCGATCCCCAGAGTTCCCAAAAATCCAAAAAAAAATTGAAATCCAACAAGTAGAATGGTGCTGATTTTGATCATCTCTTGATAGGCTGAAGCCGAAGTCGCCGCGCTCAATCGCCGCATCGTGCTCGTCGAAGAGGATCTCGAACGAACCGAGGATCGCCTCAAAACCGCCACCAACAAGTTGGAGCAGGCGACGAAAGCCGCCGATGAGGCCGACCGGTATGTTGTCGTTCGCACCCGGTGTCGTCGTTTCAGGCCGAAGCCGAAGTCGCCTCGTTGAATCGTCGCATGACGCTTCTCGAGGAGGAGCTCGAGAGAGCCGAAGAGCGTCTGAAGATCGCCACCGAGAAGCTCGAAGAGGCCACGCACAACGTCGACGAATCCGAGCGGTAGGCGCTTTTTGCGCGGCCAAAATCGGGAATCGAAAGGAACGAATCCACGGACGGATCGGTGTTGTGTTGTCGTCGTCGTCGTATATATATATTTTTTGTTTTATGTTGCTTTTCTCTTTTTTTTTTTGCTCAATGTGCTTTACTTGTGTCTCCAGCGCGCGCAAGTCGATGGAGACCCGCTCGCAGCAGGACGAGGAGCGCGCCAACTTCCTCGAGACGCAAGTCGACGAGGCGAAAGTGATCGCCGAGGATGCCGATCGCAAATACGAAGAGGTATATCTGATTGTGCACGCTGGTCCCTCGTAATGCATGTCTCACCGATTAATCCACAGCAAAAAAAAATAATAATAGTGTGCTAACCTGGCGAATGCTGAGTGATACCAAATTCTAGGTCGCGAAAAGCGCTGTCGAATCAGATCGAGCTCGATGATGATCGATGCGCGGAGCTCGAGCGCAAACTACGCGAATGCCAATCGCTGTTGCATGAGACCGAGAACAAGTCCGAGGAGGTGACTAACAAAATTTTTGCCGTTTCTCAATTCATTCTTGTTTTCTCGATTCATTTTGTCCATCCTTGTCCGCAATGATCCGCGATTCCGTTGATTCCCGATTTTTTTGTTTGGGGATTAGGTGACTTCCCCCCCTCCCATTGATTTCTGATTGTTTCCAAGGGCTTCTCGGCCCTTCCTGTCCCGGGCTTCTAGTGGGATTGAAAGAAAAAAAAGCTGACATGCATCGTGGAATCGAATTGTTCCAGTGTTCGCAAGGTGATGGAGAATCGCTCGTTACAAGATGAGGAGCGCGCCAACACCATCGAGGCCCAACTCAAGGAGGCTCAGCTTCTCGCTGAGGAGGCCGACCGCAAATACGACGAGGTTTCGAAATCCCCACACAAAAACTAACTCGCTCTTGTCCTCTCATATTAATCAATTAATTGCTTGATGATGATGATTGCTAGATACGATCATATCGATTTTGTGATCGTCTCGTTTCAGGTCGCCCGTAAGCTCGCCATGGTTGAAGCCGATCTCGAGAGAGCTGAAGAGCGCGCTGAAGCCGGAGAAAAGTTGGTTTTCCATTGTTTTTTTTTTTGCTTCTAAATTTCAAATTCTCCTCTTCATCACTCCGCATCTCGCTATTCATAATCGCTTCCGCCTTCTTTTCGACATTTCTTTTTTTTTCCATCGCTTAACCTCACCGCTTCTTTTTGCCATTGATTCTAGCAAGATCGTCGAACTCGAGGAGGAGTTGCGCGTCGTCGGCAACAATCTCAAATCGTTGGAGTTGAGCGAGGAGAAGGCGCTCGAGAAGGAGGACATTTTCGCCGAGCAGATTCGCCAACTCGATTTTCGACTCAAGGAGGTTAGACACCCTCGTCGATTCGTCTGAAATCAACCCCTCCATTCCCTCCTCTCCGGCCGTCCACATTCTATACGCAATCCTAATCGCTTCACTCTCTAATGCTCTAAACCAAAAAGGCTTCCGATGTCTCTAAACGAGTGCCGTTGCGATTCTAACCGAAACCTATCCCACAGGCGATGTCGAGAGCTCGAGCACGAGAATCGCGGGCTCGCCTCGAAGCTTCGCGACAACGACAATCTCATCGAATCGCTGATCGGCGAGGAATCGCGTCTGACCGTCCAACTCAAAAGCGCCGACGAGTTTCGAATCGAGGTTGCCATAAAAGCATGCTCATGAACCCGTGACACCATTCTATTCATATATACTCTCTATCAAGCTTCTGTAACTCCATCTAGTGGTTCGTATCTGATTGCAGCAAGATCGTCGAGCTCGAAGAGGAGTTGCGCGTCGTCGGCAACAACTTGAAGTCGCTCGAGGTGTCCGAGGAGAAGGCGCTTCAACGCGAGGACTCCTACGAGGAGCAGATTCGCACCGTCTCGTCTAGACTGAAGGAGGTCTCGTTGTTGTTCTTGTTCTGTGTCGTGTCGTTTCAATGTGTCGTCGCATTGTCATTGACGAAACTCGAAAATGCATCATTGATGATTCGTCACTCTCTAATTGCAGGCTGAGACGCGCGCCGAATTCGCCGAGCGCTCCGTTCAGAAATTGCAGAAGGAGGTCGACAGACTCGAAGGTTCGCGTTCTCTTTCCTTTTATTTCCAAATTAAATTATTGTGTCGTCGTTTTGTTTTCAAAAACGTGAACGTCTCAAAAAAAAATTTGTCCTGAAAAAAATGTGAATTGTGTGTCCAGATGAATTGTTGCTCGAGAAGGAGCGCGTCCGAAATCTGACCGAAGAGATCGAGCAGACCGTCCAAGAGATCCAAGGATCCTAAATCGTAGGCGGTTCTTTTTTTTTATATGTGTGTGGCATGTCGCATGATGACAAGAATGGATCGTGTTGAAATCTGAATTGACCGTTTGAAGTGGTGGTTTGAATTAATCGCTGATTGCAGAAGAACGCGACGCCGAGATCCGCAAAGCTCGCCAATTGCAAGAGGAGCTCGACCATATGGTCCATGAGTTGAATTCTGTCTAATTTTCGTCATTTTGCTTGCTTCTTTTTTTATCCCTCCGGTGCCTCTTCCTCTCCCCCCTCTCTCCTCTCTCTTCTAATTGTTCTCATCATGTATAATAATAATAATAATAATAATTGAATGTACGATTTGGATTGTTGATGTCTAACACATAATTGATGCTGTGATCCTCTCTCTCTCAAGAAACACTCATTCCGATGGTGCAATGTGGTTTTACAGACGAATTGGTGCACGAGAAGGAGCGCTACAAGGCGATCTCCGAAGAGCTCGACACGACCTTCCAAGAGCTCTCCGGTTATTAAGCGACACCATCTGCTTTTATATATCACCTATGACTTTTTTTTTTCTTCGCAGCCTCCTTTCTCTCTTTCCCCCATTTTTACTTGTATTTTCCATCACACCCCCCCCCCAACCCCACCCCAAAACACCATGCACCAACAAAAATTTTGATTGTCACACAAGCCCGTCTTTTATTTCGAAAAAGCTTTTCCACCCACCCCCCACATCTTTTTTTTTCGGTATTCTCCAGCTAGCTAAAGAGAAGCTTAAAATAACTATATGATGTCTCGATTTCTTTTTTTTTGTGCAAAAATATGCCTGGCAAATTTTACTGAGCCTCCACTTCTTCTTCGGCAGTGCTATCGGATAATAAACATGTTTGAATAAAACGAAGTGTGAAATTTTGTTGTACAATTCAAACCCCCCCCCGGGGAGCTTCTAGTGAGCTTAACATCTGGAGCACAGCTGGGAGAGCAACCTCGAAGGATGTCCGCAGCGCGAACGAACAGCGGACACAATATTATGATCAGAATATGATGTGCGCGAAACCTCGAACCTTGTCGGCAGCACGGAAGAATTGAGTGACAACACACTGAAATGGTGCGCACCTCGAGGGTTGTCCGCAGCATGAACGAACTATGAGAATCAACAAAGGACAATTGTTAAACACGCAACCGGACAAACTATAATGCTTTGTAGCGCGCGCGAAACCTTGAACATTGTCCGCAGCACGGAAGAATTACAAGATTGTTATCATCACCGTCGCGGACCTCGAAGGTTGTCCGCAGCATCCGCGACAAGTCTTTATTATTATCTGAATTTCGAAATCGTGTGTCCACAGCAGGAATCATGTATAGGCTAGAACGAAGTCTAGGCAGAGGGAGGAGGCGAGGCGAGCGAAAACTGGTCCCGGACGTGTTTTCTGCCGTCGTCACTGATAATCCATGGCGCAATCGTCCTTTCGGTTTTTTTTCATTCGCAAATTGCGTTTCTTCAATTTTTCACACCCTTCTTCGGTGTGAGACCCGATTTAAAATGCTCAAAAATGAAAATATCAATCGACTTGTTCCGCAAGTTCACGCGCACGCCAAATTGCACACAAATTTTGTGGTCGTTTGTTTCCAGTTGAATGGGAATTTCGTCATCGAAACTCGAGCATTCGGCGATTATGAACGCCACATGTGGTCCGGTTCGCGGAATTTCGTATAATATCGATGGAAAATTCGTGAACGGATTCCTCGGAATACCATATGCGAAGCCGCCAATCGGCGAATTGAGATTCAAGGTGATATTCGGCTCAATGACGATGAATGACCGACAATTTCAGAAGCCAGTTGCTCATGAGGTTTGGACGGAGCCGAGAGATTGCTTCAGGTTTGGCCTTCGTGCTCCACAGAATGATGAGCTCATCGGACAGGTTTTCAATTTTCCATTGAAATTTTGAAACGCGTTATGCATATACGTCCTATCACCACTAGTTTCCTAGTGAGCGTTTGGCATTTTGCAAAGTTGCGCGCGCGCGTGCACGAGAGTTCGCGAGTTCGATACCGCCCAACAACACTTCATTTGCAGTTTATGAATCACGTCGGCAAAAGCGAGGCGCACTGTCTGAATCTGAACGTGTTCGCGCCGAGCTGGCACTCGCCGTCCGGTTTTCCGGTGATGGTGTTCATTCACGGCGGCGGTTTCGCCGTCCACTCGAGCAGCAATTACGGCAGCGTGTCGGTGGCGCGCAATCTATGCGTCAAAGACGTCGTCGTCGTCACAATCAACTATCGTCTCGGCCTTCTCGGCTTCATGTCGACCGGCGACGACGTCTGCCGCGGCAATCTCGGCCTGTGGGATCAGACGATGGCGCTCGAATGGGTTCGCGATCATATTCGATGCTTCGGCGGCGATCCGACCAACGTCACGATATTCGGCCAAAGCGCCGGCGGCGCCTCCGTCGACCTCCTATGCCTCAGCCCGCACTCGAGAGGTATTCGTCGAAATCGTGCTGCCGACAATTCACGGGTGGCGTTCTCGTTTTTCAGACTTGTTTCAACGCGCGATTCCGATGGCCGGCAACGGCGAATGCTATTTCGCCGTTCGAACCGCCGAGCAGCAAGCGGCTCTCACCAAAGAGTACGCCAGATATTTGGGATGGAAAGGCGATGGTCCTCGTCTCGCCACGAAAATTTGAAGCGACGATTTTTTTTTCAGACGACGACACCGTCGATTTGATGCGATTTTTCAACGCCGAGCCGTTGTACAAACTCGAAATGGGCCTGAATCCGAAGCGCGGATTTCGACACTCGCAACAAGGCAACCTCTATTTTGTGCCGAATTTCGACGGCGAGTTTTTTCCGCGACCGCTCGACGAGCTGCGAAAAGAGGCGCCGAAAAAGTCGCTGATGACGGGCACCACGAAATACGAGGGACTCTTTTTCGGTGAGGTCGAAAAAAAAACAAAAAAACATTTTTTAATTATTTTTTTTAATACCAAATTTGTGATTTTTTTTTCAACATTTTTATTTAAAAATTGCAAATACCTCCAAAATATATACATATTCATTTATTTCTACCCAAGTGTGGCCGCGGCCGAACCGAATATTTTTCTAGGCCACATTTGCGTTTATTCAAATTCGCGCGCGTTTTGGCTGTCGAGAATCGGCCGCCGCGTTGCGTATGCGTCGCGGTCGGTTCGAATTATTTAAATCGTTTCAAATCACCCCCTCGATTTCCAGTGGGTGAGGTCGAAAAAAAAAGCAAAAAAAAATTATTAATTTTTTTTTTAATACCAAATTTATGATTTTTATTTTTTTTTTCAACAATTTTCTTTAAAAATTGCCAATACCCCAAAATATCTACATATTCATTAATTTCTACTTAAATAATCCATCAAGTGTGGCCGCGGCCGCGGCCGAACCGAATTTTTTTTCTAGGCCACATTTGCGTTTATTCAAATTCGCGCGCGTTTTGGCTGTCGAGAATCGGCCGCCGCGTTGCGTATGCGTCGCGGTCGGTTCGAATTATTTAAATCGTTTCAAATCACCCCCTCGATTTCCAGTGGGTCTCGGCGCGATCTCGCGAACACACGACGGCTTCAAGCGATTCGCTCGACAAATCTTCAAACCGTGCGATTACGGCGGACACGCCGACGAGATTCAACGAATGGTGTACGATTATTATATGAAGGGTGTCAATCCGAAAAATTCGCACCAAATGGCGCATCAGATTGTCAAGGTTGGTGGCATTATGTTTCATATACATATTGTTGAAAAATCCAAAAATTGCAAATTTTAAAAAATTAATTTCGCCTATTTCCAACCAATGATGAACCTCTCTATTTAAAGGAGCACACAATTATTTGAGTTGGGTCTCGTCACGACTTATTCCGTTTGGCGCGTTCTTTTTTTCTCGCCAACGTTTATTGTTTGTCGATTGACGGCGTTCTCCGTGTGGAGTACACAAGACCACTTCTAGAATTTCGCGTGCGCCTTTAAAAATTGCAATTCTCGATTTTTGCCAGTTCCTCGGCGATTATTCGATCAATTACGGCACCTATCGTTTGGCGAAATCAATGTCCGATTATGGCAACACCGTCTACTTCTACTCGTTCGAGCACTTCAATCCGCACGGCTTCGGCGTTTTCAAATGGATGCTGCCGTTCCTCGGCGCCACCCATTGCACCGAGCTTCGCTACGTGCTCGGCAAAGGCGTCATCTCGAAATTTCGGCCCGATGAGAGGGACAAGGCGATGATCGAGACGATGACGACGTTCTTCACCAACTTCGCCAAATACGGGTAGCGATTGGTTTTTTCAAATCTCTATTGCTCACCTGAACAATTTCAGCGATCCGAATCCGCCGGGAACTCAACAATGGCTTCCGCATGATCCAAACGAGCCGTTCAAGCACTTCAAAATTGATTTCGACAATTGCGCAATGCACGATGACTACCAGGATCGGAGACTATTATTCTGGGATGAGATCCACGCAAAAAATCGGTACCCGCTCGCTACTTTAAGCTCATTATTATCATTTTTTTTTGTTTTTCAACGGGTAGTCGTCATAAAAGTTTATTGGATATGATAATGGGGTCCCGTAAATTCGATTTTTGTTCTCTAAACTTTCGAAAGACGAATTCTCGATTAGAGGTAGGATTTTTGCTGCATCGGGTTTGGAATCGTGACTATTCTGCAAGCACAAAAATCAGAAAGAAAACGAAAAATTGGAAAATAGTGCTCACTTTTGAGTTGCGCCGCGTTTTCGAATCTCCATGTCCTTCATCTCTTCATGCTCTTCGAATTCTCGCCAATTTCTGGAAATTTTAAATCGCGATTGATTCATTTCGAATAATTATAATTAAAAAAAATGCGGTTAAAAATTATAGTCCCTGTGAGAGATTTCAGCGTTTCATTCAATTTTTTTATGAAACCCCCAAAATTTGTGCAATTTGCCTAAAAATCGCGAAAAAAAAACAATTTCAGCTATCAAAATTGGATTTCAAGACCATGAATCGTTTCAAAATCATTCTTGCAAAATTAAAATTTGAGAAAAGAAAGCAACGAACCGTTCCCTATATTCTTGCCAAAGGCATCGCACCAATTGAACGACGATCATATCGCCGGCGTGATTCGAAATCATTCGCAACATCAGAATCCCATCGGACTTTAGAAAATCCGAGACGAACGCGTCGAGGAGGTGCGGCGCGAATGCGATGACCGTATATAGGCGCTCGACAGCGGCATCCTATTAGAAAACCATTTTTATTTAAATCGATATTGCCGGCAATTCGGCAAGTTGCCGAAAATAAAAATTTAATTAAAAAAATGCTATTAATAATTAAAAAAAAATGCTATTAAATTTTTACAACGATAATTCGAAATAAAAATGAATTTTCACGGTATTCCAAATTATTCAATGGACGTTGATTTTTGTTTCGCCGATTTCTTTTGATATCAAATTTCCGAAAATCAAAATTTCGGCAATCCGGCAATTCCATTGCCGCCAGCAATTCACCATTGTGGCGTAGAAAATTTTTTGAACTTATTTCGAAAAAAAAGAAAATGAAGTTTTACTGGATGAAAAACATTTTCTCGAACTCGGGTAAATCGAATAAAATATTTTGAGATTCTATGAGAAACTAACGTATCTCTATAATATTTTAGAATTTTCTCAATCAACTTTAGAAATTATTTGAAGATTTTCGAATTTATTGAGATAGAATTTCGAATTTGGTCAATTAATTTTAGAAAATCTTATAAGATTTTTAAAAATAATTTGAAATTTAGCGAATCTCAATAAGTTTTAGAAAGTATCAATAAACTTTAGAATTTCTCAAAATATTTTAGAATTTATTATGGAATATTTGATTCTCAAAATATTTTATTTGATTTGCCTGAGGAAGTTGACATCGACACTGATAAAATTCGCAAAATTCTCAACCTTTTCGAATTTTTGCATCCGTTTATACTCGCTCGACTCGGCAATTTGAATATATTTCATAATATAGTCGACTTTTTCGGTGTGGATGAACGAATTGGCCAGCCAGTAGATGAACGAGCAGCTGGAAAATTTCGAGTTTGCAAAAAAAACAAATAATTCGATCAAATCGAAATTTCTTACAACGTGATGACGGCTAAGATCATGTACCAGCACCAGAGAAACGCGAACACTTTTTCATTGATGATATTGATGAGAAGAGCGCATTGGACAGTGTATCTGAAGTTTCGAAAATGTGAAAATTCCGCAAAATTGCGTCAGATGGCGCGCAAGTCCGCAATGCCAAAACGTTCCAATTGACGGCATTCATTTCAAATTTTTTTTTTGGGAATTTTCCCTTGGAAGAAAATCGAGCGAACCTGTTTAAATTGGCGAGATAGCGAACTTCGAAATCGCAAAGTGTGACCCTTGGAAAGTGGCCGGTCTCGGTCCACGGCCGTCCCGCCCAGACGTCGCTCAAAACTTGAAATCCGAAAAAGAGGTACTCGCTGCTTTTGAGGCACGCGTTCAATATCACAAATTGGGCGATCACGTTGGCGGCGTAGAGGAGTTTGGTGAACACGTAGATGATCGAAACGCACTGGCCGGTGAGCCATCGCGAGAATTTGATGCGCGCAATCCAGCCGCGCGCTTTGATTCGACCATTCGGCGATTGCAAATCCAAATTATCGACGAAATTTTGAGCGATTGCTTCGACCGCCTGAAAATTTGAAAATCAATTTAATTTTTTAGGCAATTCACCTTTTGCTTATCGGCAAAATCCAATAATGCTTGGGTATCGCAAGCGGCATTGATTAATGTTTGAATATTCAATCCTAAATCGAATCGATTATTGAATTTTTTTGAAAATTATTAATAATAATTAAAACAGTCTTTAGGATTATGGTGATATGAATACGGTATGTCTATCTCTCGGTGTATTGCGTACAAAACATCGGATGCGACGACACAATACATTTTTTTTTGAAAAATATTTTTTTAAACCTGATTGAAAGCTCGAAAGGCGCCAAAAAATGCAGGGAAGTGAGAACATGAGCGCCTCGGCGATCAGAATAAACGGCACCCATTGATAATAGCCGATTTGTTTCTCTAGAAAAAATGAAAATTTGAAAACAAAATGAATTGCCTCAAACCTTCCCTAGCAGTGTGGTCGTCTGGTACGTTCTCATACATCGGAATCCAATAAGTGTTCTAAAAACCATCGGAGTCAACGATTTCGACGAACAAACGAAGATCACCTGAATCCAGCAATACGATTCGATATATTCTTCCATTGATTCGCGACTGTGCGGATTCACCCAGCACTCGATTGGAGTGCCGCCATACTGCAAAATTAAAAGAACTCATCGGAATTTTATTATTTCAGCGTTTTTGTTTTTTTTTTCAACTTTGAAAAATCTTGCTAAAAAAATATATATGCCCATTGTTGGTGACAAATTGTGAAAATAAAAATCTTGCTGCGGACAATTTTCGAGGCCAAAAAATCGTGAAATTTTTTTACATACATGAATTCACCCACTTCCGTGATTAATGTTAAATCAAAAAAATAAAAATCCTGCTGCGGACAATTTTCGAGGCCAAAAAATCGTGAAATTTTAGTAGAAACAGTAGTTCACCCACTTCCGTGATTAATGTTAAATCAAAAAAATAAAAATCCTGCTGCGGACAATTTTCGAGGACAAAAAATCGTGAAATTTTTTATTCAAACAGCAATTCATCCACTTCCGTGACAAGTGATAAATCAAAAAAAAATTCATCTGCGGACAATGTTCGAGGCTCGCCTACTTCAACAATAATCGGGTCGGGCTCACCTGTTTCGCCGATATCACCAAGCAGCAAATGGCGAGTATCATCGGCGTATAGTAATAATTGAGGCGATCGACGGCGTCGTCGTCGCCGCGAAGACTCAACGCGTTGATGAAGGTTCGCGCGAGAGTTGCGTGGAAAAACATTTGGCGATCTTGGCGAAGTCTGCAAATACGACGAAATTGGCGAAGGCATGATGGTGGTGAGTCAAATAAAACAAATGTATCGAGACAAAAGACAAGGCGGGACCCCCCTTCTCCATCATATAAATGGGGCTTTCGGCGAATCGGTGCATTCAAGCGAACATTCGGACCCTTCCCAAACAGCCAAAGAAACAAAAAACTGGATGAGACGATGCTCACAACAAGAAGAAGCAGAAGAGGAGGAATCGAATTAGTTCGATAATCAACAACCAATTATTATTATAATTGAATAGTAATAGATTGTCGCGGGGGTGCGCCGCGGCGATTAATTTGAAACATATGAGCACCAAATGATTGAGAGAGGCCGACCTCGTGCTCGGTTTGATGAGAATTTTTGAGCGTCTCGCTCTACATTTTGATAATCCGATGGATTGGGTGGGACCGAAATTTGGATTGGGGGGTCTTGACGCGATGCGCGGCGCCTTGAATCTATTCCACTAGTAGTTTGACGCTATACATTTTGACTTCGCTTCAAGACCCTTCTCGTTGTCATTGGACTTCTTTTGTGCTCCTCGGTGTCGATTTACGAACCATGGTTTGGTTTCCACATGAGACCCATCAAATCAAAATCATTTTTATATGAGATTTTTTGAAATATCAATTTTCCGTCAAAAATTTTCGATTTTTAATCTTAATCGAGCCAAACCGTCTAATTTAGCTGAAATTCTGAAAAAAGGTCAAAAAAAATTTTTTTAGGCCTCGGGTAGATTTACGCGCATGCGCCTTTAAGATAAGATCGCAAAAAAATTTTTTTTAATTTTTTGTACTAAAATGAACTCGGCGATTCCACACGAGACCATTTATGCTTCAAGCATCATCAAAGTGGTCTCACCACGAAAATGGTCGGCTACTGTAGGCAAATTCAAAAAAAGTGTCGTCAGATGTGGCGTTTTGTACGCAGTACACCGAGAGCCCTAATTGCTACCAATTACCAAGGAAATCATCATTTTTTAAAGCAATTCAATGCGGCTCGGTGTACTGCGTACCAAAACGCCGAATCTCACGACACTTGCAAAAAATTGCGTATTTTTTTGTCGAAAAATCCACGATTGAAAATTTTGCCAGAAAAAAGCTCGACGACAAAATCAATGAAAATGCGGATGACACAAATTGCAAAAGTGCGCTGCGCCCGTGTGCCACTGGAAGAAACCCACTTCATTCCATTTCGAATCTAACCAAATTAGAGGCGGGGCCGGGGGGTCCTAAAGCAACAAGAAAACGTACGCGTTTGTCGTCGATCGCCACATCAACCAAATCGTTGCTTTTTTCTTCCCTCGATGGTCCCACACCTACGAGTCGAAGTGAGTGGTCTCTCTGAAAATCGAAACGTTTCATTTATTGTTTGGCTAACATTGCGAAAGAAACTAATCAAGTTGCGGTGCGAGAAATATGATTTATATGATATAGTTAGCGGGGAGCCAATTAGCCGCCTGCACCCCCCCACCTGGTGGCCGCTATTCTCATTAAAAAAAATTGTGCGGTGCGAATTTTTTTCTAAATCACAATTTTGTGCTGCGGACAATTTCTGGCAATGCAGCGAGACGTCCGCAGCACGAATCAATGAAATGCGCGCGACGAGGCAATTAATTTTCATAGATGTCCATCCTCAAAAATGAATAACTCGTCAAACGCGTGAAAGGTGCTCGTCGTGCTCTCAATGGCTCGCTAATAGGCGTCGGCGTTTCACCAACCACCACACTCTATAGGTATCCAATTAGGAAGGAAGTAACACGAGACAACTCGTGCGAGCTTCACCAACTCTGATGAAGACGTCAGGTTGTGTGACACGACGAGGCCGAGTCGGATTAGAAGCTCGACGAGCTGAACCTGCCATCGCATTGTTGTTTGAGCGTCATTAAAATCGGATTAGCGAAATTGCGAATTCAAAAATCGATGAATTGAAATTTTTTTCGCTGGAAATTCTAAAAACGCCAATCTGATGGGTGTTTTGCGAGAATAAGTCGACCAAAGCCGATAATTGCGCATCGAAATGCAAAAAATAAAAGATTAATCAGCGGCGCAATGAATCACTTTCTTAATAATTTTTTTTCCAAACAATTATAATGTGTTTCTCATTGGAAAATGGGGCTACTAGAGTTTTTCGAATTTTTTTATTCAAAAAAATTTTTTTTAATTTTGAACTTTTTTTGAAATAAAACTATTTTTTAAAAATTCAAAAGAAAAAAAAACAATTTATTTAAATTTTTAAATTGAAAATTTCACGCTGAAAATCTGAAAATCAATTTTTTCGCGATGAAAAAAAAATTTCGTCCAAGTCCGCAGAGTTCATCCGGGCGTGATTGCACACAATTTCAAAGTCAAAATCAAATTCAACCAAAAAAAAATATAGTGTGCATTCACGGCCGACGATTCTCTGCGGACTTGCACCAAATTCGACGACGGAATATGGATTTTGAAAAAAAGACATAAATTTTTGCAAAATACTGAAAAATTAAATGTCGTCTCGTAGAAGGTCAATTCAATCTCATTCGCAAAATTGGCGTACCCAAGTGAGCGTGAGCTCCGAGCTCCGAGACACAAGCTCGATGTTGATATCTGAGAAATTGCGCGCCTAATCCGGTCGTATGGCCACAAAACGGGCCGCGCGGGTTATATGTCAGTCAGGTCTCGTTTTACCTTGCACTCTGCTTAATTAAAATCCGCGACATTCATATAAGGAAGCACGATGAAGCTAACAACAATAATAAAAATAATATTTATTTACAAGATTGTTGTAGGAGAAATATCGAGGATGTGTACAGATTGAAATATATTCGACGATTATAAAAAAAGGAAGAAGAAGAAGAATCATGATTATTTGGCATTGTCGAGCAATAGAAAATTTCGTTTCATCTTCTCTCTAGGGCTCCGATTTTTTCGGTGTGCTGGTGAGCAATGGCGGTTTGAAGCCTTGGACGGCGTCCGCTACAAAAATGAAACGTTGCCTTTTTACGGTAATGGAAATTCTAATGGAACATGCAAGAAAAATGGGAGATCTTCTGGAAAATTGGAACTTCCGCAAATTTTGAGGACAAAATGAAAAAAACATAAATGACAATTATATTTTTCTGCATTGAATTTTTGCCTTTTTAAAAATTTTATTTGCAGCAAATTATTTTTATTTAAAAAGGTTTAAATTCCGATCTTATCGATTTTGATCTACCAGAGTTGATGGCACAAGAAATGAGTGCAAAATTGCGCACATTTGATTATTTTCGTTGGGGAGCCGTTCTAGCAGGGTCCGACTGAACGACCCTCGATAGCACTCCCGAGAATTCTCATATAACATTTTAATATGAGTCCCAATGCCAAGGAGAACTATTGGGGGTCCAATGATTCAAGGGCTATTTTTATTTTATAAATCATCTCATTAATTTTTATTAATCCAAGCCTAATTTTTTCGGGATCGAATTTCCAACATCTCAACTAAAAAAAATGATCTCATTCTTCTTCGAAAATTAAATATGCGAATTCATCAATTTTTAGATTTTTGAAGCGAAAAATCTCAATTTTCAGTTTTTCAAATTCAAAAAGCGACGCGAGAAATCGTTACCTGCATTCGTCAATGTCACATAATTGTATTGAACCGTCGGCTTCAAGTTGCGCTCAAGAATCGCCTGACGACGTCGCTCAGCGGCCATCGGCGTCTTCCCAACATCAACATTCTCATCATTCTCTTTGGGTTCTCTTCTCTTAAAAAAAAACGTGAATACAACAAAATCAATAAAAGATTACCGATGAATTCAGTGTGACATTCGCCATTGGCTTCTCAATTCCCGCTTCTTTCGAAACCACAGCTTTCGAGAAAAACGAGGGCTTATAAACTGGAACCGGCGGTTTTGGAGTGAACGGCTTCGTCGATTTTTCGCCGTTTCCTTAAAACACAAAAAAAAAATATTTTTTTTTTTGAAATCAATCATTTACAGGGTGTCATTTAAGTTCCCGCACAAAAGTTTGACGCCATGAAGAGATTGACTGTCGCACTTTTTGTGCACCAATACAATTTATTTTTGTTAAATAAGGTGTATTTTACTTATTTCCCAAGTTTCACCTCATTCGGATGTGTTTCCGAGAAATGGCGAAGGCTAACATCCATCGCGCTTCCATTATCGAACTTCATAAGCAAAATGTGAGCCCGAGAGACATCATTCAACGGGTCGGTGTGCTTCGTAGAACGGTTTGCGACACCATCAAACGATTCAAGTAGCTAAATACGACCAGTGTCCGTCCCAGACAAGGAAGACTCGTCTCAGTAACCACTCCTCAGAAGATCAACGCCGTTAAATCGAGGATCAGGCGAAACCCACACAGGAGCATGAGAAAGATGGCGTCAGACATGGGAATGAGCATCTTTGCTATGGAACAAATCGTCAAAACAAAGCTTGTACTGACCCCATATCGTGTCCAAAAAGCGGCAATTCTATCGGCCGTCAACAAGCAGAGACGCTTCGAAAAAGCAAAACGACTTCTTGCTCGCACGCGGTCTAGAGAACACCTCGCCACTGTCTTCTCCGACGAGAAGCTGTTCAGTGTGGAGGCGGCATTCAACTCACAAAACCATTGAGTACTTGGCCAAACATCCCAGCAAGCTTCTGAGAAAGGAAGAACATGTCATCCAGCCTCACATCCTGCCAGTGTGATGGCTTTCGGTGCCATCTGCTCAACCGGGAAGTGCTACCTGGTTTTCGTGGATCAGATGGTGAAAATGAACAAAGAAGTCTACGTTCGGGACATTTTGGAGAAGCATGTGATGCCCTGGACCCAAACGCATTTCGGTGGGCAGAAATGGGTCTTTCAACAGGACGGAGCACCCGCATACACTGCCAAAACTACTCAGGAGTGGTGCCAGACCCATTTTCCCGACTTTATCAAGTCATCCGAATGGTCTGATTGCTCCCCAGACCTGAACCCGCTTGACTTTTCCGTGATGGGGTCTTGCAGGAGAAGGTCAACGCAAAACCCAACTCAAGTGTAGAGGCTCTGAAGAAGACATTACTGGCGGAATGGGACAATCTTTCCATCGAATACCTGCGTACCACAGTCACATCCTACCCGAAGCGTCTCCGTGAAGTCATAGCTGCGAAAAGAGGCCGAATCAAAAAGAGTTAATAGATAAATATTTGTTATACTATAGATAAAAAATATTTCGAGTCTCGTTTGATTTGGACTTTTAGTTTCAGAAATGTACGTCTACAAAGTTGTGCGGGAACTTAAATGACACCCTGTATTTTCTTTTTTTTTGAAATTAAATTTTTGATCGAATTCTCAACATACGATTTTGCGACAATTTATATTTGAGCGCCTCGATCTCGGCGCGCAAATTCTCATTCTCCCGCTTGAGTTGCTCCTCCGACAATTTCAATATCGAGTGTTTCACAATGAGCTGCTCGAGCTGTTTGGCGGTGGTGTTCTGCGATGTCTTCATGCTCTCAATCGAGCATCTAAACCACAACGTTTGTTTGTTTGTTTTTTTCGTTTCAAATCAATTTCGCGTCGCTCAATTGATATCTCACTTGAATCCATCGAAAAAACTCATTATAATCGGATTGGTGTCCTTTTTTGGCGCCGATTTCAACTTTATGAACAGCTTCTCCCACAAATGCGTCTTCTCTTGCTCCAAATCGCGAATTTTATCCCTCAAACCCTTCATCTCGTTGAAGTCGGCTTCACTGATCGTCTCTCGCGCCACTACTGCCCGATTCAACGCGGTTCGCGCTCGATGCTCGGCGTCCTCCTTCTCCATTTGAAGCCGCTTCATCTGAATAGAAATTTGTTTACGCTTCAATTCGCTTCGAGACCCAACCATTCTCTGAAGCATTAGCTTCTCCTTATAAACCGTTCTCAGGTCCTCTTCAAGCTTCTGCTCGGCTTCCATCGCTTCGGCAAAAATCGAGTTTCCCTTCGCGGCGTGTTCGCCACGATTCCTCAAATCGAACAATTCGCCTTCCAACTTCTCGATTTCCTCATTTCTCCCTTTAATGTGATTCTCGAGGCTCGAAACATGGGCTAAAGTATTTTCATAGTTCTCCTTCATCCCTATCAACTCTTTTCGAAGGCCCGCGTTCTCTTCGTGAAGCTTCACAAGCTCATGCTTATAAATCTCCATTTCAGCGCTCATTTTCAGCTAAAAATTGAAAACTTCTTTGAAAAACATTGAAAATTTCAAGCTCACCAATTCCTCTTCACTAAACGAGTTGGCAGTTTCATTAACATCTAAAGTCGTCTGGTCCATCCGATCAACCAATTCGCGATTCTAAAGAAATGTTTTTTTTTGGTAATTAAAAAGCTTAATTGCGATGTGAAACCCCAAAAAATCATGAAAATTGATGCAATTCCAGTTGGGAACCGGATTTTTTTCTACAAATTTTGGCAAATTTTTGTGATCAAATAATTTTTTCAAAAATTTAAAATCTTGATGCCGACAGACACATTATCTCCAATTCGACACTTGATAAGAATGAAATCAATCCATTTTTCCAGAATATTTCAATTATAACCTACCGAAATCTCCAATCGGTTCACTTCTTTCTTGAGCAATTCGATTTCGGCGTCCTTCTCGACCAATTGCGCCGTCTTCGCGTCGCACTCATTTTGAAATTCGCACAATTTCTCGCGTAGCTCCCTCTCGCGTTCCGAAATCCCCAAATCCGACATGTTCATCTTCGTGAATTTCGCCAACTCGTGCTCCATTTCCTCGATCATTTCATCTTTCGTTTTGATCATTCGTTTGAATCGTTCGACGTCCTGAAAAGTGTTTTTTTTTTTTCGTTTTCAAAAAACAACAATTTCACATACTAATCGAAGTTGCAATTTTTCTTCGTCGTCTGGCATTTTTGTTTCGTGCTGAAATCGAGTAAATATTAAATTTAAAAATGAAAAATTGGAATAATAAAAAATTAATGACGCACTTTCGCAATGCAAAATCAGAGTTTTCTAATTGAAGACCTTAAAGCCTAGAAATTTAGTATAATGTTTCAAGAAAAATTAGAAAATTTGCTGAAATTGCTTAAAACAGACTTGAAATTATTTAAATGACGCGCCGCTCTCTATTAGGTGTCCAATAGAGCGCACTTGCTGCTCTGCCGTAAAAAAAATTATTTTTCACTGAAAATTATTCATTTTTGGCTTTATTAAATCAAATTTGCGTTTCTAAAATTCTTTTCAGCGCGATGGCCAGTCATCGAGTCGCTTCAACACTTCCCCGAATCGGCGTGACAATCGGGCACGTGCCGCAAAAATTGAAAACCGGCGGAATTGAGCCAAGTCGACGCGCTCGACTAGAAGTGTTGCGACGAATTGTGACGCGAGTTGTTCGAGAGGAGCGCGTCGAATTGAAATGGAATCGTGCCGTTGAAGCTAGGCCATATTTGGAACGAGTAAGTTATTGAGATTTAAATATGAAGAAAAAATGAATTTGTGATTTTCAGTTAATTCAACTTGGTGTCGAGAGGGGACCATTAGACGAATATACAACGGAAATGATGGAATGGTGGCTTCCCGAGAAGGATTTGATCACAAAAATGCACGAGGTTTAATGGGAAAATCTGAAAAAATGGAATTTTTATGCATTTTAGGTGATAGTTCCCCGATTTGCCGACCGCCAATCGCCATTCACCTCGATCTACCGCCTACCAATGAAGCGCCTTCTTCAGCACAGCAAATCGAAACAAGAATTCTGGAAGCGCTACGAGATCGGAATTCTCGAAATCGACGGCAATCCATTCCCGCCAGTCGTCTCAACGGAAGCCTGCGAAAACTCCAACACAATTCTCAATGTTCTTCTAACAAACGCGCTCAAAAATTATCACGCCGACTTGGTGAAAAAATCCGAATAATGTTTTCTTTTTGTTGTATTTATAGGCTAGTTTTGTTGTTAATAAATTTGTTTTCATATTTCCCAATTATTTTTAGAATGGAGAATGTGTTAGTTTAAATCACATTTTAAAAAGAATATATTTGAACGATGGGGTTCCGGACAGAAAATGAAGGATTTCAGAATGTTCGACGAGCTGCCAGACGTCGTGGAAGCCGTAAAAAACAATCGATTCGAGGTGCACTTTGATTTTTTGCCAAAAAATTTGCAAAAAAGAAAATTCCAGATTGTTTTAAAAAATGTGCACATCGAGTCGGTCAGCGAGGCAGCGAATGCCGCTCAGCAGCGAGTTTTCGAAAAAGTGTGCTCAAATCATCGAAGACATTCTGTCTGGAATCAATTATTTTCAGACCCCCCAGCTCAACTTCCTCTCCATTACCTCGTGCTCATTGTCACATTTGTCATCGCACATTCAAATTTGCGCAAATCTGAGCTCGCTGGTGCTCCCAACGAATTGTCTGACGTCGCTTCCCGACATTTTCGGTATTTTTTTCGCAACAATTCTCTTGTTGCAATCTTTTTTTTTCAGACAAATTGCCGAAATTAAAAATAATCGATGTGTCGCATAATGAGATCGACGTTTTGCCGCCGTCATTGTCAAATCTCGACAAACTCGAATCACTAATTGTCGCCAATAATAAGGTTGGTTTGTGGAAAATTAATTCGCGAAAATTGTCCGCAGCATAGAATTGATAATACGATTCGTCGAGTGACTGCCGAAAATTGGCAAAATGCCAAAAAGAAGCAATTACGGTGCTTTTGGCGGAATACTGAACGTGTAGATTTACGGGCCTAGGTTTAAGGTTAGCTAGAAATATGTTTGTCTCTAGTCGGCTAGTTTTGGCGGAAATTCAAACGACTTTCTCACTTCAAGAGAATTTCTTTAAGACGATTCGGGAGGGATCTGTTAAAACTCACTCATCGGCCATTTTTTCTACGTGCCCCAATGCCAAAGTGTGTGGTCCTGAAGCGAAATTAATAATTTCCTATTTTAATGTGTGGGAACATTAGTAATTAAATAAAAGGAATTCGACCTTCTTCAAAACAAAAAATCCGTTTTAAGAAAATCAAAGTTCCGCGCAGCTGTTTTGGCATTTAGTCGCATTCTTTGAGACGGGTCTTGAAGCGAACGCAAAATTATTGTGAATTTCTCAAAGCCACTTGTGTTGTCTCGAGACAATCGGTTATGATTTTATGAAATTATTAAATTACCCATTTTTTTAAGTCGCGAAACTACAAAAGAAATTGTCAAAAGCTAAATTTGGGCCTCTCATAAATTGAAACCGAGTTTTTGTCCGCCGAGCCCACAAATTCCAAACTGTTTCATTTTCGGTTTTCGGAAGAAAAAATCTCAATTCTGTTCAATTAACATGCGAAAATCGTTTTTTTTTTTACTCAATTAATTGATTTTTTTCTTTAATTTAGTGTTTCATATCAAGTTTTGAGCGAAAATTCGACCATTCTTCACAAAAAAAAAGAAATTAATATTTTTTTTTTCCAACAGCTCACCGAAACCGGCTTTCCCGATCTCTCGAAACTCGTCCAACTTCACGTCTTCGACGCTTCACACAATTGTCTATCCTCAATTCCAGCCACGGTGGCCAGTGAAGGACTGTCGACGCGATTGCACACGATTAATGTCGCGAACAACGTCATCGAGCAGATTCCCGACGAGTTTGCGATTCTCAAACAGCTCAAAGACTTCAAAATCAATCACAACAAGTTGAAGTTGACGCCGGGTGTTTTGGCGCAACTGCCAAAATTGAAGGTGGGACCTCGCGCCAATCTTGTTTCATCCGAAATCTTCCCAATTCTCAGATGCTCGATCTCAGCGAGAATCAATTCCACGACACAAGATTCAATCGTCTCGCCAACGACAAACGGGCGAAAGTGTCCGCCATATTGGCGTACGTCGCCAAAAATGGTGTCAAATGCTCGAATAGTCCGGCGAGGGGCGGCAATGTTGATGAGGCGTCGAGCGCGCACGCCGCAAGCGATGACAACCCGCTGCTGGTGCGAACGGGCATCGAGAATGTAGGTTTTGCCGATGTGCCGACATCGTTTCGGGCCGCCAACGAGGGTTGTCGTTTTCGGTTTTTTTTTCAGCTAACTGTCCGACGGCATCCGAGTGTCGCCGAAATTCGCCCATATTTGGTGTGCTGTGTGTTCAACAATGTTGATTTGAATGGTGACGCCTTCAAGAAGTTCATCTCGCTTCAGGCATGATCAAATTTGTTTGGGGGTTCGTTCAAATTTCAATAGAAAAATCTCAGACGAAATTGCACGCGTCGCCGCTGTGCGAGAATCGAACGACGTGCGCCATCGGCACCCATCGACTCGACGCGTTTCAGCTACCGGTTTGCTATATGGCGTTGCCGAAAAATGATTTATACGTAATTCGAGGCCAATCAAGGCTTCTTGTCGTAATTCCGATGGTTGCAGATTCGTGCGCTGAACAAGAAATCCAGTGTGAACGCGACGGAGCTTCTCGACAATCTTCTCCGCGACGCGGAATTGGCGAGGAAGCGAAGCAAACGAAGCACAGTGGATCCGTTGCATAGGTTTGACGGATCTAGAATTTTTTTCCTGCATTACCCCGCTTAAAAAGATGGTCCGCTGATGGGAGGATTCTTGAAATTTTTTGAAAAACCCCGGGTTGTGTGCCGATTTACACTCATTCCGCTCGAGACCTTTTCTTTTTCTTCTACACCAATTGTGACCTTGTTCTCAGATATCTCCATTTGGTCAAAAACGATCCGGTATTGGCTTGTCTGGTGGACTCGCAGCAAATTGTGATCAGTCTTCCGCCGATAACGAATTCGGATTCGACCAAGGTTTCGTTGTCGACTCCTCACAAACACTGCTCTACAAATTATCGATTTTCCAGCTTACAACTGAAACGACGAGCGTTTGGGTCGAAGTCTCATCGAAACAATCGTTGGAGACGTGCAAAAAAGTGATGGATGAGCTCGTGACGTCAAGTCGGACCATCTTCCCGAACCTTTCGATTGATCAGGTATCGTCTTGTCATTTTTTATTGACGGATCAAGAAAAAATAGTCAATTGATGTTATTATTTGAATTTCCGCCTTCGGGTCTTGAATGGAAAACCCTTAGGAGCGAGATTTGCTTAATTAAGCCATCAAAATGTGAAGAGTAAATTTCTTGAATGAATTTAAAATTTTTGATTATTTGCAATGGGTCCAAATGACGGGAGCGCGTTTTATCTAATAGGACCAATTAAATGGCAGCGCGCGAAATTCAAAATTTTCAACAACAAAAAAATCATTTGTCTGTTATGTGGAAAATGTCGCGAAATTGCGTACATTTTAGAAAATTGCTTTATTTTTTTGTCAGGTGCGCGTTGTTGAGAACGAGAATTTGGTGTCGATTTACCCGGACAAAAATGATCTACCCGATGTCAATGTTCAACGGGTCCCGCAATAATTCAAAAAAAAGTTCATAGTTTTTCATTTCTGATTTGTTGTTCTTGTTGTTGTTTTTTTTTAATAATCAACATAATAAAATAAATAAAATTTATTATTTTGTAGTTTTAAATTTTGTTTTGAAGAAGGTCGAATTCCTTTTATTTAATTACTAATGTTCCCACACATTAAAATAGGAAATTATTAGTTTCGCTTCAGGACCACACAATTTGGCATTGGGGGACGTAGAAAAAATGGCCGATGAGTGAGTTTTAAAAGATCCCTCCCGAATCGTCTTAAAGAAATTCTCTTGAAGTGAGAAAGTCGTTTGAATTTCCGCCAAATCTTTGGAAAACTAGAAATATATTTTTGTGGATTTTCTCGCAAATATATTTCTATTTTTGTCAAAATTGGCCCAATGCTAAAAAATTTTTGAGCCCTCATTTCTCCTTATCGAAAAAAAAAACCATCAATTAAATAATTGTTGCGTATTTTATCCGCATTTCAGTCCAATTCGATAATTTCTTAAGGTTTTATGATTTTTTTTAATGGTCTCTTGGCGAATAGGCGACAAACAATTCCGCGTAAATCGACACCGAGTCGCGCGATTTCGCCAATATCTTTATTATTATTAATGTATATCAGAATACAGGAAAATCGTGATCGCAAGCACCGCAGTTGTGTGCGCCGAAGCGAAAATCGATGGCGAAGTGACGATTGGCGAAGGGTGTGTGGTGCACCCATACGTGACATTCAACGCCACCAAGGGACCAATTATCATCGGCGATAATAATTTGTTCGAAGAGCATTGCGTTATTGAAAATACGTGAGTCGTTTTTTTTGAAACATTCAAATTTGCTTCTTTGATGAAAATTCTGAAATGTGTGCAATATTGCGTGCGCGTGCATGACGTATTTTTTTTCACATATGTCCCTTTAAGTATGAAATTACTGTCCCTTTAAGTATGAAATTACCGTATTCGATCGGATTCACGAACGTTATGGGAATCAGATTCGCCCATGCGTCTTTAATTACCGTACCCGAAAAATGAAATCGAAAATTTTTACCAATTATGATTTTTTTTAAACATTCGCCGAAATCGAAATAAACCGCATGGGTCTCGCGACGCTCAATTTTCGATGAATTACAGAACCGAAGGCCAACCGATGATAATCGGCGATTCGAACGTATTCCAAGTCAAATCAGGTAATCTCGACGATGTCTCGCGGCCGAATTCCGCCAAATTCCAGAATGTCGCGCCAAATACGTCGGAAGTCGAAATGTGATCGGAATTCGCGCGCAACTCGGCGACGGCTGCTTCATCGCCGATAATTGCGCAATCGCGATCGACGGTCGAATCGGCGCGCGCGAGACCATCGAATCGTTCGTGTCGGTTTACGGCACACTGAATGAGCACCGAAAAACGGCCGTCACCAATATGGTAAACAATAAATCCTAGAACAAACTGAAATCACCGATTTTCAGCCAACCAACATCCAATTGGACCTCATGCGCAAACTCCTGCCCTCCTATCATCACATGTACGGACGTAAACGGGCAACGGCCACCTAATCACCTCAATTTTTGTGTAATATATATATGCTAATTTCAAGAGCAAAAATCCAAAAAAAAAAAAGAAAACAAAACCAACAACAACTGGGAATAACAATAACAATTTGAATGGGGCGATTCATTCCTCGACGTCTTCCATTTCGACGTCTTCTGATTCCACAAGTGGCGTCTTTTTGAGCGCTTTGACTTTTCTGAAAAGTTGGGTGTTTAAAATTTTGTTGTCCGCAAAAATTGTTTTCAAGTTAACAAAAAATATTTTTTTTCTCAATTCTAGGATGACCTTTGAAATTCAAATTCAAGGAAAAAAAATTGAAAAAGCTATTACTAAGTTGAGGAATTTCAAAAAATTGCAATTTTTCGCGAAATTCAAAAATTCACCTCGTCTGAATATCGTCGGTTCGCTGTTTGCCGACGTGAACACGCGCGAGCTGATTGCCGAACACGTCTTCGCTCATATTCTTTCTTCTCTTCTTCAACAACGCCTTCGGCCGTCGGCACGCGAGTTTGAAGAGCGCGTCATCCGCCAATTTTTTGCGCATAATCTCGAAATTCAGCGCGGGACCCATTTCGACGAGCTCGACTCGCGGAGTTGACGTTGCCGATTTTTTGAGATGTGTTCTATAGAACAAAAAATAAAGAAACTTGCAATTCTAGGCGAAACGCGAACAATTCACCTGTAGACCCTCATCAAGAGCGTTATCTCATCAACGGCGGTGAACACGATGACCGTTTCGAGACCCTCAAGGCGAACCTTCTCGATTTTCGGACCACGAAACCAATCGATCATCAAATTGCCGATTCGCTTCATTTCGGCGTCCGATTCGAACGCGGCGCCCTCAAGAATAATGCACGGTTTCGAGCCAAGCGTCATTTTCGGCGTCTGAAAACTCGCTATCGTTGGTCGGATGTCGCAACGATTCGAATCACCTCGAAGTTCGACGACGATTTGTAAGCGGTGATTCGCATTTCGGCCATATCCAACAATTGTCCGTCATACGTTCGTCCGAACGTCAACAAATTCGGGCGCTTCTTCGAATTCGACGCCAACACGAAAAGCGACGTGTCGAATTTGGTGCCGGCGCGGATTATCGGCGTCTCGTCCTCGAACAAATGGAATTGATTGTGCCTTGAAATGTGGGTCTCATCACGAAGTCGTGTTTTGTTTTTGGAGAATAAATATGAATTCTAAAGCTTACTTATCCATTTTTGTCACCAACGGCTTCTTCAAATCATACAAATCGAGCATGGCGTGATTCAAAATCTCATTCGTCTTCAAGCCTTTCGCAAATAGCGCCTTCTTATCATTCTCAATCGTTTTCGGCGCGCGATCCTCCAAAACGCGTTTTCCTTTTTTCGTCTTAATTTTCTCAACTCGAACCATTCTGCAAAACTCATTTGGAAATTGGGCAAAAATCCGAAAAAAAATAAGCAAATTTCGTTGAAACAACGTTTAGAAGCCAAAAAAGAAAGATGCGGCAATAAATAAAATTATTTATAATATAATTTATAGGGAAATAAAGGAGTGGGGCCTAAAATATCACAAAAAAAAACCAGTGGGGCCGAAAAAATACACGAAAAACTAAACAAAAACAAAGAAATTAGGTGAAACTCGCGCGGCAAAGCGGACACGACGACTGATTGCTCGACTCGAACCATTTGTACTAGAAAATTACGTTTGGAAATTCTAGGCCACGGCCGCAAGATAATTACTTACCAAACAGTTCGCGTGGAATTTGTTCTTGCATTGACGGCATTTCACCTAAAATGTAATTATTTGAGCAAATAAAAAAAAAACCCCAATCGCCTAATCAAACTTGAAATAATGCAAATTTAAATTTAAAAGTTTTGTCGGCAATTTGAAACACTTCAATTTCTACCGTACTCTCATTTTGAGGCCGGATTTCAAAAAAATTCACCACAAGACTCAGAAGACTCGAAATTCTAAAAATTCATTTTCGAAAAAAAAACTTCGCATTAAAAAATTTGACTCAATTTCGCCCAATTTGGAACTAATTGCGGTTACTGTAGCTAAAAATTCGACGATTCTGGCAATTTTAATAAAAGATCCTTTACAAAAAAAAAAAAATGCGCAGAGCATAGATTCAGAGCACCCCAAACGAATTCCAAAAAAAAACAAGCAATAGAATACACACCCTCGGCATCTGGTGCGTCGTCGAATGAATCGTCATCATGCAGATACAGCAAGCTTCGGCTCCTTCAACATCGCGATCCACATTCTTTCGCCACATTTCGATGCCCTCAACCGTCGAACCATTCTGCAAATTCGTTCGACGCCGCCCTTTTTGAAATTCTTTTTTTTTTCAACATTCCGCAAAATTTTAGAAATTTCGGCCAAAAAAAACATCGATTTCCACTGACAAACGAGCTTTTCTTCATATTAATTGAAAAAAATATAACTGGAACTGTTGAAAACTTCAAAAAAAAAAAAACAATCCCGATGAAAACGCAATCCAATTTTCATACCTGATGAAACAAATAGGCAGTGAGTTGAAGAAGCCATTTCTTGGCGCGATCCGACTTCACAATCGCCTTATCCAATTGAATCGAAGGCACCGTCAGCGGCCAATCCGCCGGCAATCCGATCGTCAATCGCATCGTCGTCTCATCGACCGTATATTCAGCAACAACTTCGCCCGAAACCGGAATTACTCGAATCTAAAATGCATCAAAAAAAAAGATATGCCCTATTCCAAGCCAAAATCTCACTTTCAAATCCGCATTTTTCTTCTTGTCACTATTCATTCGAACCTTTTCAAGCTCATAATCGATTAAAAGACGGCTGACATGACGCTGAATCGTGCTGAAAAAAAAACCATTCCAATTTTTCGGCCGATTCGCGCCTACTCATGAACAATACTCGCCGCATTCGTTGGCAACGATTTATACCAAAGTCTTGCTGCCGCCGGGATTCTCGACAAAATTCTAAAAATCCACATGCCATATTCGGCAAAATTAAATCGAAAATCACCTGAACAACAAATTGGCAACATATTTATCATAGAATTTCGTTGAAGGTGTGATGTCGGGCATCGTGTAATACTCCTTCTCCTGATTTCTCGCTAACAAAAAAAAATTCGAATTTCATTTTTTTTAAATCGACGAATACTCACGAATAACTTGCGGTTGATTGATAAGTACCGCCTCCAAACAAGGCCGGATTACGGTGGCCAGCGTATCACAGTAAGCCATACGGTTTTCCGGCGATGTCGTCAAACAATCCATCTGGAAATTTTTTTCGATTGCCAATTTTCCAATGAGCCTCGAATTTACATCAAAAGGCACCAAGCAAACGTCAAAAAGCATAGTCGTCGTCCAACGAGAAGCCTCTTCAAGCGTTTTTCGAATTATATAAGGAATCTGGATCTTCAACGACTCCATTTCAATCGCCGATTCTTCAACTTCCATCGCCAATCGCTTCGAATTCTCGTTTTTGAACATCAATGGCATGAGCCTTTAAAAAAAAACACACATTTGAATATTGGCGAAACACAAAAAAAACACTCACAATTTCGCCAAAACCAAACCAATAATCTGGATTTCCTCGAGGTCCTGCTTCAAAAAATTGAACGCATTCTCAATGACGAATTGTTGAGGCGGCAAATAGCTGAAAATTTGCGTCGCTGAGAAAAAAGCGTCGTTGGCGGGACAAAATCGAACTTGAACGCGTCCAATTCGGGAACAAAGCTGAACATTGAATGGCTCTCGAGGTCCGGAAGCTCGTTGATCGCGTTCAACGCCAACCACATCGAGTGAAGGAATGGCGACGGCGCGCTCGTCGATTTCACGTGCGGCAACCAATTGAACACCAATTGGATGATCGTCGGCGAGTAGAACTCGACCCATTCCTGCAAGCATGATGAGTTTCGGTCGATGATCGATTATCCATACAACAATCATCGGCGAGTCGTCTCGATTTTTAGTCGACGCCGAAATTTTCGCGAAAATCTCCAAACAAATCGCCGCCGAGAACTCGACTTCCGGGCTCGTCTCGACATCATCAATAAAATCATTCACACTCTAGAAACCAACATATTTCAATTTCAAAAAAAAAATAAAGAGGAAAGGGAAATGAGCGCACATGGAGCATCGTGATCACACCGCACAACAGGAAATCGACCAATTCCTTATTCGGAATTTGTTGCTCATCGAGCAACTTCTCAGAAACATCGCGAATTCGCTTTAATACCAGATAGTTTCGAATAAAATTGTCCAAAGATGACCTAAAAAATGTAAAAAAAAAAGAAAAATCTTCAACACAAAATAAATTACCCGGCAATCGTGAAGATATCCAAAGGGCTCTGCTGATTGAGATTGAGCACAAACTCAAGGAATTCGATTCCGTCACATTCAACACATCTAAAAATCGCAAATTTGTCACATTATTGGCTGTAGTAAACCACAGACTTCTCCACAAATTGGTTCGTCTCATCCGTCGCAAATCGAAACTCGCAACTCGATGGTCCCGCCGAGAGCACGTCGAACCATGGAAATTCGCTCGAAATCGTTGCGAACGCACGTTGAACTAGCGGCGAACTCAATTTCAACGCGATTTCGTTCAAATTTTGCGCGATTCGCTCATGCAGCTCGATGAACGGATAGCGTTTTCGGCAGTATTCAGCGATGGCGAGAATCGCCGCCGCAAAACCATGAGCCAATTCACTCGAATCTACAAGAACCCGCTCAACGTTGAGGCAATAACGAAGCAAAAAAAAAAGAAAGAATGAAAAACTCACTGGAGCCTGCCAAATTCAAAACGGCGAGGTTTGAAGCCTTCAGAATCCGCTCGTAAGCTTCACAACCGCCCATCTTCCGTGCTTTCGTCTTCTGCGGAACACTTTTGGGCACATTTGACGAATATAGAAGACCATCAACGATAATCTAAAAGTGAAAATGAGGATTTTAGAAAATCAATTTTTTCCCATTTGAACTCAATATCGAAAATTCCAAAAAAAATCGACGTCAATTATTTTCAAAGGCGCACACGAGGGTCTTGTAGCGAATAATTTTTTTGATATATTTTCCTGGATTCATCGAAGACGTCAAAAATTAAAATCGATTTTTTTGGTGGCCGAAAAACTCACAAATTCAAAATCGCTAATCAATTGAGAAATGTCGTTTTTCTGAATTTGAACGCGATTTCGCACACCATCTCTCGTCGATTCGTCGCATTTCGCCAAAAACTTGTCAAATCTCGACGCGATTTCGACAAGCCTAGAATTTTCGGATGTCAACGCGAAACAATCGATTCAACTACCAAAAAATATCGAAATTCTGCGACGTCAATTCGTGGAAAAACGTCGACGGTATCAGTGACGGATCGATGAACGCCGCAATCGTCGCGTAATGGTCAGAAGTCGCCGAAACTGCAAAGAGACAATTTTGAATTCACAGACAAACGGTCGGGTAAATGAAAATCAATCGGATTCGAAGAAAAATTAAATATAAATTAACCTGTTTCGATAGAAAAATATTTCAAATTCGATTAAGAAAACGCTTAAATTCGATTTTAAATTTTGGTTTCGATTCAAAAATCATCGAAATCGATTGATTTATTTCTCATTCTTAATTTTGAAATCGTATTCGATTGAAATTTTGGAATAATTCGAAACAGATTAATTTACATTCGAATTAGATTGAAAAATAAATTATTTTCGAATCCGATTGATTTTCATTTACCTGAGAATAAGCACAAAGGAGGCGTTATTTGAGCTCTTGGAAATCATAGGAATCTTAAATTCAAGCTCAATGGAAACATTTCAGCGTGTTTCTCATATGGAATTAGTTTTATGTTCTTCGATATACTTTACGTTCCATATATAGCCCCATCTTTCATCCACAACCACTGAGAATCTGATTATGCTTCCATATAATGAGCATAATGCTTCCGTTCCACGGATTTCCCACGCCTTATCTGTGTTGAAAACTTCAATTTCCCTACCGTCTTCGACGAAAAGCAAAGAGAAGGCGTGAAGGCAAAGCTGGTTCACATTTTCAGCATCAAGCTGGAATTTTACGAATAAAATCTTTTCCGCAATTAAACAAAAGAAGAAATGCTCACGTTTTCTGACGATTTCAGTATCGAGACAATATAATCAAGATTGTTCGCGACAAGATCCGTTTTGATGTTCAAATTCTTCTCCTAAATTTCGGAAAATTTAGAAAATCGATTCACAAGGACATTTACATGAATCAAATCGGTTGTTGCTGCCACCGAAGCACCATCTCCTTTAAGTTTCCAAGTCTCAAGCATATTCTGGATGACGTCCGTCGATTCTTGACGATTTTCGAAATAACGCCTCCAAATTTCGGTGTTTTTCGACGATTTCAAGAACAATGCGCGACAAACATCATTGTTTTCAATCTGAATTTTAAAAATTGGAATTATCAATTCGCGGTGGGACCCCCCAACCAACCTTTAGCGAAATCTTCTCCGAATGCCCGATATTGACAAATCTCTCAATCAAATCGGCGATAATTTCTGCTTCAGCGGAATTCCAACGAGCGATCGGCTCAATTAAAGAGTGATTCGTGATTTTCTGTAAAAAAAAAACCAAATTTTCTATTATTCCTCAAATCAAACCTCAACGACATTTTTAAAATATTCAGATTGTGAATTTTTCAGCGATTTCAACGCATAAAATTTCGCGTTTTCCGATTTATTGATCAATGACGCATGAATCGTACACAGTTGAACGTGTTTGCCCGGCTGGAGGAGCTGCTCATAGAACAAATCGTGATGCGCCTTTAAATCTTTCAATTTTTTTCAATAATCACCTCAACGTTACCCCCGATTCCAGCAAATCGCAAAGCGTTTTCGCTTCTGAATCCGAAATCGCGCTCTTTTCAAAAATCCAATGAATCAACGAGGCAACGGTGTTCTCCGTCGATGATTGTTGAGCCATTTTGGAAATCTGCCAAAAAAAAACACAAAAAATTCGAGGCGAAGAAAAAATCAAAAATTACCGTTGGAATGAGTGTGTCGAGAATGTCTCGATTGACTTTCGGCGAGCTCAAAACCCATTTGGTGACTTCGACAAACGACGTCGCCCAATTCTCGACGACAATTTGCGGAACGCTCGCGTCAAATGGCAAATTATCCAAAAAGCTCTCAATGATTGCGGCAAGCGATTTCGTCTCAGTGTGATCCTCCTGGAATTGCTCGTGAAGTGAAGCGACGCACGGCAACAAATGTCGTCCCATTTCTTTCCAGTGCCTAAACACGAAATTCATTTTTCTCTTCTGGGTCTCGACTGGATTGCCTACTCTTTCTTTTTTCTTATAGCAAAAAGAATTCTAGGAAGTATCGCTTTTTGCAGCGAGAGCTTCGCAAAAGTACTGAAAATTTGAAATTCGTGCCACAATCTCTGACCCCACCCCCTCATACGATTTATCAGCTAGAAGTACGATGAGTCCACTCCAAGCGGCTTCACAGATGACGCCGACTTCAGAATCCAGCGACGCCAGAATCCATTGGGCAATCGGCGAGTTGAGCATCAATTCGACATGATTTGGGAACATTAGGCAAAGCGTGACGAGACCCGTTTTAAGCTACAATTAGAACATCAATTTTCCGCTAAAACGAAGAAAAATTACATTGTTTTTATCACTAGAAAGTGTTTTCTTGACAAAACTCGCGTTTTCGAACAACTTCCTCGCGCACTCCATCCATCCGTCGCGCTTCTTCGTCATAGTCGCGATTCTGTTGATCGCGTTGAGCGCCTGCGTTTCAAGCCGCACTCTTCTCTGCTCGACGAGCTCCTCGGCGTCATATTTGGCCGGATTGCAGAGCTCGTGAGACTGAGTGGCGAGCGACACACACAACTCGACGCACGATGGTCCGAACATGTCGATGGCGTTCTGGCGGCGCTCTTCAGACGCGAAATTCTCGCGGAGAACAGTGTCAGCGGCGGCGCACACGCTGTTGCTCACATCGCACAGCTCGAAAAGGACCATTGGCAATATCTTAACGGACCATGTAATTTTCATAACAAAAAAAAACAAAAATTCACCTTCTTCAATCCTTTTGCCGCAGATTTTTTCAATTTCGTGATAAAATATGAAACCACCTTCATTGTGAGCAGTCGTACAGTTGGACTACCATCCTAGAAATGCAAATTTTCTCAAAACTCCCACTAACAATCATAATTACTGTAGATAATCTATCAACAATTTCATAAAAATGTTGGTAGCATGATTCAATACAGTCGTTGTGCTCGTTTAAAAACGTGATCAACTCGCGTAGACCCTGAAAAACGGGAAAATTTTCGAATTTTAGGCCAAATTTTCAACTTTTTCCCGTGTACTCGAGTCTTTTTTCACTAGCTTCCTCAAAACAATTCGGGCCTCATCGTCGAGCGGATTATGATTGTCGACAGCGCTACTGGCAAACTTAATTCTCAATTTTCTAATGGAAAATGCCGAAATTTACCTCAAAAATGTTCATTTCTGGCGTCAACCCGATGAATGTAGCGCCGGTATCCGATAGATACGCGTGAGCCGCCGAGCTGCTCGCATTCTAAAACACCTAAATACATTCGAAATTGGCACATTTTCGATATTCACCTTCGCGTTTCCTTTCCTTCGTTGTGGTTTACTCATACTGAAAAATAGTAGGAAAAATAGGTGGACTAATCGAAAAAATAATATTAAGTGCGATGGAGCGCATTTTCCATAATACAAAAAATTCAAAATTTCAAATTGAAAATAAAAATTGCTTAAGTTCAAAATGTTTACAAAAAAATGACAAATTGGATATATATATGGTTTTCCATCAAAAGCTATTATAACAATGAACGGGAAATATTACCAAATATTGCAAAATCATTATCAGTGATAAGAGAAAGTGAAGGGAATATTAGGAAAAATCAGATTGCAATTTAAGTATAAAGGGGAAATGGAAATAAAAATGTTTCAAAGAAAATGTATAGAAGAACATTTAAAACAAATATCGGATTTAAATTGAATCCAGACGATTTTCAGCTTCTTCCATGCAAAACAATAATGCTATAATTCCCACAGAAAACAGTTATGCTATAATTTTACTAAATTTTTCATCCTTCAATAAAAAATTCCGATTTTTCTCGAGAGAGCTTATAAAATGAAAAAAAAATTGGAAAAGGAAAGATAGGATTACGGTAACTTAATTAAAGGCTCATTGCGCTTGTAATAAAGGTATCATGTAACGAATTGAACGAAAATTATTTTCGAAACTTTTTTAGCCCTAAAAATTCACATCATTTTGTTTAAATTCGCTTTTTCTGAATATAAACTAATTTTTCAGAATGGTTGTGACAATATCACTTTTAACACAACGAGACGCACGTCTTGCGGTTATTTGGTAACTTCCTCTGGGATTATTCACAGACCGATAATTCGAAATTAATTTTTTGTTAATTTCCAGGCGACTGGCAATTTGTTCGAGGAAATCACGCATCGGCGGAGTGTCCAAACAAGAAATACGCCGACAAAGCGTCCGTGATGCATGGTAGCCATGCAGCACAGCCCACATAATTAATTATTTTAGCACATTGATTGGAAGATTGATAGAAGGACACGGTTCGGTGTCGGAAAAATGCTCGCTTTACATAATTGCCCAATTGATGTTTGGGACTACAATACTGTTCTCTAGACAAGTAGAAATTTTGCGAAACGACGCCGTTGAGGCGGTTGAATTGTTGAAAAACAAGTTTCGATCTGAGCTTAATGAAATGAACATCGAGTATTTTTATTTAGTGATTTTATTTGTTTCAAAATGGAATCGTTATAGAAATCCCAAAATTACTAAATCAGATCGAAAGAAGATGATAGTCTTGAATGACACCGAAAGACCACCTCATAAGCGTCCCCGAAAGTCGCCAGCAACTGAATTAGACACTTCATTAGATATCACGTTGGACCCAAAATTAGTATTGTGTCAAATGAATTAAAAAAAACCTCCAATTGCGTTTTAGTTGCTTCCTGTGGCCGATAAGCATGCAATTACACTGCGAGACGAATTACCATCGGCCTGGCCCTCAAATTACGTCGATGAAGATGATCTAGAACCTCTTGAAGCTGATGATTTGCACCAATTTTATGACGCCTACGGTGAAAGGTACTTGAAAATAAAATTTCACATAATTATATATCAATTCAGGACATTTCTTGAATTCCAATCCTCAAGCAGTGCCAAAAGGCAAACTGATGATATTCGCAATGCTGAGTCGTTCGCTTCTCCGCCTCCACCGCATACTGATGAATTGGTATGAAAAAAAATTTTCAGCGTTTAAGACAAACATTTTCTTTCAGCGGCCTTTCGAATTTCGAAATCCTGAAGAAAGAACTCCGGAGAGAACCCCGTCAAAACGAAAATCTCGTACTTAAATTTCAAGTATTTGTATTCAATTATGCGAAATTTCAGCTTTCGAACCAGCGCCAGGACTCGAGGACGTTCTCAACATGCCATTATTCTCATTCGGCGATCGCCATAGTTCAATCGAATTGGACGAGGAACTTGATAATTTGAGAACGGTAAAAACAACAATTTGCTTCCAAATTTGCTAAATTCCTATTTTTTTAGTCATCAGCTGATTCGCAAACGGAAAAATTCGTCGCTCCTCAAAGTGTAAATCTCGACAATATTGATGCTAATCAGAATTTTTGAAAATTTAGTCTGAAGGTTTGATACTCGAGTCAATCGATGAGGTTGAGATTCGGAATTTGTCGATTATGAAAACTCCCATACGACGAAGACAATTGAATAATCGTGGAGTAACGCAAATAAGACATGTAAGGGTTTTCCAATGATTTGAAAGTCGAATTGAATCATTTTAGGATCAAATGCGCGAAATGCAAAATGACTATTCATCGTTGAAGCATGATAGTGCAAGAAGATTGATGATTGATGAGACGGAGATTGCGCATTTGACATTGAATCAATTGCTTGACCCAGTGCCGCATGTTCAAATTAGCAGACGTTTCAATACCATAGAGAACCTGTTAGAGAAAATAAAGCATTGCAGGCTTTCCACGTGAACTCGTGAGTTTGTACGAAAGGAATAGGAGGGGGGAGAAGTACAATAAAGATGTTGGCACAATGGTGTCCGATCTCAATAGTACCATGGATTCTGAAGAGGGATTGACAAATGTGACCGGCTTGAGTGAACTTGACTTGGAGAATCTTCGTTTTGGCGAAACTCCTCTGAAAGAGCAAGAAATTCGAGTTCGAAGGTGATTTTGGAATCTGAAAATTTGTTTTAAGCTTTGGAATTTGATTTAGTCCTTCACCCAAGCGAATTGAAGAAGTCGTAAGAGAAGGTAATTCTCAAAATGACGTCTCGAAAATTTCGGCCGTGTTTGACAATGTGTCACTTTCAAGGTAATTGATTATCAGTTGGATGCGAATGATTCATATTTTTCTTGTTTTCAGGTTTTCGAACGAGAACAGCCAAAAATCGACAACAACTATTGGGTAAATGGAAGAAGTCTAGAAAATAATGATCAAAAATCGTTTTTAGGCCATTTGCAACAGATCAACGATGCACTGTTGATGTGAGCAAACACGAAATTCGTCAACGAGTTTTAAGGTGACTAATTTGTTAGAGTTACTCATCATTTTGATTTGTTCAAGAGCATGTCAGATATCAGCACCGTTTCCCGGCAAATTTGAAGAGATGCTGAACCCGAATGAAGGAAAGCGGGTGGCTGCTAGAGCGTTTTATACGCTTCTGGGTAAATTGTCAGAATTTGCGGTTGCCTAAAAACCGAATTTTGTAGAAATGATGAAAGAAAGGGTTGTAAAGGTGAAGCCGCAAGAGAAACCGTATGGCGCGATTGAAATTTTGCTCGAATCGCCCGAAGGATCACTGGATCTCGACGAGCCGGAAATGAATGAGGTGAAAAAAATTGAAGCTCTTTTTTTCATTAGAAATGCATTGAAATGAAAAAATCGATTTTCAATATTGAAAATACGACTTCGCTTCGATATATTCTTAATATCGAAGTCGCCTTGCGTATGACGTGGCGGGGATTTTTACGCCACGTGGTTAAGTGGTGCATTGTCCGTGTGGAGTACACAAAGCGTTTATCACCACGCGATTTCGCCAATAAATTATCAAACCGAAACCTTTAATTATCGATTCTTTCAGGCATTCGTACAGTCATGAAATCATCTCTCGGGTAACGAACCCCACAAACCTCTGTACCATAGTATTCAGCAACTGTCAAATAATGTTCATTGTTGTTCGTGAGTGTGTATTTGTTACTAATACAACTGTAAGATAGCGTGCTGTTATTGTTGTAATTTTCGAAATTCACACAAGAATCATCATCATAGTAGGTGGTTCGTTTGTTTGTTTTTTTTCCCCTTCATTTTTCTGTAAAATGCTGCCTGTTATTGTTGAATAAATTTTGGTTCGTCATTCATCATTTCATAAACGGTCTCATCGTTGTCTCAAACCACAGAAAAAAAGATCTGGTTTTGAATGATCGCCGTCATTTTCCATTTCCTCTTCTTTTGTCTCCGCCCATCGCCTTCTTCTTATTCTTCATTCTCGCTCACATTTGTTGAAGATTAGGACCCCCCCCCTCTCCTTTTTCCTCCGCAGTTGTGTTTGTTTTAAACTTACGCGTTCTCCACAAACTTTTTGACAAAAATTCGATCGGTTTTGATTTGGTTTTAAGATGTCACTCGTGCTCGCCGCAATTTTCGCGGTTCTCGCCGCTTCCGAAGCCGCCAAATGTAGTGTGAAGAATGGTGATATGAGCGCCAGATGGCAGGTATCGCAATCCCACATTTTTTTTCTCAAATTTCGCTTTTCTGAATCGAAACAATTTCAGGTGGTTGACGGCGAGCTCACCATGGAAGTGACAACCAAGAACATGGGCAATAACCAGTGGTCGGCGGTTGGATTCGGACCAGATATGGTAATTCGCTCGTTTTGCTCTTTTTTTTGTGAGCCAAACAATTTTCTAGAGCGATTTGGAGGTCATCGTATTTCGGGTAATCGATAATTCGCCGAGTGTTCGCACCGGAACCACCAGCGGCTACGGTGCGCCGCAATTCGACGCGACACTCGGACTCAGTTTAGAGTCTGTCGATTATAACAGTGAGATTTTTCACAATTCTTGCTAGAATAAGGGCAAAAGGCAATGGAAATATTTAAAAAATGTATTGTCGGCGTCGCGCGACTCCGAAAAATTGGCTGAATGCCAAATTCACAATTTTTGCTAGAATGTATTGTCGGCGTCGCGCGACTCCGAAAAATTGGCTGAATGCCAAAATAAAACAATGGTGCAAAACTAAATGTGTAGATTTGCGGGTCTAAGTTAAGCTTGATTGCGTGGCCCCAAAAAAACCAATGTTTTTTTCGCTTACGTCAAATTTTTTAATTTTTTTCGTCGATCTACTCTGATTATGCAAAATTCAATTAAACCTTTGTGAATTTTGATATGAATACCATACGTTAAAAAAAATAATATTCACGAAATTTCTTGTATATTTTTTAATATAAATCTGTGGTTTATGAAAAAAAAATGCCGATTTTTTGACACTCGGCCCCACAATTTTTTTTTGGACGGGCAGAGAACAAAAACGTTGCCAAGATCACAATCATGGCATTCGTGATTTCCATCTTTCATCAACACAACAGAGAACACGTCAAATTGTAATAATGAACCTTCACGATTGAAGTTTGGACAATGAAAAATCGAAAACTGCGTATTTCGAGACATTTTTTGTAAAAAATATGAACTCTTTCGTAGTATTTGCCTTCAAAACATACGATTTTCACACAGCTCTTATCGAAATGGTGGCGTTTTTCAGGTAATACCTTCGTTGCTCGCTTCTCTAGACCACTCGGATCCCTTTCAGGATGTAAAACATGGAACGTAAGTGTTTCGCCTCTTTTTGCTCGACCAACTAACATGTTCTCCGCTGAACCCTTGTTTCTTGTAGTTCGTAACCGACGGGACCATTGAGGACGGCGAAATCGGCTACCACAATTCGCCACCACATTCGGTTGAGATTTGCGCGAAAAAGTGTTCGAAAAAGATCTTCTAAAAAAATCCCATAATAATGTGCCCATTTCAATAAAATCTCGAACCTTCTTCTTCTTCTTCTTCAAAAAAAAAACCCCCTCGCACAAAATTTTTTGCAGTTTTTTGGCGCGCAAGATTTGACGAACAACGGTGAAGTGATAAGCATGGGTTCTCCACAGATTCGGGTCACGGTACGTTTTTTTTCCACATTGAACGAAAACCAAACAAAAACGGAAACGAATCACATTGATAAGGGTTGGATCGAAACGATCACAGGCTTCCGGGCACGTGATTCGAAGAAATTACCAACACGGTGGCCAATTATCGACGAACACGAGTTCCTGGTTGGGTCTGAAATCGGAAAAATTAAATCGAATTTGAACATCAAACAATTTTTAATGGCCGTGGCCGAAATTTTGTCAGTTCATCCACGGTCATTCTTTTTTCTCATTTCAAATTTAAAAAAAATACAAAAAAGTTGCATTTTTAAAACCTAAAACCTTTCCACTACCGTCCACAGGCTTTCGCTCTGCAATAAAAAAAAGAAAGATGGATTGAAATGTTTGGAAACAATTCTAACTATTTAAAATATTGGAATTTGAACATTTGGAGGTCGTGGCCGAATTTTTCCACGTCCAACCAGACCCGATTTGTTTTCCTGATGTCTTATCATTCATCTTCACAAACAAAGCTGACAAATGAATGGTCTTCGGACGAAATTCAAAAAAAAAAGGGCCACAATCAATAATTTTTAGAACGTCTGCCCGGCAGAATGCACCCAAATCTTCATGACTCGCACCAGCATCGTAGATCCGGTGCCAATCGCGGCAGTCTACAATAATCGCATCTCGACGCGATTCGACGCGCTTTTTGACAGCAACTAATCAAAGGAGTGAAAAAAAAAACGAATGAATGTCATTGGTCTTCATTTCCAACAGCTTTCTTATCAATTATATTGAATGTGTTGTCCTTGAGATTCTCGTCGGTGATCTCGACGACCTTGATCTCCGAGCCGGGAACTTCAAACTTCGCATTCATCACCGCCTTCTCAACAATACTCCTAAAATGATTGAATTTAGCGATTTTTCCACAAATATTGCCTATTTTTTCGGAATATGCCGTCAAATCAAGTTTTTTTTTCAAAAATTATAAAAATGCCATTTTGAAACAATTTAAAAATCGCTTAAATATCGACAAAAATGATTTTTCTTTATCCAATCACTATTTAAAATTTCGTTGGCAACTGCATCAGCTAAATTGTGGATTTCAAACTATTCAAAAAATGCTCTACTACCCTATATGGACATCAACAAAAACCAAAAGAATTGGCTTACTTGAGCGCTCTCGCTCCAGTCTTTCGTTTCACCGCAATCTCGGCAATTTTGTCGATGGCGTTCGGCGAGAATCTCAACTCGACGCTCTCATTCTCGAAAAACTTTTTCGTTTGCGCAATGAGACTTCCGCGCGGCTCGGTGAGCACCGCCACCAAATCGTTTTTGTCGAGCGCGTGAAACGGCACGATTACCGGAAATCGTCCGACGAGCTCCGGTATCATGCCGAACGCGATCAGATCGCCTTGATCGCATTGGCGAAGGAGCTCGTCGCGCGCTTTCGACGCAATCTCCTCATTCTCATCTTTGAGCTTGTCGCTTGATTCACCATCCTTTCTGTCATGCGAGCCGAAGCCGAGAACCCTGAAAAATTTCGGAATCAATCAAATGAGGGGTGGGGAGGGGAGATCAAGCTCAACCGTTTATCCATTCGTCTCGCAATCACGTGCTCAATATTCGAGAACGCTCCGGAAGCGATGAACAATACGTTGCTGGTGTCGATTTGGACCTTCGAGTTGGGCGCCAGCGGGTCGCGCACCTTCACGACAGTGCCTTCGACGAGCTTCAACAACGCCTGCTGTACGCCTTTTCCGCTGACGTCGCGATTCCCAGAAGTGTGAAGTGGATCCGACGACGTGTAGATTTTGTCGAACTCGTCCAAAAACACAATACCTCTCTAAATTTTGGATTCAATTAACTTGCGCGTTTGAATTGGTCTCGAAACGCTTTCAAAACGCCAAGCCCCCACCAACTTACTTGACATTTTTCGATATCGCCTCGCGCTTCGGAAAGGAGTTTCGCGATCACCGTGTCGACGTCATCGCCCACGTAGCCGGCCTGCGTGAGCGTCGTGCAATCGCAAATCACAAACGGCACGTCGAGAATATCGGCGAGCTTTTGCGAGATGTACGTTTTGCCGGTTCCCGAGGCGCCGAGCAGAATCATGTTGGACTTCTCGAGGAGGATGTCCTCGCGCTTCTCAATGTCTTTGAGAATTTGACGCTGCGAGCGCGGAATGTAGTCGGCGACAAAACTGCAACACATCGCATTTTGGAACATCGGGTTTTTTTTTAAATAAAAATTGCTTGCACAAACTTGTCGTAAAACTCATCCTTCTTGTTCTTTTTGAGCTCTTTTGCGGCCGAAACGGCTTCTTGGAGAAGCCAGCGCTGAAAAATGGGAAAAATTAAAATGTTTGGCTGGGAAGAAAAAAGTTGAACGGAAAAATGGCGCCTGATTTTTATAATTAAATGACGCGCATTTGCAATTTTAATATGAAACTATCAACAAAAAACTTAAACGCTAAATTTGGTCTATTAGAATTGAAAAATATTGATTATAATATTTAAAAAATTCGCAAGAAATGAAACATCATGTGATGGCCTTATTTTTTTCTAGGCCACAGGCCCTTTAGACGTTAGCTCTTTAGACATCCGTTTTTCATGAACTTCCAAGGTTTAAAAACGCAAAAATCTAAAAAAAAAACAATCCGAAAAACCAAATTTCGTCAAAACTTTAACTTCTTTCAAAATTCAAAAAAAAATTTGTGGCCTAACTCTTTCCAGGCCACGGCCGTTTTTTATCCGTCGTCCATTTCCAATTGCAAAAAAGCTTACTTCAGAAACCCTCGCATTATTCTCAACCCTTCGATAATGCTGATAAACTGCAACAGCGAGGCATCGCTTAGCTTCTTCCTGTCCAATGACATACTTGTTCAAGTGTTCCACAATCTCCCTGAATCCAATTTCAATCAAAGTTTTTTTTTGCGCCCCCTGAAGAATCAACAACCAACTTTGGGTATAAAATATGATTATTTCGGTCAGACGTGCCCATTCCTCGTCCATACGTTGTTAGGCCATTCGGCGGCGCGTGTGTTAGTGCATATTTCGAAAACTTGTCCATAAATGGTTATTGCGCCCCAAGGCAAAAAAAAAGAAACTAAATTTTCTCACCGAACTCTGGTTTTTTTTCGACAGCTTCTTCGATTGAATCACTCGGCGATTCTCGAATTTCGTTCGGCCGATTTTCGCGCGAATCGAACTCAATCGAATGCCGTTGACGTTTACTGCGATCGATTTTTGAAGAGAATTTTTTAAAAATTGAACCAACTTGGTGAGATTAGACGAGATTTGGTTGCAATTTGAAGCATTATCCGCGAGTAATTCTAGTCGATTTTGATTCTAGTAATATTTTGAACATCAAAACGTGACGCACTCTTTTAATTAATTTATTTTTTTCGTCTTTTCACTAATGTATTTTTTAGATAATAAAATCAAATATACTTCATAAAATTTGATTTTTTTTGAATTGAATCCAAGACATCTGCGCCTTTAAAATCGTCTTCCGGACAGAAAATTGGCAAATGGTGAGGAATGGTCTTGAGACGAAGATATGCGGACATTCCAAAATGCATACGCATATCGGCAATTCCAAATGGAGCGCGACGTCGAAAATAATTGATTATTCATTTTTCCTTCAAGAAAACCTTCAAAATTTCCTTTAAAATAAAAAAAAACTATTTATTTTCAATGAAAATTGTGGCAATTTTCAAAAAATTAATATTCAACAGATTACAGTAATACAGATTAAAGGCGCATGATAGAGTTTGTAACATAATTTCGCGCCTAAAAAGAAATAAAAAAAAAAAGGAATTAATAATTTGAATGAATTGAAAATTGGAAGACGTCGCAGAAAATTTTTCCTCTTAAATTTTAGCCACTTTTATTAAAGAATTCGTGCGTTCTGATATTTAAATCACTCATTTTCACTAAATTATTAATTTACAAAAAAATTTAGGCGTGAAATTTTTTCGAATATTTTATGATGCGTCTTTGAATTGTACTACTGTATCGTTTTGCTTAACTAAAGCATTTTTTATATAAAATTATAAAGACACAAATAATAGCATTTGACCTTATTTTTTCTTCATTTCCGGCCGACAACGCTAACCAAAAACCGGTTTTTCGAAATAGCTAAGTTTTCTCAAGGCAACAACAAAATTTTTTGTAATTTTTGTCAAAAAAATTACCCAAACCAATAGTACATATTACAATAATAAAATAAAATAGTAAATAGTGCTATTGATTGACTAAAAATTGGTTATTTTTTGTTCAACATCGATAAAATTGCCAATTTTGTTCAGAAGAAAAATCAGAAAATCGAATTGAATTTGATCAATTGACATTGGTTTTTTTCTCATGTTCATTGTCTTCCAAAAAAGTGTAATTTCGATTTTTACGTCATCGCAAAATCACATCAGAATTGTTTCAAAAATTATAAGGCGACGAATTTTCTTAAAATAAAAATCCGTACTTTAAGAAAATTTTCATTTTTGGTTCACAAATTCTCAATTTTCTCCTATTTTTTGCAAATCCGTTCATCTTTTGACCCATTTGCAAGCAGTTTACCACCCAGTTTCTCATCGCAAGGCCAACTACGTCACAATCTTTGATATCTGTAGCCCTATAGCGTTTTTCGACATTTTTTCAAATATACTTCATAATATTTCATTTTTCTAGTTGAATCTAAGACATCTGCGAATTTAAAGTCATTTTTCAAACAGTGAAAATTAATTAAAATATAATTTAAAGGTCCCGACAACTTTTTGTTAATATAAATACTAAACTCAAAAAAAAAATTAGAAAATTCAATGCTCGCCATTTTTAAGCAGAAAAAATCTTTCGCCATTTTAAGCTCAAAAAAATCCGAAAATTCGATTTTCGCCATTTTTAGCTCAAAAAATTCAGAAAATTCAATTTTCACCATTATTAAGCAGAAAATTTGCGAAAATATTTTATATTTGTTTCTTTTTCATTATCAAAACTGCAAATCTATGTAATAATTTGCCAAAAATCGTTTCATACAGTGTAAAGTCGGCGCCTGACCTCATCGACCTCTCCCATATTTGTAATTTTGCTTTGGAAATTGCGTGTGTCAGGTCTCAGCCGACACCTTTCCCTGATTAGTCTGACTGGTTTTTTTTTGTTCGCCTTCCAATTTTCGTTTTCAGGTGTGCGCTCTTGTGTGTTCGACGACTACTCAATACAAAAGTGGCGCCGACGAACGCTTTTTGAGTGACGACGACGAAAACACGCGCTTCTATGACGGCTCATCATGGTAATTTTGTCGTCGTCGTCAAATTCGCATTCGTTTCGTTGCAGGACCCGAACCGACGAGACTCATTCGGTTGATTAGCGCGTTTTTTGAGAAATGGGCGTATTTTGTCGCGAATCATGCGGTCCTGCTTATTGTTGTCTGCACCGTTTTGACACTATTGGGCACTTTGAAAGTCGCCACTACACCGTGAGTATGAAATTTGCAAATTTAAATTGAAACAGAATCGTAAAATAAAAAATAAATAAATAAGGATACGGTATTTATAATTGGGTGTTTGCGGACTTGCGCCTATTTTGACGCACTAATGCACAATAACCAATTTTTCCCATTTAAATATCTCGGCTCTATTTAAATTTTAAGTAGAATTTTATATCAAATCAAATTTGTATTATTTTTTTCTCATCATTGACTACAACCAATTAGCGACCACTTAGACTATATTTGATCACTGCACTCGCCTCTTAAGTAATTAAACCTGTCGAGGCCTTGAGACGCTATAAACCTAGCCAAAATGGATAATTTTCTCAAATTTGCTGTTGGTTTTCAGAAACGAGAATGATATTACTGGGTATACGCCGTATGGAGCGAGGGCCAGAGACGAATTTGAAGTGATTTTTGTCGTTGGATTTTTTCCAGAATTTCCTTTTCTCGATTTTTTTTCCAGGTGATGACTGATTATTTCGCACACAACGGCAACGGAATCGCGGTGTTTTTGCTTCTAATTCCAAAAAACTATGAAAATGTCTTAAATCGACCAGTGCTGAAAGAAGCGTTGAGGGTATTTTCAAACAAAAATTTTTTTTCCAGATATCTTCATTCGAAAAATTTCAGGTTGAAGAAATTGTGTCGACAAAATTCAAAATGGCAAATTCACAAGGAATCGAGCAAAACTATCGAGAGTTTTGCACAAATTTCTGCCAAATCAACGACCCGTTCGTCCAATTCGCGGTGAGACCCTCTCCGATACTGTAACTCGATAATTTTGACGAGATTGCAGCGAAGCTTTCTAGCCGAATCGGACTCTTCGGAGAATTCGACATCGCTGTCTGATCGGATCACGTTGAACTATCCGATTTCGACAATTTACTCGAGAAAAATGAACATTCAGCCCAACTTTTTTGGAGTCGAAATGAAGAATTCAACCGCAGAATCGGGAATCACCAACATCAAGTCGTCAAAAGTTGGAAAAACTTGTGTGAAAATCCCCCCAAAAAAACTGCTCACAATTTCAGCTAATCGCTTTCCAAATAAGGTCGGAACGTAAAGACGGTTGGACGACGCAGAAAATCAAGGATTTTGAAATGCAAATTTCCGATTATTTTGACAAGTGAGGCAAATTATAAATAATAGCGCTCGGAAAAAAAACAGCAATCAATGAAATTTAGAGAATTCGTCTCGCAGGAAGTTCGCGTTCTCACATTATCAACGTCGAATATCGAAGCGGAAGTGGTCCGCGCCGGAATGTCGCTTCTACCATTTTTAGTAGTTGGCTTCGCGATTATGGCGGTCGTCTCGTCAGTGACAACATTCATCTCGGCTCTTTACATGCACCAAGTCTCCATTCATAAGGTACCTCTTGGGGTCATATCTAGCCTGAACCATATTTGAGTGATTAATGAAGCTCTAAAAAAAATACAGCAAAATTTCAATTTCGTGCAAAAAAATTCAAAAAGGCATTCAAAAGTTTTCCCTTTTTTGGAATATTTTTACGGAATTTTGAATTGTTTCGCGCAAAAATTTCAAAACAGATCCCCACATAAAAATCCAGGGTCTTTATCAATTTTTCGTGCTAAAACCCGACTCGATTTCAGTTCTCTCTGGCTCTTGCTGCTTGCATTTGCCCATTTATGGCGTGCGGCACCGCTCTTGGCACCCTATTCATTTGCGGCGTTCGATTCGGATCCGTGCTTTGCGTTACGCCATTCCTCGTCCTCGCCATTGGTAAATAGCCCATCCATCTGTCGACATTTCAACGTCGCGTACGATTTTAGGCGTCGACGACGCTTATTTGATGATCCATTCGTGGCAACGAGTCACCGCCGAGCGTCGCAAGAATCCGATAGCCGATGATTCGTCGGCGAGTCGTTTGGCTGAAGTGCTCATCGACACCGGACCGGCGATTCTCATCTCGGCGCTCACCAACATTTTCGCCGACGTCGCCGGCTGCTTCACCTCATCGCCGGAATTGACGCTTCTCGCCTATGGCAACATGGCGTGCATATTTTGCGATTTTTTGTATCAGGTAAGCGTTCTCGTCGACATTTCATTTTTTTTTTAATTCCGCTATACACATCGACACCTAGTAGATCACCTTCTACGCGGCAATCATGACAATCACGGCGAGATTCGAGATGCGCGATGAGGATCAGAAGAAGCACATCAAGAAAATCGCGTGCGGTGTCGATGATGAGAGCGAATCGGTGAGTTTGAACACTTTTTTTTGAGAAATTTTCAATTTTCAGAATATTTCCAATGAATCGTTTGATATTATTGTGAAGAAGAGGGTTTCGAGATTCCTTGAAGCGTATATCTCAATTCTCACCAATGCGATATTCCAATTTGTCATTATCACCTTATGGCTGATCTACCTCGCATTCTCCATATTTGTAAGCTAGTGGTTAAGCATTTAAATTGACCCATGCAATTCAGGGTATTCTGATAATGAACATCAATTTGAGTCCGAAGAAGCTTTTCATGGAAGATTCGAGCTTGATCGAGGTTTTTTTTTCACTTTTTTGTGTTGTTTCATCGAATTTCCTCATTTGTGATTTTGAGATGGACGATTATCGTGTTGACTACGTCGTTCCGCACTTCTATGTCGCGCAGGTGTTCGTCACGAGACCCGGCGATTTGTCGGATGGCGATCGTTTGGGAAAACTTGACGAATTTGTCGATGAAATGGAACGAATCAATGGTAGTTGGGGCGCGCAGAGCACCAATTATTTTGTGAGGTTTGTCATTATTATTGTTTCTTTTTTTGTTTCATCTCACGACACACACACACACGAAACAATCAAATTTCTGATTCAAGAGATATGCGCGATTTTGAGGCGTCGCTTCGCGAACTCGATGAAGATGAATCGGAAGCGAGTGGCGTCGCGATTTCGACGTCGACACCCGGCGGTTTGAACGTCGCCAATTTGCCAATGTTCCTCGAATGGCCCGAATACGCGTTCTGGAAAGGATTCGTCCAGTTCCATAACGAATCGTTTGTGAGACGATCAAACGTTTATATATATTTTTTTTCCAGAAGCCGAATCGTCCTTGACAAATTCTTCATCACGTTCGCCATTCACGGCGACAATCTGAGAACGTGGCCGGCGCGTGGTGGCGCACTTCGCGCATGGAGGCACGTCGTCGACAAATACAAGTTTGATGAGATTCTTTATTGAAGGAAAAAAATTGAATACGTGTTGTCAGGAGCGAATTTGGTTTATCGGTGTATTCCGACGATGGCATATATGTCGATTTGATTGAGAATATGCCGACGGATGCGTGGCAGGTGGGCTTCAGATGAGTTTTTTCCGAAACGTTTTGAATCGCCGCTATTCAGATTGCAAAAAATACTTCAAAATCCCCCCTTTTTTCCAGCACTATTTTTAGAATTTGTTATTTGTAGTGTATCCCGGAAAATGTCCGCAGATGTTTTCAATGAGAACATTCTTGCTATTCGACATCTCTTTGGCGATGAAATGTTTTGCTTTCAGTCCGCAGTGGCCACCCTCTCCTGCATGGCGCTGATATGCTTCATCTTCATGTACGATATTCCGACGGTGATTGTAGCCACCTCAATTATCGCCAGCATTATGACAGGTTGGATCCGACACTTTTATTGAAAGAGATTCCCTTGTCTTCCCAGGAATCCTCGGTGTGCTCTCGTTCACCGGCACCGATCTCGATCCGATTGTCATGTCGGCTCTGATCATCTCCATCGGCTTCTCTGTGGATATTCCAGCGCACATCACCTATCATTATCACGCCTCATCCTCGGCGGATTCCGTCGACGAACGCCTCCATTCAACATTGTCGTCTGTCGGATTTCCGGCTCTTCAAGCCTCATTCTCAACGTCGCTTTGCGTTCTCTCGCTCAAACTCACCTCGGTCTACATGTCGAATGTAAGACGATCATTGTTTTTTTTGGAAAAACACAAAATTGAATTCGAATGTTGTTTTTTTTAGGTTTTCGTCAAGACAATGATCGTCTGCATGATACTCTGCGTCTTTCACGCCCTGCTCCTTCTGCCGTGTCTGTTCTCGCTGGCGCACCGGATACTGTCGCGATGTCGTGTTCAGCCGGCCGCATGATCTCATTCATTCGTTCACCAATGAATTATTCAAAATTGTGCACGAAAATTTGTCGGCGGCGATCCAATATTTCAAATTCGGGAAGTCGTTTAGGTTGGCTCGAAACCGGTAGCAGTGGGGGGCTAAAACGGAAACGAAATTAGCTTTTTGACACGCACGAAACGAAAAGTCATCGGTTTCGGCTCATAATCGGCGCCGCGCGTTTGAAATGTGCTCTTTTTCGGTGTGTGTGTGAAGGAAATTGCTCTTTTCATGGTAATAATATGGATTTTGCTATTCTAGCGCACCTTTTTGCAATTTTAAGCCATTTAAGACTTATTTTCATTGATTTCTAATTTTCGGTCAGCAAAAATGCGTCATTTTCAACAATTTTCAAAAATTGTCGAAATATTGCGCTAACATTTTTGAATAAAAATAATGCTAAATGAATGCATTTTAATAAATCCCGAGGATCTGAGAATCTATGATTCGATAAAGAGTAACATGGGCCTCCTGAATCCCCTCCGTCGATCGAAGCACTTGCCAACATTCGCCCTCTATAATCGACCATAGCAGAGCAAATGCGGCCAGATCGATATGTTACTTGGCGCCCTCCTCGGTCTTTGTAGCTCAGACCGAAGCCAAGAAAAAATTCAAATTTCCTCGGGGAACGACTTTCAAAAGGATAGTCTTCGAAGATATCACGATCGTCACTTGCGTACAAAATCACAAAGTCGTGATGAGAGTCTATGACAATAACCTACAAAATATTGAATCAATTATAAAAAATGTTCTTTTGAGAAACCTTCATTAAATGCCGAATCGATGGATTAATTTACTACTTTCACAATAATAGGCTTCGAGAGTAATTATAAGGGCACGCGGATTCAAATTTCATGTGCTTGTTGTGTTTATGCTTACTTTTGTTGTTCTTCTTCAAAGCTTTTAAGGGAGTTCTGGGTCACTACATATTGTTACATTTAGCGCGAATTTTCCTGACACTTCCCTAATATTCAACGGTGGAACTCGCCGTGATTGAACTCGACTTCATTATTTTTATTCCGCAATATTTCGACAATTTTTGAAAATTGTTGAAAATGACGCATTTTTGATGAATTAACAGTTTGAAACCAATGAAATTAAGCCTTAAAATTGCGAAAAATTGAATAAGAACGCCAAAATACATATAATTCATGGTGCTCGAGACGGGGGCTCGCTTTACCATTTATTTTTTTTTTCGGCGCTGCTCGTGTTTTCCTTTTTTTTGCTTTCGAATGTGCCTGACGTGTCTGAAAATGAGCATTTTGTGGCGTTTTGATCACAATAATTACGGAAACGTCGACGACATAAATCGCCGGAATGCGTGATTGAAGCGGCCGAGCAAAAATGAGGAATCGCGGTGTGGAATTGGCGTGATGGTGAATGCACGATGCGCAATAAATCACGGACTATTTATTGATTTTTTTTTTAAATTTTTTTTCCTGAAAGGCATTCAGAATTGAAATAATTATCTAGAAAAACAGTGGACTTCTCGAATTTAAATTTTAAAGGCGCGTTCGGGTCTCGCAGCGAAAATCATTGTATTTTTAGATATAATTATTTTTTTCAATTCTCCGGAGAAAATTATACAAATTTTTGACGGGCAAAAATATGTTTTTAGGCGATTTTCGCAAATTATCAACAAGCTTGTTTTCAAAAATATCCATTTTTTTTTCAAGTGCCGCCTAGCGAGAATGTTTTCAACGGCGAAAAATTGTGTTATTTTTTTTCAGAAAATCATAATAGCGTGCAATTGTGCGTGACGGTGAACACACACGAACATTTTCGTGGTGGGAATGTGATTTGCGAAAAAAAAGTATGTATTAATCATTTTCGCATGGGGAACGAAAAAACGAGGGCGTGGTTTTTCGTTTCATTTCCATGTATAGTCATTCACAGGCTTAGAAAAAAAAAACACGACTCGGCCGCCCGTCTTTTTTTCCTCCCAAATAATTTCTTTTCAAATTTCTCGGTGCTCCAAAATTGGAGTTTAACACATTTTGATGGTTGGGGTAGATTTACGAGAGCACACGCCTTTCGCATTTTAGAGCAAATGTAAAGAAAAAAACAATTAAAAGCTCAAAAAATTGAATAAATTTTATTGCGCTAAATTGAGGGCAATGTGTGAGTGGAGTGTCGTGCTGGTAATGTTTAAAGGGTTTCGGGAACTCCCGTAGAAACTAAGCTTCTACTTTTTCGAATCGCTGATTAGCTTTCAAAAAATCTACATGTTTCCAACTCAATTTAAAGGGACATGAATTGTTGGAAAAGATTTTCAGCATCATAATTCTGAAAATCATTTCGAATCGCGACGAGACCTTTAATCAAAATTTTTAGAAATTCGACATTTCGCCAAAAAAAATCGGTATAATTTTCTTTCGAGAATTGTAATTAAAAGTGACCGCGACGCGAGCCGCGACGCGTCTAACGACATTGGCGAAACACCACAAAAAGTTCGCCCACCCGCTCGGCGCATTGGTGTGCTCAATTCGTCCCCAAAAACCTAATGATGTGTGATGCGAGCCGAATCGCGCCGAGCACTTTCGAAGACTTCAATTATGGGGGGGGGGGAGTAAGATTTTCGAACAACAAACTTGTTTGTTGTTTTTGAGCATTCGGGTCTCGCCGCGAATCGGCCTACAGTAACCAAAATTATTGATTATCCTAGATTTCTCTGAACAAAAAACGAGCTGTCTGCGTCTCCTACCATTAAACGCTCTCTCGTTGTCTTGCACTCTCTCGATTGTACACGATCTCTCAAAACGCAGACGGACGACTTTCTTGTGTACTCCACACGGACTACAATAGAGCGCGCTATCTGAGAAAGCGATTTTTACGTGTTTTTTTTTTTTGAATCCAAAATCTTTTTCTTTTGGTTTTGACTATTTTTTCGACAAGGTCCCGACACGAAAATCAATAAATATTCGCTTCCCCGTCTCACCACGAAAATCTCATTTCGATTCATTCGCTCATTGAATTTTAATACCCGTTTCCTGCATTTTCGTTCATTTTTTTCTGGACACGTCGGACAGCATTGTTCGATTGTCGACGACAATTGTTGCCGAATAATTTGATGAGCTCAGTCGGCGAGGAGAAGGCGCATGCGCCTTTAAACACATCGATCAATTTGTGCGAATTGTCGTCAATTCAAATGCATTGCGTGAAGCGAAAGTCGCTTTTTTTTGGCGATGTCCCCTCTTAAAAAAAAGGACTACGGTAGACCTCTTAAAGGCGCATAGCCGCATTTAGAAGCATTTCCCTTCAAGCACCTCGAAATGAGCTTTTTTTCTCGTTTGTGCAACCAGCGATGATGATTTAGGGTGACGAAATGGTGTGGTGTGGGCGAGAGAAAAGAAAAAAAACGACAAGGATTAATTATACCACAAGAAACATACACATATTTGGTGTCGTTTTGGTGTCGAAATGAGATTTTTCGAGAATCTCGAGAGTCGCCTTTTTTTCGTCAAGAAGGCTTGTCTCGTTTTATATGACGATATTTGTTTTGGTGCTTAGGTCCGCAATTTTGCGTCATCCCACATTAAACAGATTAAAAAAATTGTTTTTTAGTTTATTGCAAGATTTGGGTCAAGTCCGCAATTTTGCGTCAGACCCCTTTAAACAGATTAAAAACCCATTTTTTAGTTTATCGCAAGATTTGGGCGAAGTCCGCAATTTTGCGTCAGACCCCTTTAAACAGATTTAAAATTTTTTTAGTTTATCGCAAGATTTGGGCCAAGTCCGCAAATTTACGTCCTCCCCCTTTAAACAGATTAAAATTTTTGAGTTTATCGCAAGATTTGTGTCAAGTCCGCAATTTTGCGTCATCCCCCTTTAAACAGATTAAAAATTGTTTTTTAGTTTATCGCAAAATTTGGGTCAAGTCCGCAATTTTGCGTCATCCCCCTTTAAACAAAAAAAAATTCTGTTCAAGACCACAATTAAAGGCGCACGCTTACGCGAAAACCTTCCAGGAAAACGCGTATTTTTTTTTTTCGAAAGCGAGCAAAAAAAAGTGGAAAAAAAGCAGAAAAATTCGAGTTCCTCGCGGAAATCAAATTTTTTCTCTGATAGTGATTTTCCCTGAAAGGCAATTATTGGCGGGAATTTAAAATTCAGGCAATAATTGAATAATAAAGAATTCTCGATGAAGAAACAAAAAAAAAAGAAATAGTAATCATAATTGGGTTTAGACATCGAGGCGTGCGCCTTTAAACGCAACAAAATTCGATTAATTCAATTCCAACGATTTTAAAGGCACATGCCATTATTGCGTCATATCCCTTTAAACAATAGTAATATTACTGTCATTTTTGCAAAAAAAAAATGTGGATATTGTGTCATGCGCCTTTAAATTTTTAAATGATCCAATTAAAGGCGCATACGAGAGAAAAAGGATTTATTGGGAAAAAAATGGTCGACGCAAACTTGCGGACTTTGTGCACAATTCGAAACACCCCCTTTAAGTCATCGTTTCGACGAGTAACTATGCCAATTTTCGCAAGGCGAAGAAAACGGCGAAAAAAAAACTAATTAAAGGCGCATCGTCCATAAAGAGGAGGCGTCGAAAATAGGCTAGCAATTAGGCAGTGCCATTATTCGCCTCGAGACCATAATCGAAAAATTAATTTCGATATCAATTTATGTGGCGTGCGCCTTTAAACATCTCAAGTTTCTCACGCAGCGAAAACAACAAACAAACGAAATTTTCAGAGGGAAAAAGCTGAAAAACAAATATTTTTGCCGCAATTGCGCGTCATTTATAGTGCAAAACGCGAAATGCGAGATTTCGAGTGCCGGTGCAATTTGTCGTAAATTATGATGCAATCGGAATTTGTTTCCATTTTTGTTGAAAAACAATTTTCAAGCTCTCGCACACCTAATCGCATTGTTATCGCCAACGAGACGCATCCTTGATACAATTATGGAGTGGCTTGTTAGGCGATGAAGAAAGCGCTGTCAAATGCGATTTCCGGTCCGGAAGGGAAGCGGCATGACGACGGTATTGTTTCTCAACAACAAAGAGTTCCAATTTAATTTCATTGTTTTTTTTTTCGTCCAATTTTTTTGCGCATCTCATGCATTATTAATGGGGCCGGGGAGGTCGTCTCAAACTCAAATTTCAGTGTGTCAAACAGAAAAAATTTTGTTGCCACAACTATCAATTTTCAATGAATGCGAGCCGCCCGCCACTTGTACACATTTCGCCGCGCCGCCTCTCGTCTCCCATGTGGTCTAGTGGTTAGGATTCGTGGTTTTCACCCACGCGGCCCGGGTTCGATTCCCGGCATGGGAAGCCTAGCTTTTTTTCACATTCGAGAATGTGACGTGATGTGGGGAGGAGCTGAGCAACGCTTGGCCACGCCCATTCTGAAGCACTCCCCCCCCCCTCTCCAACCCTTCCTCTCGTCATTGCCATTCGCCATTCTCCCATCATACAAGCTTTTCGCGGGTTTTGTGCTGTAATTAGGTGTTGTTGTTGTTTTTTTTTCTCATTCTCTTCCAATTAGCCTCCTTCATGATCCTTTAATTCATTGCCATATATAAAAGTGCATTATGTCGTTTTTTTACGACTCGGCCTACTCGCGAGTGAAGCCCAATCTCAATAATGGAAAAGCGCACCCATTACTTTAATATCCATCTTCAGCCTTCACACTTATAATTTATTGATATGCATTTCAGTTTGATGAAGGTTTGCTCAGCTCAATGTGTTGGGTTACGGTAGCGAGGCTCCGTGTTGGGTTACGGTAGCGAGGCTCCGCCCACTCGTTCGAAGGGTTTCAAGCACTTCTCGAACGACATTTCCTCGCCTCGTTGAGGTCCCCAAAAAATGGCGGGTCTGAAATTTGCGAGCCATATCAAACGGTCCCAACACGCGCATCATTCGAACTTGTAGGGGCGAGGAAATTGAGTTGAATGCTCTCCATCGTCTATTTTTTTTGTTTTCGCCATTTTCGGCAATATCGAAACGAAAAATTACAGGTTAAACACACACAAAAAAAGAAATCATGCAGACCTATTTGATTGCTGTCGTTTTGTCGGTGCTTCTCGCGTTCGCCTCGTCGCAATATCTCGACACCGCCGATGACGCCTACCTCATCGAGCCGGTAAGTAAGAAGAGGGGGGGGGGGTCCATTTAAAGGGAGGTGTCGAATGACGTCTTGAAACATACAACATTCAAGATGTATGCAATTTGAGACACTCATTTATTTTGTTGTAGGTCGACAAGAGAAGCCCGAGCGCGAAATGGATGAGATTCGGAAAACGATCGCCGTCGGCGAAATGGATGAGGTCCGCACTTTTGGGGGGTGGGGGGGGTCCGCTAGCATATATCACCAAGTTCCATTCATTGAACCTCTAGGAGATTACTGTAGCTCAAATTGCTCCTAGATTACTGTAGAATATGGGGGAGGGGACCTTCTAGAGATTACTGTACCACAAATTAGCGCTGTGCTTTTCCTATTGGGATCTCTCAGATTATTGTAGCATCAATAGTATTTCATTCAAATTCTAGGTAGATGACGTCAGGGTCGAGATTACTGTAGCTAGATTACTGTAGCATATGGGGGACCTTCTAGAGATTACTGTACCACAAATTAGCGCTGTGTGTTTGCGAATAGCGCGTCGAGCTTTCCAGTTTACTTTAGTATTTCATTGAGCGTATAGGTTGATGACGGGATTACTGTAGCTCGAACTGCTCCTAGATTACTGTAGAATATAAGGGGGGGGGACCTTCTAATTTTCATTAAGCCTCTAGGTTGATGACGTCACTTCGTAGGAGCCTCCAGAGATTAGTGTGATTGCCTGGCAATTCACTTCGAGACCCGCTCGCGATTACTGTAGGAGGCGATTTGCAGATTCGGCAAGCGGTCGCCATCGGCGAAATGGATGCGATTCGGAAAGCGAAGCGGCGACGTCGCCGGTGCTGAAATCGACTATTAGAAGGAGGAACGAACACCAACAAAAAAAAATAAGAATAGACATTTTTTGATCTGACCCATTTTCTTTTTCTCTCTCTCTCTCTCTCTCTCACCTTCTTCATTTCCATCATCAGCAATCAAAGACAAAAAAAAATAAAGACCAATTGTGTGAAATTCTGTATAATTAATCGACCATTTGCGATACAATCAGACGAATAAAGATCGTTAATGTTTGCATGGTCCCATTTTTTGGTGGTTTGCTTCAGAATTGTGCAAGATTTGGAAAAATCGGCACCGCCCTGGTTTGCTCCGCACAAATCGCCTACTAATTTTCAAATGGAGGTTCGAAAATTTCGAAGAGAAGAAGCGCGAAGGCTGACAATCGGAAATTTATTAAAAATCAATTATTTTTAAATTTTTTTTAATGCAATTAAATTTTTTCCGAATTTTCACGATATCCCAAAAAATCAAAAATGGACTTTGATTTTTGTTTCGTCAATTTTTTTTTCCGAATTTCGGATATTCGGCTATTCCGCTGCCCCGCACAACCCTGATTCGGACCACCAAAAAAAAAAAAACGTCTTGCTGAAAATTCTTGTGCTCAATAGAGCGCACTTGCATCGGCTTCTTTTTTCTGAAAAGGATTGACACAAAAAATCAGGTGCCATTAATTCCGTGAAACCATGGACGACTGAGAGAAAATGCCGAAAATGGGGGAGGGTTGTTTTTACCAAAAAAAAAAGTCCCTTCAAAATTATGGGACCCATGAAAAATTTCACGTGCGCCATATGTACACTGATTTCCACTAGTGCTCCAAAATTGGTCCCAATCGATCCATGGGGGGGCTAAGAAAAAATAGGACTAATTAATTAGCAAGCCGCTCATTCAAAACCCCCAAATTCATCAAAATTCGTCGCAATTTTTCGATTTCAACTAAAATTTTAATTATTTTCTCATTTATTTATTGTGTTTTCAATAGAAATCGGCGAAATAATACGAAAAACGCAAAAAAATTCGAATATAAAATTTTCGAATTTATGGCGGACGTGAAATATGCCATGGCCGAAAAATTCGAGGCCGCGGCCGCCAAAATTGAATCCTTAAAAATAATGATTTTCGAATTGCGTTTTCAATAGTGCAAAAGAAAAAAAAAGGAAAATCAGAAGAAAACCAGCGTGCGCCTTTAATTACACTTTCTAAAAATGTTATTAGAAATCGTGAAAAATGCAACAAAAAAAAACTCGCATGCGCCTTTAATCATCTACAGTAATACAAGTTTGTTTGAAAACAAAATGCCAAGCAATTTCTGCCCCAGTGTTTACATTATTTTTTTCTCCAACCGTCTGCGTCTCAAACTACACTGTAGCCAAATATGGTTATCAAGCGTTCATCACCAATATCGACATTGCCAATTTCTTCATTGTATTTCAATTTTCTCGAATGGGTCTCGACGCGATCTCATCCATTTTCTTTTCATTTTCCAGCAATGTCGCTTTTCGCCGACATTTTCAAACTGGTCTACGCCACCTATCGCCAATATTTGTACACGAGCCTCGCGATCATTGGTCTCGTCTGGAAGCGGCTCACCGAAGGCGACGACTACTTCCGCGAGTACACTTATCCGAAGCCCGATTGTCTGACGTATGGATGGAATCACAAGTACGTCCAGCTCAAGGTTGGTGTTGGTTGTGGCATTTTCAAATTCAGGACCATTGAAAACCTATATGTGCGAATTTTTATGAGGGTCCGATGAGGAGACGCTTGAAAATCCAACTTTTTTGCGGATCAACGGACCCTCATAAAAATTCGCACATTTAGGTTTTCAATGGTCCTCAATTCGAAAATGACATTGTCTTGTCACCAATTTGTATGGTTTTCTCAAAATGGCGAAATTTGGGGGTGGCTTATCGCCGTCGATCACAATGCCCATTTTCTTCATTAAAATATTTTTTTGTCCGTGTGGAGTACACAGACGCGTCTCTTCGTCTCGCGACCATCCATGAATTTTTTGCGGTGCTTAATTTACGAGAAAGTGCAATTTCGAAAAATTTGCTGAGATTCGCAATTTGAAATCCGAACATGATGGTCCCTTCTATGTATTTTAGGGTTCCAGCTAGTGCTCTCAGCGAATTTATGAAAATCTCATGAAAAAATTTAAACTCAATTTTTTTCCGGTTGAAAATTGCAAAAAAATTCGCTTCTTTTTTTTTCTGAAAATTTTCCGCACGCCTTTTTTGTCTCGTCAAAATTCTGAAGAATCTTAAAAAAATTTTTTTCAAAATTCTGAAGAATCTTAAAAAAAATTTTTTTTTCAAAATTCTGAAGAATCTTAAAAACAAATCATCACGAAAAAAAAAATCAATTTTCATTTAATCGGTGTCACACACCTCGACGCCAATTTGCACACACAATCGGGGAAACAAAACAAATGATTGCAGAACGTGCGAATGCACTACGTCGACGAGGGCGACGTCGACAGCAGCGACGACGTGCTTCTGATGGTGCACGGTTTCCCCGAGTTCTGGTACTCGTGGCGATTCCAATTGAACGGTCTGAAGCACGCGTTTCGATGCATCGCCATCGACATGCGCGGCTATAATGAGACCGACAAGCCGACGACGACGTCCGACTACAATCTGAAATTTCTGATTGAAGACATTCGCGAGTTCATCGACAAATTGGGTATACTCTTTGGAGGGTCCGAATTCTGGGATTCGAATTTTTTCAGGCCTTCGACGTGTCGTCCTCGTCGCCCATGATTGGGGCGCGATTGTTTCATGGAGGGTGGGTTACTGTAGCTTCGCCACAAGACCATTTTTGCTCTTGCCCATTGGCTTATTTTTAAATCAATACCTGCGTTCCATGATTCTCCTCTCAAGGTTACTGTAGCTTCCTTTAATAATCGCGCTAGGACCATTATTATGGCCCATAGGCTTTTTTTTCAAACAACAACTTGTTGCTCATGATTCTCGTTTCAAGATTACTGTAGCTTGTCGCGCCAGGACCAGACGACAGTTGGAAATTTAAAAATCTTCAAAAAATGCTTTTGGTTACTGTAGCTTTTCGCGCGTCGCTTCAAGACCCAATTGCAATCTTCCAGTTCACGATGCTCTACCCCGAGATGGTCCACAAGTTGATCATTCTCAACGTGCCTCATCCGGCGGCGTTCTTCAAAGTCTACACGGAGAGCAAAGAGCAGCGCGCGAAGAGCTGGTAGGGGTTGTTCGCTTCGAGACCCACACCATCCGATTGACAGGTACATTTATCTATTCCAATCATCGACGATTCCCGAGTTGGCGATGCGCGTCAATCGAATGGCGATGCTCGAGAAGATGTTTCGCGGGCGGAAGGCGGGAATTCGAAATTCGAATAATTTCACCGACGAGGACATGCTGGCGTGGAAGCACGTGTTCAGCCAAAAACGTGAGGCCTACGCCGAACGCCCAACAATCATCAGATTATCCTTCTAGACGCCATCACGGGACCATTGAACTACTATCGCGAGATGTTCAACGCGCCGACGATTGCCAGCGAGAAGATGCGAATTCGGGTAGGTGATGAAGATTTTCTTCATTCTCTTCTTTCCGCAGCCGCCGGTTCTCATCATTTGGGGCGAACGCGACGCGTTTCTCGACAAACGCGGCGCCATCGAATCGGTCGACTATTGCCGCTACGCGCGCGTTCATCTGATTCCGACGGCGTCGCATTGGGTTCAGCAAGACGAGCCGACGCTCGTCAATCATCTCATCGAGGAGTTTGTGCGCGACGACGTCGATCGCGTCAACTATCGCATCATCAGGGAGCTCGAGAAGTCGAAAATTTGATTTTTGTCAATGGAGCGCGTTTGCTCTGCACACTTCATTTTGAATAAACTAGCCATTGGTTATTGTTGTGTGCGATTTCGCGCCGCGGTGTTTGCGTAATTCAAGGCGAATCGTTTTAAAATATCGATATTAAAGGCGCATTGCCACGTTGGCTTCGCGTCGGGACCCCCAGTTTCGGACATTGTCGCTACAAATTCGAATCGGTCGCTGTCAAACATCCAAAACAATGTCGGGGGTGGGGAGGGTGAATTAATCGAATAAATGGACGCTGGTGGTCCCCAATTTTGGAAGATTGCGCGCCTAATTGATGATCCTAATTTACAGTAGGCTGCGCCGCGAATGCGAGAGAGAGAGAGCGAGCTCGACGAGGAGCTGGAGCACCTTGTTGCTCCCACTTGTCATATGTCAAGTGCCAATGGATACCAGCAAACAATATGACGCTTAGTTTATGCGCTTAATTGTCTAATTATGATAGTTAATTGCTCTAATTAGCAGAGTTTCGATTTTGGGTAATTAAGGTGATATTAAAACAAATGTGTGCAATTGAGTTGGAAAACATGTTCTAATTCAATTTTTTTTACCACGCTCTTAATTGGGCAATTGAGCTATTTAATTACCCTAGTGTAATTATAGTTGTCGGAATTTGAAAGTCGAATTTTGTCGAAAAACAAAATCGCGTTGATTGGTGGGCCACGCCCATAATGGAGCTCAAGCCACGCCCACTTGGCAGCTTCCAATTATGGTGGCGCACAATCGGATTTTTGTGGTCCGCTATTCGATTTCGTGGCGCCAAAATTCATTTTCGCGTCGAAACCATATAAAATGATGGACTACGGTGGATATTTCAATTCGCCGCCAACCGACGCGGCGACGGCGACGGCGGCCGCCGTCAGCGCCGCTTCAACCGTCGCCAATCCGTTCTTCATCGGCAATGGCTATTCGACACAATCGACACAGAATCTCTACCATCAGTATGCGAACCCTTATTTGGCGGCTAGCGGAAGGTACGTTTTATTTAGATCGAAAAATCAATTTGAAAAAAAAATTTCAAAAAATGTCCGAGTGAACACCGACGCGAAATTGCACACATTTCGAAAGTTTGTTGATTTTTTAATTCCACCTTTTCAATTCCGATTTTCTTGATGACAATAACCTAAATTTTTTGCCTAAATGTTTTAAATTGCCTAAATTTTTTGTTAAATCGATAATTTTGAAAAATTCGAATGAAAGTTTTTCGATGAAATCACGAAAAATGTTTTTTGCATTTTTTAAAATCAAAATTTCACTATTTTTATCATACGATCTTTTTTTATTGATTAGTCAAAAAAAACTTCACTAAATAAAAAAAAATTAATTTATATTTTGTTATCAGGACCGTTCAAAATCACAGCTCTCAAGGCTCCTCCAGCTCATCGAATAACACTAGCTATCGCAACTCCACACATGATTCTCTTCAGGCATTCTTCAACACAGGTTGGTTTTGTGCGTATCAGCAGATAGCACGAAAAAAAACGTATCAACTCATGTCTCTTTCTCACAAGAGAAAACTCTCATCACTTTACACTGTCTAATGTTCCCCGCGTAGGCGCCCACTTATACGCAGTTCTCTCCCACTTTCACATCTCCGTTGTGGTCTAGTGGTTAGGATTTATGGCTCTCACCCATAAGGCCGGGGTTCGATTCCCCGCAACGGAAGAATAACTTTTTGCAGGCCTCCAATATCAGCTTTATCAAAAGTCGCAGCTCATAACCGGCAGCGAAGGCTTGCAGCGCGCAAGCAATGGTGTAATCGCAGGAATCCCCGGAAGCTCTCTAGTCGGTACGCAACAATCTTGACCATTCAAAGATGGTTCTCGTTTTTGAAGGAGCACTGTGTGGCGGCGGCAACCCGGCGGAACGTCGAAAGCAGCGCCGAATTCGGACAACGTTCACGTCGGGACAACTCAAAGAGCTCGAACGCGCGTTCTGCGAGACCCACTATCCGGACATTTATACGAGAGAGGACATCGCGATGCGAATCGATTTGACTGAAGCCCGGGTGCAGGTGTGGTTCCAGAATCGACGCGCCAAATACCGAAAGCAGGAGAAGGTGCGGCGATCGAAAGAGGAGGCCGCCAGCGACGGCGACGTTGGGATGACGGAGAAGCAGATGAAGGCCCAGTCGTTGTTGGACGACATCATTGATCAAATTTGAGGATTGTACAAATTTTATGAGAATAAAATATCATTAAAGAAGTCCGCGCAGCATGTTTCGACGCGATTTCGTCGGCGGCGGGCACGGGCAATAGCTTCCGTCGCGTCCTGGCGGACCCGGTCGGCCGGCCTGAATTGGCGACTCGACAGAAAAATTAGAAAACGAAAATTACCGGCCCGTCGACGCCGACGCTTCCCGGACGGCCATTGTTGCCGGCAACTCCAGCAGGTCCGGGTACATCCAGCACATAGGCTGAAATCGAAATTGTCGCTACGAAATTGGACATGTCGGCTTACAAAATCCGGCGGGTCCTTGAGCGCCTCGATATCCAACAGGTCCTGGCGGGCCTGGAGGACCCGGCGGATTGATGGGCACATAGAAATCACGGCCTGGCGGACCTTCAGGTCCAGGCGGGCCTGGGAATCCCGGATAGCCCGGATCGCCAATTGTTCCTCTGGCACCGGCCGCTCCGATTTTCACTTCGACGGCGATTCCTGGTGTTCCGTCGACTCCCGGCTCGCCAGGCCTCCCCGGTTCACCTGAAACACGCTTATTCAAATGCTGTGTCCAGTTGTCTACCTTCAGGCCCCGGTGGTCCAACGGGACACACAACACATGCATTTCCGGTGGCTACCGTATAGCCACTGTATCCGGGCATTCCGTCAATCCCGTCCGGTCCCGGCTCGCCAGTTCGACCAGGTCTTCCCGGTCTCCCAGGTGGTCCTGGCGGACATTTCGCGCCTTTCTCCTCACACGCTGAAATTCTCCTCATTTCTCGCTTACAGAAAAGAAATTCTCTGACCGGCTCGACAATTGTTCGCCGGTTTTTCACTAGTTTTAGCGTTTTTATCGAGTTGATGAAGCTCTTTTCGAATTGTTTCATCGGGTAGCTCGGCAATCGCATGTCCTTCTAAAATGTAATTTTTTTTTCGATTTTTCAGCACATCTCGTCCATATAATTACCATTGTCGCGTGTTCCTTCATCATATTGCGCCAAATGTTTTCTAGAAGGCAAAAAGTTTTTAAAAAAGTGTTTTTGAAAAAAAAAACCAACCGATATCGTTTCGATTTTCGTTTTTGCCTCAATCCAACATCGCGCTTCAAATAATTGATTTCTCTCCACGCTTCGTTTGCCGAATACTGGAAAATAAATTCTATAAAGGCAAACGATCAAAAAATTATCAAGAAAATCTAATACTCTAAAATAAATTATAAATTATATGAGAAAATTCGAAATTATTTCATTTTTTCTTTAAATCTTACAATATCTCTAAAGATTTATTGAAAAATGTTAGAATTTTGATATTTGTTTAGTGCAAAAAAAAAGAAAATTCGAAAAACCAAAACAATTCCGCAACATTGCGTCACTTTCAACGCAATCCCGCAAACACGCAACCTACCGTAAACTCTTTCATTTCCACACCAAATTCTCGCCGCAACTCGTCGAGTTCGCCAACGACGCGCAGCGAAACATGCCCAAATATGGCGAAAATCGCGACTATCGTGAAAACATACGTAAAAACCAGGTAGGACATCAAGTAATGCCAAATAAGTGAAGTAAAGTGTTGTTCTTATAAGTACGGCGAACGGGGGCGGCCAAATTAATTAATTCATCTACCGGTTTTTTTTGGGGAGTGAAAGCTGAGTTACACGTTTCCGGGTGCAATTGCTTTATTTATACACATAATGAATCACAAATGAACGGCGAAATGGACACACACACACAAAAAAAAATGAACGCGTTGATTATGGCGTCCATTTGGCGATCGGCGCGCCGCCATAGTGTTGCCACATCGTCTCGAAATCGTTCGCCGTGATCTCGGCGCCCTTCTTCACAGTGAGACCCGTCTGCTCGAGCGGCAACTCGCACATGTACATGTCGTCTTTGCCGGCGACCAACAGCTGAACACGTTGGCCCGGATGAGCGGTGATTTGGCGTTGAATGTACTGGCCATTGTAATGCGCATACCACATTCCATATTGGGTGGCGCCGTCTGAAACAAAATCATTCAATCCTCAAATTGTGCTATTTTTGTGGCAAAACAAATCATTTTTTTTTTTTGAAAATGCAAAAATTCTCAAAAGAAAATTCCTGCCAGTACAATAGAGCGCACTTGGTCATCTAGATCGAGACAACTTTCAAAACTTCAATTTACAAAAAAAAATGGCCGATAAAAACTCACTCTTGGATCGATTCGGGAATGTGACTTTGAAATATCGCTGCTGCGTCAACGCGGGATTCAGATGCGGCGCCATCGTCGCCCGACTCACCGCCATCGACAGCGAGCTCGTCGACGCGCCTTCTGCAATGTCGAATCTTGCTAGCCAAACCAACACCGTCGCACTCACGTTGGCCAAATACGGAAAGCGGCGCGCGCGTCGGCGGCAAATCATGTTTCGTCGAATTGCGCTCCTTCCATTCGTTGTAAATTCGAAGGCGTCGATGGAATTCGTCTTTGCACGCCATCAATAATTCCATGTCTGCAAAAACGAATCATCAATTTCTCGCGATTTTCACCACATCGCGCCTTTAATGCTTCCTAAATCTACCAATTTTTTAATTTGAATCTTTAAATGTCATTAATTTAATGCCAATCAATTTTTGTCGACTTTGAAGATGCGCCTTTAAATACAGTATCTTGTGGTATTAAATCTACACCAATTCAAATTTTCCATTCCATCTTCTCTTTCTTTTTTGGTCACAATTCAAAACATACAAAAACTAGCAGTGACATTTGAAATAGGCAATTTCGAATAGGGAAATGGGGTGGTTTCGCCATTGGCCAATGCCCGTTCAAAAAAAAAAACGAAAACGACGAGCAAAATTGGGCTCCAAACGAGCAGCGGCGAAGAAGAGCGAGAACAATTCGTCGAGATGAAATTTGCATTTCAAATTGCCATTTATATTTGTCTCATGGTTTCATTTTTTTTAGCAGCGTTGGTCTTGAAGAGAACTCTATTTTTCAAAATTCATTTTCTTGGCGTCACACGTCTGAACGAAATAAAAAAAAATACCTTGAAAAATTTTCGAATTTCTTCGGAATGAGCCGATCTGATATTTTTGATTTAAAAAATATTACTATAGAAATATCTAAGCGATTGCAGTTGGATTACGGTAGTTACCGTACTCCAAACTTTTTGGAATTCCTGGTGTCTCGAAGCAAAGAGAACGGTGCGTGTCTGCGTATTTTATAATTAGCCCGCGCGAAAATTTCCAATTTCCAATTCTACACCAATTTTGCGGCAATCATTTCAAACAAGAAAATTCCCGCAAAAGAAAAACTCGACAATCAATTTTGTTGAGCAATTGCGCTCCGCTGAAATGGCGGGCGCAAATGGACATTCAAATTTTTGTTTCGAAAAAAAAACGATTTTTAAACATACCTCCAGTGCTATTAATTGCGTCGCGAAGATCGGCGTATTTCCAGTTCGTCAAATCGTATTTCGATTTCGGTTTTTGCGCAATTTCCCTGAAATCAAGTCTTCCTTAAAAATTGCATATTTTTTTCAGACAAGATGTTTCAACACCACATTAGCGGCAATTTTGTCAATCTCCCAATCTGGGCTGTCAGAATTTAGCAAAACAAATGTCAACGATGGTCTCAAGAAGAAGAGATTCGCATTTCGTAGGTTATCTGTACTTCTCATTGTTTAAAATTCAAATTTGAATAACCGCGCTCAGAAAAAAAATGTGCGATGGTCCACAATTAAGCAAGGCCTTCGTTTTTATTCCAATAGATTTTTTTAAACTGCTTTTTTTGGCACAAAATGTACATTTAATGGATTCGTCCACAATAAATTCTTGAAAAAAAAAATCTCACATTGTCACCGACGCCTCATTCGTCACCAGCGCGATTCCATCACATGTCGCGAGTCTCGTCGACACCGCCGAATCCAGTCGTTCGCGTTCCTCCTTGTCCCGCCTAAAACAAACAAAATCAACCATTTTGGAGCAGAAAAAAACAAAAAAATCAAATTGTACTTCTTCGCGAGCTCCTCTTCAGCCTTCTTCTGACTCGCCGCCAATTGCGCTTCATACTCTTTTTGCGCTTTCTCGCGATCTTCTTCCATTTTTCGCTTCCTAAATGTCATCTCGTGAAAATTGTCCTCAAAAATCCTTCTCCCTTACACCGCCTTTTCTCGCTCGAGCGCCTCCTTCTCCTCGAGCTCACGTCGCTCGCGCTCCTCCTGCTCGGCCCTCTTGCGTTCCATCTCCTTCAGCTCATCCGATTGTAGTTGTTGCCTATAAATCGCCTAGAATTTATATTCGACACTTCTAAAATGTCGCACTTCAAATCGGCAATTATCATATCAACACGCTTCACACATTCCTCATACGCTTCAACCGCTTTGTCGATTTCCGATTGCATGTCGGTTTGTCGAATCGAGGCGATCAGATTCTCAAGGTCCCGTGTGGTACCATCGGCGGTCGCCCTCCACTTTTCCTGGCTCGCTTCGTTCATTCGAGCAAGAATCTACAACACCAACATAATTAATATATAAAATATGGATCCCCCTGCCCCAAAAAAAAAGAAAAAAAAATAAATGAACGTACATCGGTCATCTCCCTCGAATTATCCAGTAGCGCACATGCTTTTCGATAGATGCCAAGTCTACAAAAACAAAAAATTATTTGGATATTGCAATATGCGCGTAAGGTCCCACGCAAGTCCGCAAACAACGAGAGAGACAAAAAAAAATGTGAAAATAATAATATTTTTCGAGAAGGTAATTTCTAGAAATTGGCCAAATTTGACGGGGGAAAAAAAATAAGGACCATCATCATCATCATCATCATCAGCATCATTAAAATAAAATTGAATAAGACGAAGAAGATGGGGCGAAAAAAAAACATTAGAACAAGTGAACATTGCACGAGTCGTCGTCTCGATTTGTTGAAAATCCCCAAAGGAGTATGACAGGAAACGGAATAAAAAAAAAACAACAACAGAAACATGAAATTCGGAAGAGCAAGCGAAAAAGAAAAGGTAATTGTCGCCAAAATCAATGGCGGAGAAAAACGTGCGGTTTCTCAAACAAAAAAAATCGCCTTCAATGACATCTTTATGTGATTTTTCCGTTTCGGCGAACACCCGAATGATATAGCAATTGGACCAGAAATCATCATTGATGGTCCGATTTCAAAAAAAAAAATCCATAGGCGGCATCCGCCGACTAGTCTCTCGCATTTTTTTAAATCGAAGAAATTTCAAGAAATGCCAAAACTCGTCAAGAAAAAGATGATCGTTCACGTGAAAACGTGGCGAGACCTTTTCAAGGCGCACGCTCGTAAATCTACTCGCGTATTTTCTGTGTTTTTTTTTCGTGGCTTAATCCAGTTCTAATCCAGCGACGAAAAAGAAAAGAAGCTGAGCCAGAAGTCAAAAAAAAATGAAAGATTTATGACTCAAAAAAGACCATAAATTTTATGTGACGATTTTCGCAAAATAATAATAATAATAATAATAATAATAATAATGAAAAATGGCGAAAATCGCAATTCCTCGTCTCCGCCCACTTTTTTCGGGAGGAAGAGGGGGGCGAATTGAAATTTTTCATCGAAGGAATTTCCCAGCAAAACTTGCCGCTAAAAAAACAAATGTCTCCGTCTCTCAATATCGCACACTCTCTCAATTACATTCTATTCGTTTCTTTTTTTTTTGTTGTGCTGAGCGGTTTACACAACCTACCGTAACCCAAGAAAACGGGTCCTATCGCGAACATCGGGAATTCGTGTCTCGCAATGTGTTTTCGCGATATTCGCGACATTGTCAAACCAAAAAAAAAAAGAAACTACAGTAATCCGAGAAGAGATTGACAAACACACCAAAAGCGTCGCGTTTCAACAAATCGGCCCCCGTAAATTGAGTGAGTGGTTCGCCGGTTCAGATTATCTCCTTCAACAAGACACGCTCGCTCGGCAAATGTGTGTGTATGTGTGTGAGTGGACGACGGCAATAATTAGAAGAAGCATGAAAAGAGAAGGGCGGCATGAAAAACAACAAGAAAACGGCATAAGCGAAAGAAGAAATAGAGAATGGCGACCAAGAAAAAAAAAGAAATATGGAAAAAAAATGACGGCGACGACGGCAATAATCGGAAATTTGAATGCATTGTCAATGACAGACGCCAACCTTTTTTGGAATCGTTTCCGCGTCAGGAATCCGCGCATCATCTTCTGGATCATCACAATTTTGTCGCGTCGATAGCGAATCTTGTTGCGCACTGAAAACAATACTCTCTTTTGTTTTTTGCCATTTTTGATTTTTTCGCAATAAAGGCAGAAAATTGGCAAAATGCCACGAAAAAGAGGGTAAGGATCGTTGGCTTCGTGTGCGCCTTTAAACCCTAAATCTACACTAATGTTTAGTTTCGCGCCAAAGACCATTATCATTGTTTCTTTTTGTTCAAAATTTATTAGCCAATTTTCGCGCGGACCCAGATTTTTGAATGTATTGAGAAAAAGAAAATGCAGAAAAAAAATAAAAATAGAGAATAAAATGATTATTTTCTCTGCATTGCCCTATTCGATTCTTGTTTTCCCAATAAATGGGCAAAATAATCATTTCCTTCCTTTTTTCTTATTTCGTTTTCTCCGCATCGCCCCATAAGCTTTGGAAAATCGTTTATCGTCGAAATCGTGCGAGCGCAAAGAATGGTCTCGTGTACTCCACACGGACAACGTCATCCGCAATCGCGCGACATCGTCAATGAGACGTTTAAAAAATTATTTTAAAGTTTTGTAAAGTCTCAATAAGTTTCAAGAATTATCAAAATAAATGTACTCTAGCTAAAAAATTTCAAGTTTGTTTCAGATTCTCAAAAACGAAAAATTTGCTTCTTGTTTTTTTTTGGGGGGGGGGGTCTGAATCAGACGGCTTCTCACATTTCAACACGCTCCACACGCCGTATTGGACTTTTCGCCAGCGCGCTTTGATGAGCCACGCGTCGACTCTCTCGATGAGCTCTTTCATCGTCTCCGGATCTTGGCGCATCATCTTCAAACAAATCGATTGAAAAAAAATCGATTATTGCCGTAATCGGCCGAATTGTCCTGACTACCTGATCGAATTCCGCAAATTTGCCGGCGCGAAAGAACACCTTGGTGAGGCCGAATTGGAAATCGTTGTGGTCGAGACCCAGCGCGTGGAACAAACACTAAACCGTGTACGGTATTCGGGAGGGAAGATTTTGATTAAAAGAAACCAAAAGAAAAATGAGGCCTCTCATACCTTGACGAATAGGCGGGCGTCGAGTCGCGCCAAATGCGGCGGCAGATTCTTCTGATAGACCATGTAAAGATCGTTGAACGATGTTCGACTCGGAAACCCTTGCTGCATCAGCCGAAGCACCGACGCCATGCCGGCGCATTGAAGTTGCGCGAGAATCGAGGCGCCGTCGAATTTCCACGGTCTCATCTCGTTGTTCGGCTTCACGCATCGAACGAAATGGGTTCCCTGCAATTTTGTTCATCTTTTTTTTTCTGCGCAACACCAATATATATATTTTAAAAGATTTTTGTGTCAAAATAAAAACGCTTGCGGACTTGTGCATTTCAATTGACGACACTTTACACAAGTCGCAAATTTTCGGTTTTTTAAAAATTATCATGTTGGATTTCTGATTGAAAAATGGGTGCTCGAATCAGCCGCAATGAGACCCCAATAGTTTTTCGCGTCATGCGCCTTTAATCAATTATTTTAGTTATTTTAATCTCGCACTGGGTCACAATTTCATTCAAAGTTTCTGGAATTGCACTAAAAGTCAAGCGTCGCTGATTTGTGGATACCGTAATTAAAGGGACCCACAAAATTTGACCCCGGGTCCCACAACGATTCTAGTACACACGTTTTTTTTCAAATACACCAAACAAAACATACCGTTTGGGCGAGTTTCTCGAGGAGTGCGGCGAGTTGCGATTTGAATTTGCTGCCGACACTCGCCGCCTTCAATCGGCCGCCAGTCTTCACCTGTCCGGTTGGCTCATTGGTGAAAAGCGACACCAAAATTGGAGATCTAAAATGAATTTGGCGTTTGTTTTTTGAAATGCAGATCTCGCCGCCTACGTGGATTGCTCAACGAGCATCTCAAGCGAATTGTGAAGCTGATCATTGTTCTTGTCGACGAATTGACGCGTCTCGTAGCACACGGTTCCCGCGTAATGCCGTATCAGCAGTCCCTCATCGTCGCGCATTTCGCGATGCGATTTCACTTTCGATTTTCGCGGCGTCTGTAATACTCTCGGGTCTCGCAGCGAACTCGATTAGGCTACCCACGTCAAGTCGGAAATGCTTCGGATTCGACTCATGCGCCCGCTGGGTGAAGTGCTGGAACGTGGCGCGTGGCAATTTCGCTTCTTCGTCGAGTAGATCAAAAAGACCAGTGGCTTTGCGCTCGAACAAATCTACAAATTTTCATCGTTGCGAGACCTCTTCTCTCTCGTACCAATGCAATCCTGATTGTCGGAATACTCGATTCTCGTCACATTCAGCCCTTCGGCGGCGTACAACTCCTGCTCCTGACGCAAAATTCGCTCGTTGAAAAATTGTTGAAGCTTCTCGTTGCAATAATTGATGCAGAATTGCTCGAACGAGTTGACGGCGAAGAATTCTGAAAATCGTTTTCGCTGCTTTTTAAAATCATCGACATTCGCCAAATTACCAAATCCGGCAACATCAAGCACACCAATGTAGCCGGCGCTCTTCTCGAACGGAATACTGCGATTCACATTGGCAACGAGCCAATCGAACATTTTCGCGTAGATCGCTTTCGCGAGCGCGTCGCGACCCGCCGCCGCTTCGTGCGGTTTCAACGGCACACGAATCAGGGTCCCTTTGACGCCGCCTTTCGTCGCCTGCATGATTCTCGCGCACAAGCCCATTCTCATCTCGTCCGGCTCAAGGCCGAGCAATCGTGCCGCGTTCATCAGACTCGGCTCGGCCTCACCCTTTACTTTGCATCCGCCGCGCGAATCGTTCGCGTTCTCCTCGAACTCGACATTGCCCAAATGCAAAAGCGCGCCGATTGTCGACCAAATGAATGTCTGCAATATTGCGTCATTCGTTCGCTGAAGAGCGTCCGCAAACACCACCTGTTGGTTTTCATCGAGGCCGCTCAATTTTAGCGCGTTGCACAGGCGCTCGAAATCGGCAAAATCGTCAACCATGGAATCTCGCGAGAATTTCTTCGAATCCACTCGACTGTCATCGATTCTCGACGTCGACGCGTTCGGATGAGCAAAGAAATCGGTGCAGCCGTGTTTCAAATACTAGACAGACCAAAAAAAAAATTATTTACATTCTCGATTAATTTTACATTAAAATGCGACGGCGGCGCCAATGCCAAATGATTATAAAGGTCCTTCGATGCGCCGGCGATCAATTGATAGAATATATGATAATTTCTCTCGCCCGTCGTCTGTCGGCAAACTCTCGACGTTTCCAGAAGGTAATGCGACACGAACCCGCCAACAACGTTTCCCTGAAATTCGTGTATTTTTTTTCAACAACCCAATTTCAAAGCGTATTCGTCGCACATTTTCGGCGAAGTGAATTTGCACAAATTTGCCAAATCTCGATGAATTGTTGTTGCGCAGCGTTTTCGCGTTGCCAAACGCTTCAAGAATGGGATTCGCTGAAAATGTGATGAAGAAACGTGTCAATGTGACATTTGAGATTATCAATGCTCACTCTCGAGTAGACGCTGTTGAATTGGTCCCGCATCGGCGCCCCAATTCTCGCACAAATATCTGCAAAAATTTTAAATTTTAGAAAGCGCGAGAGAAACAAGAGAAACTAGACAATTCTTTAATTACGACAAATTATTTTCTTTATTTTGAATCGTCTTAATCCATTAATTTTGAAAAAAAAAATGAAATATAAAAAATAAGTCCGAAGAATTCCACTGAAAAAATAATTATTTTTAATTCGATGTCGACATTTATAGGGTCCGTGTCAACACGCGACGCACAAATGCAGATGATGCGTCAAAAATTACCGTATACTTCGAAATGATCAATTCAATTTTTTGGCATTCTTTTGAAATTGAATCGCAAAAAACGTTTCGGTTAAAACTGCATAATAATCAAACAAAAAAAAATATTTTTCGCGCAATCTGTTATGCCAGATTTGATTATGAAAAGAAAATTTTTAAAAATGGAAACATCGACGGTTGATTTTGTGTTTGATGCGGCTCGCGACGAGACCCGACACAAAAATTGAGGAAAAAATCCTGAAACGATGTTTTCTTACTGAAAATCTCGAACAACGTAACGTAATAAGCAAAACGTGTGGGACAGTCAGAAAATTTTTCGCATAGGCCCCTAAATGGAATATGTGTCGGGTCGGGTCACAGTGATCATATCAACACCAAGAAAAAATCACCAGTCGTTTATTCATACGGACCATTCTGAATTTCAGTATAAATTTCGCTTTGAAATGCATTTTTCACAATTTTATCACAAATTTGACACTTCATTGAAATTGCAACTTTTTTTTTCTATTTCTTTTCAATCGATTTTTTTTCAGCCACATCTCAAATGTACCTCAAAACGGCTTTTTGCGATTCCGTCTTGCCGGCTCCCGATTCACCGCTGACAATCACCGATTGCGAGCACTTGTTTCGACGCATCTCTCGATAGGCCTTGTCGGCGACGGCGAAAATGTGCGGCTCTTTTTGTCCTGAAACCCCCGCAATTGAGTGGGCGTCTCGTCCAAGCAGATTAAAAAAAATCGAAACTTTTTAGATTCCCCAAAAATCGTTTAATGGGGGGCTCTTTTTTTTGGTTCGAGAGAATGCAAGACAACGAAAGAGTGCGCAAAACGCTTTGCCGCAGAGCGGGATCGAACCCACGATCTTCACGGTTTTGAAACCAAAACTTTCGCCACTGCGCTATTACGCCCGCTGACGGTCTGCTCTAAGCGACGGTCAAGTGCCACACTGCCCAGATTCCTGCTATTGGTAATCAATAACATTAAAGGCGCACCAATTGATTTTCCTCGATATGCTTTGGCCATTTCCGGCGAGTAGAATCCCTCAATTTGCTCATACGGATTAATTGAGATGAGTATATTGGCGACGTATGACTGAAATTCGAAAATTGCCGCCACCAAACGTCGATGTCTGCTTCTTGGCTCACATAAATCTTTCGATTCGCGTATCGTAGACGGCAATTGTTGAGCAGTGTGGCCTCATTGAGGTGCATCAGCGCGCAATTGTCGTCGACCATTTTTGTACGATCCTCCTCGCACGCAAATGTTTCATCGTAGCGGCGTGTGACCTGCAATGCGCCTTTAAAACCGAATACCGTAATCCACAATTTTCTAGTCGGTTTTTTGAAAAATAATTAGCTTTTCTCTTTTTTTTAAGGAATATTCTGTCTAAAAATGAAAATTCCAGAAAAATGAGATTTTAATATTGACCGCAATTCGTTAGCAACACCGTGTGCCTTTAATTGATTTCGAAATTTCCGAACCTCAATTATAGGCGCACGATGATATTCAAAAATTTAAAACAATAAAAAATGTTCATTTAGTTCAGGAAATATTAAAAAAAAAAAAGATTTTTTGCTTTAAACGACGTGATTTTGCATCACGGTGTTTGCACACATTTCCCAATTTTTTGAATGCTCAAAAGTGATTAAAAAATCGTAAAATTGCCCCCATAGCGTTGTGCGCCTTTAAAAAGTCTAATAATCATTTTTAACCTTTCAAAAAAATCGAAAATGCAAGTGCGGCACGAAAAACCCGCAAATACTGCAAGTGCGGCGCACAACCACAGCCAACTTTTAAAAATTATGCTCATTCATCATTTTGTTGTTGATTTTCACGAAGATCTGACCTTTATTTTGATATTCGGTTTTTGAAAAAAAAGCGAAAAAAAATAAAATCAGGTGTGGCCGTGGCCGCCCCAAATTTTAGTCGGCCATTTTTTCTAGGCCACACCATCGCCGCCATCTCCTATTACCGTCTGTTTTGTGTCGTCGACGACGACAGTGAATCCATCATGCGCGATATCATTGATGGTGGCGAGACGGAAGCCCTCATCGGCATCGGCGATCCACACAACTCGTCCGAAATCCTTTTCCATGATTTTTGCGTTCGCTGAAAAAATGACGAAATCGCCAAAATCAATGCGAAATTGGTGCCTCCGAACCGTTGAAGTGATTTGTTTGATGGTCAAAAACGAAAAATGATTTCAAAAAAAATGAAAAAAAAATCGATGGGATATTACCAACCTGGCGGCTTGTTGGCATGGGTCACGGCTGAATTTTCGGTCAGCATTTTCTTCCTTTTTTATGGAAATCAATGCACGCTGGGAGTTTGTCGCTTATCAATCGTTCTTTCATGCAAAACCGAGGCGAACAGAGAAAATCGAATTTCGCCAATGAAAAAGTCTACCAAAACGATAACGTGAAAAGCTTATTTTTTGTGATTTTCGCGTCGGGACCCAACTAATTTGGTCCCAAATTTTTCACCAATTTTAGGCGTCAGTTATAGCGTATGTCCGCAGAATTTGCACTGTGTGATTGCACCAATTTCATTCTTCTTATTTTTCCTTTAAAAACCCTGAATGTCTGGGAGAATCGCTGCAAGAAATGGGCGGGGTCTGTTGTCACTTGGACGCAAAATTGCACACATAAAATTTTTGAAAAAAAAAAACCTTAAGTTCGAATAGTTCGTTTCTTTATGAGTCGCTGCAAGACCAATGCCTTAGACGCGTTGCGGTTCGCGAGCGGTCACAGTGATCTATTTTAATCTAACATGCGCAATTTTGATTGGTTATATTATTTGGGCTACCGTAACCTTTAAAGGGACAGGCCAAGTGAATGGCTTGCATTCTCAATTTTTTGACGTTCTTCTAAAAATTGCCAATGAGAAAAAAGGAAATGGGAGGAAATAAATTCGAGCGTCGTTTAAAATGCAAGTCCGCTGAATTCAAGCGGCGTGATTGCACAAAATTCAACAAAAATAATTGTGTGCATTCACACCGGATTAACTCTGCGGACTTGCTTTTCAAAATCGTGGCAGATGCTCAAAAAGAAAAAAAGTTTATGTAGAAAATTGTGGATCAAAATTTTAAAGAAAAAAAAAACAGAAAAATAATAATGATTTTTAAATTAAAAAAGAGGCAAATTGAAAATTTAAAAATGTTTCATAGGCCACGCCCATTTTTATATACGCCTTTTTACTAAAAATTGGCCAAATTCGGTGGAGAAACTTACACTTTATGCAATTTGATACATATTTGGGTGTGTGCGAATGTCGAGGTCTCTTAAAAATGAAAGAAATCTTGTTATATTGAATACATAATTCATATATGGTAGTATAGAAACGATAGGCAAATAATCGAATTGAATGAAAATGTGTTGCGCAAACATGTGTTGACGGTTTTCGTTCGCCTGGTATCCTGAGCCCACCCGAATTGGCACTTGATGGCGGATATTTGGACGTAAAATGCATGTGTGTGTGTCTGTTTTTTTTTGTGCGCAGGAGACCAATAGAGTTTCGGCCCCAGAGAAATAGACACGACGGCCCCGCCGTCCCCGCCGTTTGTTCGTCTTCGCCGGCAATTCCTGCTTCTGTTCTGTTCTGTTTTAGTTTTAGTGGGGGTTTTTTTCGCGGAGGAATGAGGACACGCAATTATCTACGGCCTTTTCTTTTTGCCATTCCTATCATAAAATTGGCGTTGAATCAGAATTGCGAAATTTTTTTGAGAGACTCTGCGATCGAGTTGCCGAACTAAGCGCCGCAGATTGCAAAGGGGCGGGGTCAATGAATTGGAACTCGGCTTTTTATAATTTTCATAGTTTTTCTTGCATTTTTAGCACATTTTGAAGTTTTTATCTAATTTTCATTAAATTTTGAGATTTTTATCAGATAAAATTGTATTATTTTCAATATTTTCTTTTGATAATAAAGCGAAATCAATAGAAATTAATTCTCAATTAATTTTTTATATTTTTTTGGAAATTTAATATTAATTAACTGTCTAGAAGTGAGTATGAGCATTAAATAACTTCTAAATTAATATAAAAAATGCTAATATTAACAGAATTCAACAAAAAATTGAATATTTTGTGACAAAATTTTTCTTTAAATCAGAATTTGTGTTGCTCATATTTGTGATAATAAAATTTCAACGTGAAATTCTCTTTTTTCAGATGACAACTATCGACTTGGTTAAATCTCAACCACTGTCACATCCTCAACGATGGGTCGTGATCTATCCAGCATATCTCGATAAGAACAAGAAGCCGAAAGAAGGCAGAAGGATACCATTGAGCTTAGTAAGACGAAAAATCCGAGCAGTTAAAAATGAATGAGAGAATTGAGAGATAAATTTTAGGCCGTCGAAAATCCGACATCAGTGGAAATTCATGATGTTTTGGCTGCCACCGGAATGAATCCACTACTTGAGGTGTGTGTGAAATTTTTTGTGATTTTTTGTGAATTGATTTTATAGAGGAATAAAATGTACACACGAGACGGCGATCGCGAGCCGGAAAAGCAAGGACGCGTTCGAGTGCAAATTAAGAATGACGACGGCTCGCCGAAGAATGGCACCTATAAATCAAGTAAGGGGGCGGGGGGAGTAATTTTTGTCAAACCGATGGCTCGCATTTGCTTTTTTTTCGATTTCAAAAAAAAAAAACGAAAAATGGAAATAATCGGCACGCGAGACGAATTCAATAAACAAAACGAAATTGGATTCCAGGGGCCGATGTTTACAAATATGTCGCCGAGATGATTCCGAAGCTCAAGACGCGACAGCCTGGATATGTTCCGCCGTCGGCAGCCTCAGCGTCGGGAGCTGGAAAGAAAAATAAGAAGAAGAAGTGGTAGGCGATTTAAATTGGCATTAAAATGAATTGAAAAGAGCACGAGAAAAAATGAGCATTTTCAAGGCTTCTCGTTTTTGAGAAAATTTTTTCAAGACGAGTAAACCAAAATTATCAAGTCTAATCAAATTTTGACTGATTTCCAATTCAATAGCATTCTTTTCGGGAAAATTCTTTTATCAACTATTTCTTTTTAACAAAAAACCTAGTTTTTTCGTGGCGAGAACCAAAATGTTGGTTTTTTTTTCGCAAGACAGTTTTTTTGATTTTTTAAGGGCAGAAAAATTATTTTGATGAAAAAACGTAATTTATCAGTGAAAAATGAAATGTGTGCAAAATTGCGCAGACAAATTAGTGGAAATTTGAATTTTCTTCAACGAATTCTCAAGTTTTCCAGAAAAAAAAACGACGAAATTAATTAAATCAATCGTTAATTTATGGGCTTTGCGGTTTTTTGAAATTTACATTTAAATTTTTCAAAATTTGTTAAGGCAACTCAAAATTTTATATTTCTTTTTCGAAAAATTGGTGTGAATTTTTCAAAGAACATTACATATTTTGACCTTTTATGAATATTTTTAGCTATTTTAAAGATTTTTATATTTATAAAATCGCGAAATTTGAAAACTTCACTGAAAAAGAGATGATTGAAAAAATTGACGGGGATCCATTTAAAGGAGAAAATTGATTATGAGGTCTGTGGAATTGAAATTCACGATTTGTATGCCTGAATTTCAAATTCAAATTTTAAAGGTGCATATGAAGAGGGGCGGGGGGAAGAATCGAAAATTGATTTGATCATTGCGAGACCCATTTAAAGGCGCATATGATTTGATTCATTTTTGCAGATACACTTGCCAGCGTCTCACGATTTCATTATCATTTCACTTGTTGATATTTCGAATGTATTTATCTCGCGAGAATAAAGTAATTGTCGTCAGCATTGTCGCGAAGAACTCGCAGTTCTGGTTGTGGCCTCGTTTTGTTTATTCTTCTAGTTTTCCATTTCGCTTTTCTGTATTGGCTTTTGAGATGAGCCCCTATCATGCTCATCATCATTAATTTCGAGGCGAACTTTGGTACTCTTTGGTTTTTTCGAGGTTCTACTCTAACGGTGAGTTTTTGTTTTTTGAAATTCTTGTTGGGACCATCAAAGTTGGGTGAGTTTGATGGTCCCAATGAAGAATTTTGAAGGACCCTTTTTGTATCAATAAAAAGAGGATCCTTTTGCTCTTCAAACAAATTGAAATTATTCGAGAAATTTAAGATGTTGGGACCATTCCGCGAAGGAAATTTCGATGGTCCCATTAGAAAATGAGGTTTTGAATATTTTTTGTGCATGACTTGTCTAGATTCGATGCCCAGTTGGTTCCAAATAATCAAATGTCTCTTTATGTTTTGAATTTGGGTAAAAATTATAATGGTCCCTAGGAATAACTTCATTTTCGAAGAATTTAGAGTATTTGAGATTCTAGGGACAATCAGATATCAAATTGACTAAAAATGGAGGATTTAAAAGGAAAATGATTGTCCAGATTTCTATGGACCATAAATTGCATAAATCAAAAATTCTAGGGACCATCCCATATAAAATTGACTGAAAATCGCTTATTCTAAAGGAGAAAGATGTACCAAATTTCTAGGGACTATGAATTGCATAAATCAAAATATCTAGGGACCATCACAAATAAAATTGCAGATTCTAAAGGAGAAAGATGTTCCAAATTTCTAGGGACCATAAATCAAAAATTCTAGGGACCATCCCATAAAATTGACTGAAAATCGCTTATTCTAAAGATGTAGGTGTACCAAATTTCTAGGGACCATGAATTGTATGAATCGCTAAAATTCTAGGGACCATCACATATAAAATTACCTGAAAGTTGAAGATTTTAAAGAATAAAGTCTTATAGTTTTCTAGGGACCATGAATTGCATAAATCAAAAATTCTAGGGACCATCCCATATAAAATTGACCGAAAATTGCAGATTCTAAAAGAGAAAGATGTTCCAAATTTTTAGGGACCATAAATTGCATAAATCAAAAATTCTAGGAACCATCACATATAAAATTGGCTGAAAATTGAAGATTTTAAAAAAAAGGAAACGATGATCAAAATTTCTAGGGACCATCACAAATAAAATTGCAGATTTTAAAGGAGAAAGATATTCCAAATTTCTAGGGACCATAAATCAAAAATTCTAGGGACCATCCCATATAAATTTGACTGAAAATCGCTTATATTTCTAGGGACCATAAATTTGATTTTTTGTTGACACACCAACATTTTTCGACCGTTTAAATAACCTTTAAATCGTTTTGCGCAACAACTGTTCGAGGTCATCGCGGCGGAGTCGCGCGCATTTTTTCGATGCCACCCAAACGGCTCATCTTGAATGCAAACAATACAATTTTTTGGTGAAGAAGAGCCCCCCCCTCGCGTCATCGTAGGCGGCTACTCGTAGTGACGTTGCGAGACCATTTTTGTGTGTTTTTTGGATTCGACACACAGAAAAAAATGGGAATTTTGAAAAGAATTTCTCGCCCACCGCACCGCACAAGAGGTGTCAAAAATTTGGGGCATCCACGCCCCCTATTTAAATGGTCCCCCCCCCCACCCCAAAAAAAATCTCGAAATTCCAATGTTTGATCAAATTTTAAATTGTCTCCAACTGTCCGCAGCACGAGATTAAAAACAAATCATTTTCCACAATTTTTGCTTTTTTTTTTGGTTTTCCAGCCTCGCTATTTAATTGGTCCCTAGAAAACTGGGCTACCTATTATTTTATCGAATTAGCACTCTCAATGGTCCTTTCAGTGCCTTTCTTCTTTCAATTTTAATGGCCCTCATTCTTTCTTTTTTTTTCTTGAAAATTGCATTTTCGAAAAATATCATTTTTGCAGTTTTTAATGAAAAACGATCTGCGGACAATTTTCGGGCAACTCGAAAATTGTCCGCAGATGAGTATGGTCATGAGCAAATTATCAGTCTTCTTCCAGTGGAACTTCTTCTCGCTTCATAACTCTTCAAGAATTTCAGCTGCGGGCTTGCTAGTGGGGCCCCGAAAATTGTCCGCAGATGGATTTGCATAATTTTTTTAAAATTAATTTATTTTTTTTGTTAATTTTTTTTTATTTGAAAATTTAAAGACGTAATCTAATCGTTCCATGAAGATTTCCCAAAAAAAATTGCCATTCAAATTTCAGAAAACTTTTTTTTATTAAATCGCTTCAGGAATCATTCAATTTTATCATATGCGCCTTTAACTGCAACTTTGTTTTTTTTTTCAAATCGAAATTTTTCGATTACGCTTTCAATTTTTTCTGTTGCAATTAAAGGCGCATCAAAACAATATTTTTATGATTCTTGCTGCGAAACTCTGTGGCTTCGAAACGCGTGGCCGTGGCCGAACTTTTCGGAGAATTCCTCTTCCACAATCTGCATAGCATCAAGGAAACCATCGATTTCAGATTGTTCAATCTTGGGCCCACCGTCTCATCGCGATGTCCGACTATTTCGAGCCGCGCGAGTTGTCGAATGCCTTCCGATTTCTGCTCGCCGCCCAACTCGACGCGTAAGTGTGATTTTCGAACAAAAAAAAACCGCGCCGCCAACTAATCCACCAATACATTTCGCTCGTTTTTGGTCCGAAAAAGAAGTTTTTGGTCGATTTTCTTGACAAATGCCCCCCTATGTTTTTTTTCCCCCCGCCATCCGCCCCGCCTCGTCGCTATCTTCGCATAATCGACTTTCGATTGTTTCGCGCGCGCGCGCGCGCGCATCCCCACCCGAATCATGACAATTATTATCTATTATTATTAACGAAACCCCCTCGAATTTCCCCCAAAATCGAAAAAATTCAATTTTTTTTCATAAATTTATAAATTTCATTTGTTCGGTGTTGTTTTGAGATTTTTCTTATTTCTATAGAGTAAAAACAACAAAATCACAAAAAAATTTTAATTTTTTTGAAGAATTTCTCATGAATAATGCTTATGTTCAATTTTTTCGAAAAAATCGAAAAAAATCTGAATTTTTTGCAAGTTTACTCAAGAAGCGCCTCGAAATGTTCGATCTTCCGCCTCGCGCCGCTCACCGCGCGGAAGATCGAACATTGCGCGTCGCTTCTTGAGTAAATCGCTGATTTTCGATAAATATTTTTGGAAAATTTTTTTTTGGACGCGAGGCGGAAGATCGAACATCATGGCGAGCTTGCTGAGTCGCTCTGATTGAAACCGTGCCAGTGTCCGCAGCACGCAATGTTTGATAGCGCAATAATCGATGAGCCGTTTTTTTTTATTTTATTCGATATTCTCTATAGTTAGGAATGTTCAAAATTGCAATTACTCACCGCCGCGTCAAAAACAAAACGAAAAACCACACCCATCATCGATATATATCAATTTTCGACGCTTCGTCGTCGACCCCGCGAAATATGGTCAAAATTTTGCAGGATCGCCGTTGACGGTGTGATGCCGTCGACACACGGAGCCCTGTCGAAGTTGTTGTGCTCGTGCTATTCGAAAGACGCCGAGATCAGCGACATCTATAGTGCGACACCAGCTGCCGACATCACGCGGGAAACGCCGACGTCGCCGCGAGCCGCGAAATGTCCGCAGCCGCATGACGACAAGACGATTATCGTGCACGCTCATGATGGCGATGATGATGATGATACATCGAAGGTAAACACACACCAAACACTCCCGAATGATGTAGATCAAAACGTTGGGATTACGGTAACAGCTGTTTGCCGAAAGGCTAGCGATTATTGATCTTCGAATGGCTATATATGTAAATTGTGTGTTGGTTCCCATAAAATTCGAATTCCGCCGAAATTTTCAAGGTCGACGATTTTTTTTTTCATTGAAATTCGTTCGTCAAATTGTCCGCAGATGTTTTAATAGAGAAAGAAAAAAATTTTGCAAGATTTTGGGTTTTTTTTTTGCTCGCCGCTTTGTTTTAATGATGAAATTTGCAATTCCGAAAGCGAAAAATGAATGTATGAAACTTTAAAGGCGCATGGACGCGAAATTTCTGAAATGACCCATTTTTTGGGATTTTTGCCGGGAAAAATTCCAATTTTTCAAAAATTGAGTAAAAATTGTTGAAAAATATGATTCTCCCCCCCTTTTCGATTAAAAAAAAAATTTTTTTTATTGTCGCCCAATTTTCCGGTCGAAATTTGTCCATTTCGCCACTAATGAGCGAAAATTGGCAAAGCAACATTTTCTCTTCGATTTTTTTTTTGAATGAGGGGATGTGGGGGAAATAATGATAGTTTTTTTTGGGTTTTGATCTACCCATCATTTTTCTCGACGTGTGTTTCTCCAATAAATCAATCAATCAAAAAATTTCTGCAAATAATCGTGTCGTTTAAAATCCGCCAAAAAAAAATCAAGAGAGAGAGAGAGAGGGAGGGAGAGAGAGACCGAGAGAGAGAGAGAGAGAGATAGAGAGAGAGAGACCGTTGGAATCACATGATCCAAATAGGAAAGCGATGAATTTTCGAAGCGTCCTGCAACCCAACCCACTATCCGATTTGATTGATTGATTTCGAGAACGACGATGACCTTGACGGTGGCGTTTCCGCTTTCAATCCTCCTTTTTTTGTGCCCTCCCAAGTTGATTTGTGTCGTCGTCATCGTCGTCCGTGTTTGCTCAGCGAGAAAACAAAAAATGCTGCTCGTCGCTTTCGATTCATGCTGCTGCCGACGGTTTTCCGGTTTCGGGCGGCGGCGAAGCGTCAGATGAGATTCTCGTTCACATCGCTTGGGTTTTTGTTGTTTTTAGCGTTTCCATAAATCACCCGGAAACTGTCCGCAGCTCGATATTGGTTAAATCGATGTTGTGTAGGGCATGAACATGTTTCTGTCGAACATCATCGTGTCAACACCAATTTTCGTCAACGACGAGAAAAAAAAAACCGTACGAACGGAACAGTTTCTGGTTTTGGGCGGCCCGCAACGTTGTCCGCAGCACGAAAATCGTTTATTGCGATGACCTCTCTCTCAAATTTTCATTAGTTTTCATCCACTTGAGATTTTCAATGAATCGGCCAATTGCGCTGTCGAATTCGAACACACTTTTTTTTGGGCGCGCGATTTTGAAACAAGACAAATTCGAATAAATTTGTTCGTATGTTTCAATATGAATTCAACGGTCTATCAAACCCGTTTTCCTTCTTCTTCTTCTTCTTCTTCGACGGCTTACGCTGAGGGGCGGTCGGCCTTCTCTCCGCCGTTGTATGTATGCCAAACCAAAACCGCTATCATCGTTCATCGCCTCCCCCCCTCTCCTTCACTCCTCGCATTGTATTGTTGCATTTCACTTTAAAGCCATCGATCGAATTCAATAACTTGTTTTCGTAGTGCAAAAAAAAAAGGTTTGATCTCGGGCGGGCTCGAACCGCCGGCCTTCTGTGTGTTAGACAGATGTGATAACCACTACACCACGAGATCGCCTGGTGCTGCGACGAACGAGTGCGTTTAAGTGTTGGACGGCGACGTCGCGTGCGGCGATCGCGCGCGACACAAAAAAGCCGCAAAAATCGTTCGTTCCTGGTTCGGTTTGAATCATTTGATTAATTTTCATTTTTCTATCAATTCCATTGTTGTGTGTTTTCCCCTCTACCCTTCCCTCAATCAAAGTACAGTTCGCGTCGTTGTGAACGCAAATATTGGCACTTTTTTCCAGTTGTCGACCGACTTTAATCCCGCGATTCACATTGTTTTTTCGTTTCGTTATTCTCTCGAAAAAATAAAATAAAAAGAAAAACTAGTTTTTTTCTTAACGCATTAAAGTGTAAACGATTCAATCCGTTTGAATTTTTTGTAAAGTTACTGTATCATGTTTTGTTAGTCCGCAAACACCGAGTCGCACACAATTCACCATGTACAGTAATCTTCGCAAAATTTTCTGTCGAACCTTGAAATCTTCAACAAATTTTATTTAGCCTAATTAAAGCCTCCTTTAAATTATTGTTAAATTTAAAATTGCAAAAGTACGTAATAGTCCGCAAACACCGATTTTCAAAATCAAAAAAAAAAGAGTTGCTTGAAATATTTTTTCGCTCAAACAGGACGACGCGCCTTTAAACTACAGTAAGCGGCGGATGGTTTTCACGCCATGCAACTCCTGTTTCTTTTTTTTTCTCCCCCACCATCGTCAGTCAGGTGTGTTTCGTTGATCCCCCAACTGTTACTGTAGAATCGAGACCCCCTCAAAAAAAGGAAAAAGGAAAAAGTGCGTTAGATTTCGAAATCGATAATTTTGTCGAATCAGCGCCGCTGCGGTTTTTCTCAATTAACCCCAGCCGTCCTCCTCGGCCCGTTCGATTTGTCCCCAATTTTTTTTTTTGACGAGATTCTGAAGAGGCGAATAGCCTTTATGGGGCGGGCAATGCAGAAAAATTTTTTTTAATGCGAAATCGAAAAAAAATGCTCAAAAAAGAGATACAGTAATTCAAGGCGCATGCAGTTTAATTAAGCGTTGGGTCTCGAAGCGAATCCACCAAAAATTCGTCGATTCATTTTTTTCTCTTCCCAGTTGTGCGTATGTTTGAGTGCATCCCCCCCCCCAATTATGTACTCAAATGAAATGAACAGTAAAAATCGGAAAGATGAGAACATTTTGATGGCGTCGAAACCGGATTTTTGTTTGACACGATTGATTTCGCGTTTCGCCCACAAAACAATTCGGGCTCCTCCGAGTTTTTTTGATTTTTTGCAATTCTTCCAGACGCAAATGATGCTCTCAACTATGAAGAATCCGTATCAGGCGACGTCGCCTCCGGCCACCACCAACAACCATTCGAATCATCGGATGATCATTGAGGATGTTACCGATGATCCGCAGGTACCCGCATCTTTTTTTTCTCTCGCTGGGGACCATCCAGTTGCGCCTTTAAATCTGCTCTTTCTTCACGTTTTAAATTGATGGTGATTCCACCAATGCGCCTTTAAATCTGCTCATTCACGTTTTGAATTGAAGGTGATTTCACCAATGCGCCTTTAAATCTGCTCTTCACGTTTTGAATTGAAGGTGATTCCACCAATGCGCCTTTAAAATCTACAGTAATCTATCTTTGGTTCAAAATAGTTATGATGGGCCTATTTTAAAAAATTAGAATTTTTTTTAGAAAACTTCCAATTGATTGGTGTAGGTCCCTAGAATTCATTATGGTCCCTCAAAAAAATATTTTGAAGAAATTTGCAATTTGAAGGACGCGTTGCGGCTCGCGTTGCACCCCGCTCGCATTTCATTATTTGTGAGTTGTGCGATTTGAAAAAAAAAAGTGCGACCGCCACGCGAACCGCAACGCGGATGACAACATAATGGTCTCGAAGCGATCGAGCGCATTCTGACTCGAAAAATCTTCGAAAATGTGCGCGCATTTATTGTGCTCACGAATTTCGCCCAAAAATTCTTTTCGCCATAGATTTTTTTTTAATAATGGTCCCATCACATTTCGGACCAAGCTTTTCAAATCAAATATCAATGTGAACTTTGACCTTTTAGAAAATTGTGAGCCAACGAATTTTTTGCGCGGAAGATTGCCATTTTTTAATTGCATTATTTCTGTCCCCCAACGAGCAAAAAAAATGGACTTTGACCTTTCGAATGCTCACCCAACTTTTTGAAAGAAAACCATTGAATTGAGAAATGTTCGTCGGAAAATTTGAATTGCCGCCTTGGGTCTCGAATGGAAAAGCACTTCTCCCCCCCCCCCTTTAAAAAATCGATATCAGGACCATCAAGAATGTTTTTTTTTGCGTCGTCCAAAAAAGAGCGTGTCGATTTTCTGACTTACAGTACTCCTCATATGGAAATGAGAACGAGAAGCCGGCCGAAGAAGGAGCGTTCATCGAATACGAGAAGCTCGACAAGACCAGCGAGCCGGCCGCGTTTCAGGTAGATCAAAACCAGCATTGACTCAATACCTTTTTTGGGGTCTGATTCTGCAGGTTTGCCGCTCGACAACCGCCGTCGTCAGCCAATCGGGCAACAATATTCGGCCAAATCTCAAGGTTCGTCATTTTTCTTTTTCCCCCCCGGGCCCGGCCCTTCTGGCGCATTGATCTAATCTAATTTCTCCACGCATTCCACCGCTCACAATTTTGGCGCATTTCACCATATTTGGCGACTGATGAACACGCGACGATGTCCGCACGCGTCGGTGTTGACCGCCAAAAATGGTGTTCGCGTCAAGAGGGTAAGTCCAATCATGCTGCTGCCGACATTTGCCGGGTTCCATCGACTCACAAAGCGGCGCGCAATGTTCGATCTTCCGCGCGCGGTGACCGATGCGGAAGATCGAACATCGGCGCCAGCTTCTTGAGTAATTATGCATATTATGTCAAAAAATTTCCCATTTTTTTTGTGTAATGATAGAAAACACCTTCTAATTGGCATTTTTAGCAAATTAGGGTGAATTCTGGTGAGATCTTTGCTAGAATTTCACGAATTGCGATGACCTAAAACTCCAAAATGAATGTTCGCCAATTATCATTGCAAACGTGAAAAGAAAAACTGCAAAATCAACTCACAATCGTCCTTTTAATCCAAAAATTCTCTCGTTTTCTTTCTCGCCACTTGTTTCTTATAAATGGCAACAATAATAGGGCCGAAAGCCCTTGAGACCATAAAAGAGGCAAGGAGAAGCTTAGAAATGGGAGAAAAAACGAAGAGAAATAATAATAACGAGGAGAAAAGATGGAGAAGAGAGAAAATGCACCGGGAACGATTTGAATGGTCCTCGAGGGGCGGCCCATTCGTTTTTTTTTTTTCATGACTGGCACGTATCGTTCCAGTTTTTTTTTTCATTCCGCTCCGTGTTCCGAATTCTGATTTGCATATTCCCAAACGTCGTCGTCGTCTCCCGAGTTTTTTTTTTGACCACCAAATATTGCTATTTGTCTATTTTTCTTCTCTTTTCTTCTTTCGTCTTTTTTGCACACTCCTAATTTGTATCAATTGTTCGACGGATCCGGCGCGTTGCGACATTCATTTTCGGCGCATTAGACGATTTTTTTTCCAATCGAACCTGTCAGATGTCCGCAGCATCGATTTATTATTGGTTTTTTCAAAAAATTGCATGTTTACTCACAAAGCGGGCGGCAATGTTCGATCTTCCGCCTCGTGCCGCTACTTTCGGAAGATCGAACATTTTGCGCCGCTTGTTGAGTAAACCGCCCCATCAAACGTCAACTTTGGGCTAAAAAAGGCCCTACGGATCCTTTTTAAATGTCCGCATCACGATTTTATAATAAAACCCCCATTGCTATACCATAGTAGATGGTTTTGTTGATGATCAAACATTAATATTTGTCATTTCTGAAAATATTCCCACATAATTTAATGCAGTTCTTGGGATTTCTACAAAAACCATATAATTATATGTAATTAGAGCACGAAATTGTCATTTTTCACGAAATAAAAACGACATTTTTGAGGGTTTTTTTTTGGATTTTGTTTTGGCATACGCCATTTTTTCTTTCGATTTCTTGCATTTTTATGCTATATCTTGATATTGGAAAAAAATTACCCAAATATTAAATTTTTCTGCGACAAAAATAGCGATTTACTCAAGAAGCTGGCCGCTATGTTCGATCTTCCGCGTGCGATAGGTGTGAGGCGGAAGATCGAACATCGCGACGCGCTTTGTGAGTAATTTGTAATTTTTCGCAATTTTTGTGTGCTCTCATTGAAAAATTGAGAAAAAAACCGGAAGACGGGACATTTGTGAGCAAAGTCCACACAAAAACGCGTAATTCGTGACGATTTGTGGACACAAATTGCAATATCATTTTACATGGTGGCGAGTTTCGGGGACGCAACCAATTTTTTTGTCGCCTAGTGGCCAAAATCTCAAAGTTTTCACTTTTTGCCACTTTTAATGGAATCTTCCAGATGAGCCCCCACCCCGCGACCCCCTCAAAATTACAACGATTTTAATTTGTTTATTTATTTTTTTGTCATGCGACCCTCTTCATCCCTTTTTGGGCGAAACTTTCCATTTTTAATCCGTCATTTGACATGTCTTTTGATCTATGTCCAAAAAAAGAGTTTTTTTCCAAACATTTTTATTGAAAATCAGCGATTTACTCACAAAGCGACCGCCAATATTCGATCTTCCGCCACGCGCCGCTCACCGCGCGGAAGATCGAACATTGCGCGTCGCTTGTTGAGTAAACTTGCAAAAAATTCAGATTTTTTCGATTTTTTCGAAAAAAATTGAACATAAACATTATTCATGAGAAATTCTTCAAAGAAATTACAATTTTTAGAGATTTTGCTGTTTTTACTCCATAGAAAAAAGAAAAATCTCAAAACAACACCGAACAAATGAAATTTATGAATTTCAGATGACAATTGGGGGTGGAATGGCTCGCGATATGCGTCCGGCTTCGATGGTCCTTAACGATGTCGAAGAAGGCGCGAAATGTTGGCAAAAGGAGTGCCGCTACGGATGGAAGCCGCATGCATGGAGGTCGGTTCAAAAAAAACCCTAGCATTTTCTTTGAGCGGTTTTCTCTATTGACAAATGCGGACATATTTTTGGGGCAAAAAAATTTGTATTTCTTCAAAAATTTGCAAGTTTACTCACAAAGCGAACGCCAATGTTCGATCTTCCGCCACGCGCCGCTCACCGCGCGGAAGATCGAACATTGGTGCGCGCTTCTTGAGTAAAATTTTTTTTCGAAGAGTCTTTTGCTTGCGAAAAGCCTCATAAATATAAGGTTCGAATTGTCGGTCTGTTTAGTTATGAATTCATTTTTTCGACCAAAAATCATCGTCGCCAACTTCATTCGTCATTTCGAATGATTTGGTCCCGCCGAGAGGAAGTGTCATGTTCCGGTTGGGAGACGGAAGAAATGTTGTTGTCGTCGACGTCTTCTCGTTTTACATCATCCTCATTATACTGAAGATTTGAGCTTCTTCTTCTTCTTCTTCTTTTTCTCCGCAAACTCCGAATTTTTTTTAGCCAAAAATCATTCAGATGCCCTTTTTTAAGGCCACCAATACATATTCTGTTTCTCATCTTTTTTTCCGCGTGCTCTTTGTTGACACCGCATCCGATTTCAGAAGCTTCTATTTTTGGTGTGCAACAATGGAGTGAATGGAGCGATTTTACTCACAAAGCGCGGCCGCGATGTTCGATCTTCCGCCTCGCCACCTATCGGAAGATCGAACATTGCGCGACAACTTGTTGAGTAGTTTTTGATTTTGACAACGATAATATTGGAATATTGTCACGATTTTTAGCCTATAAATCACTGGCCCATAAATGGATTGGAGGAACGCGTTTAGGCCTCTCAAATGTTCGATCTTCCGCACTTGAGACGAAAAATCGAACATTGAACAATACTTGTTGAGTAGGCACTTGGATTTGAAAGATTCTCAAATCTATTTGATTATTTTTGGTTAATTTTTCGGCAAATTCTGTTCAAATACTCCAGAAATTTTAGTTATTCAAGTTTACTCACAAAGCTGGCGCTTATGTTCGATCTTCCGCCTGGCATCGTTCACGCGCGGAAGATCGAACATTACCGCTTGCTTGATGAGTAAACACGTGAATTTGAAGGAAATCTTAATAAATTCTGAGCTCAATCGTCAAATGTCGGTCTGCAAGATTGTCCGCAACTATAATTCATTAACTACCGATGAAAAAGAAGAGATGAATAGAGAAAATCTTGGTGTAATTCGATAACGAAATTGAAACCCAAAAAAGCGCCAAAAATGGGCGTAGGAAAAGAAAAAATGAATCGTCAATTTTTTTTGGCTATCGTTCAAGTGCGTGCGCCTTCTTTTCGTCGACGTCTTCCTCTTTTCCGCTAGAAATTGCATATCACATATACACACACACACACACACAAACATTCCGAAGCCGACCATATTTGGTTTTGGACGAGATGTGCTCTCCCATGGCCCTCCCCTCGGCTACCTTGTTTCTTCTTTTTCTTGTTTTGTCTTCAAATTGAACTTTTGCGTGGTCCCGACATTGTTTCCTACAAACGCCTCAAGCATTTCGTCACAAACCTCTCAATGTTCGACATGTCTTTTGATCTACGTCCAAAAAAGAGTTTTTTTCCAAACATTTTTATTGAAAATCGGCGATTTACTCAAGAAGCGCCTCGAAATGTTCGATCTTCCGCCTCGCGCCGCTCACCGCGCGGAAGATCGAACATTGCCGCCAGCTTTGTGAGTAAATGCATAATCGACCAGAATTTGGCATATTTTATGCAAAAAAGTGGCATATTGACTAGATTTTGTCGCTTATTGACTTGATTAGCATTGGTTTTTGAGAAAAATTGTAAAAATTACTCAAAAAGCTTCTCAACATCGTTCTCAATAATCAATTAGCATTGAAATGTGAATTGTCGAATTTTTATAATAAAAAGCCTATTTTTTCGATTCCTCGATCATTGTTGCGATATTCTTTTTCAATTTTCTCACAATTTGCTAGGAAAAAAAAGTTGCTCCGCAAAAAAAAATAGATATAAGGAAGATCAAGCATTTCTCGCCGTCAATTTCATTTTTCTTGTCTAAATTGTCGCACGAATCCCATAAATCTTGTCGTCAACTATAAATGGAAGTGGGTGAAGCGTCTGAGAATGTGCAAATCCGATTTGGTGCTTTCTTGCGCGCGCGCGGGCATGCCTAATGTTCGATCTTCCCTCTACCCCCCAGGAAGCGGCGGAAGATCGAACATTGCTAGTCGCTTTGTGAGTAATTTACCATATTTTTAGTTAATGTTGGAAAAAATGAGAGTTTCCCTCAAGTGGCCCAATATTGAACTCCAAGAGGGAAGGGATTAAATCCAAAATACTCGGAAGATCGAACATTTCTAGTAGGGCCACCCCCTTATGTCTATTTTTGGCCAAGTTTTTCTCTCACGCTTCTTCGTGTCTTTCAAGACCAAATTTGGCACGGCCGTCGTTTTTTTTTCTTTTTTGCTTTCCTCGTCGCCCGATTTTCAACCGAAGCGTAAACTATCCTTCTTCCAAATTTTTTTTTTCCTGAGGGTTCTGTGCAGAAAATTTCGAAAACGAGAGAAAATGGAGAGCGAGACGCGACGAGCTTTTTGTGCACTTTCGCACTAGTGCTCATGGCCGCCAAAAAATTTATACATATATTATACATAGACCACCAAAAAGGAGGCTTCAACAATTTTGTAAACACATTATTTTTTTTTTTTGGGAAAAATAATGCGGCAATCGTTTTTTTTTTTTTGGTTTTCGAAAAAAAAATCGCGAATTTCCGAACGAGATCGAACATCGCGAAACGCGATTTCCTTTTATGGGACGCAATTTTCTTTTGCCTTTGACTGAGAATTTGTCGAGCAATACGCGATCTGCAACTATTCAAATTCTACTCACCAAGCGCGTCGCGATGTTCGATCTTCCGTCTCACACCAATCACGCGCGGAAGATCGAACATTGCGCGCGCGCTTTATGAGTAATTTTGAGTTTTACCCATAAATACTAGAATATTGACGCCGATTTTCGCCGAAATATGGATGGCTCGTAAATGGATTGCCGTGAGAACGCGTTTAGGCCCCACAAATCGTTGATGTTTTGCACATGAGGCGGAAGATCGAACATTGAGCAATAGTTGTTGAGTAGGCACTTGGAGTTGAAAGATTCGCAAATCATTGATTAATTGCGGAAAATTGCGTTTAAATCCTTGAAAGAACTAAAATTATTCGAGTTACTCACGAAGCCGGCGTCAATGTTCGATCTTCCGTCTCGCATTGCTCCCACCCGGAAGATCGAACATTGGCGCGCGCTTTGTGAGTAATACCATCAAAATCAATAAGAATTTGCCATTTCTGGCATATCGCCAGCTTATCAGCAAGATTTTTGCACGCAATATTCCTCATGAAATGAAATGTGGCGGAAGATCGAACATACGGCCGAATTGAGATGCTCAATCTTCGCGATGATCTTCAACGACTCGTTGTTGAATCCCCTCAATTCCAAATATGGATTTAAAATTGCGAAATATATATTTATTTGTATATCTATGTGGGGGAAGTCGGCGAAGAATTCGAATGCTAATATGCTCCGGGGAATTCGGACCCCCCCCCCTCTTTGCTGGTGGTCGGAATTGCTCAATCGCAAAATGCGCGCGGGTATCAAACGGTGACATCAAAAACGATGGTTGGGAATTGGCTGGTTGACGCTCGAAATTGTCCGCAGCACGCCGTTGGGGCTTTTTTCGGGCGTGCGCGCGAACCAAAACGCGACCCGCGAAGTGTCCGCAGCACTCGTTTCTCATTTGCCCTCAAATGCCGATCGTGTTTCTCATCGCTCGCCATCAATCACACTCCCCCCCCCCCTTCGCAGATGTTTGTAGATGTTTGCTGGGTGATTGATGATCGATGTCGACACCTCCCAAAATGGAGGCCGGGTGGAATACGGTAGCACTAGTTCAAGCATCCAACTACGTGATGGGACCACTGATTACGGTAGTAGCCTTTGAATTTGTGCTTGTTGAGAGAAGAAAAAGGTAATTTGTGTATGCATTTAAAAATCGGCTGATGGCGGGTGGGGGACCAGAAAGCCACGCCCACTTTTTGTTCTTCACCTCGTGTGTGCTGCCCGACGCAGCACACATATGTGCGCCGCTCGTTGAAATCTCGCCGCCCCGGGCTAGTTCAATTTTTGTCGCTGTCGCTGCTGTGGCGGCGGCTCAATTTTTGAGGAGAGGGTGTAAGAGATAGAAAGACGACGAAGCTCTGGTGGAAGCGGCAAGCATGCTCGACCGAGAGCCACAACAACACCACCGCACCAGTCAACCTCCTCCTCCTCCTCCCTTCCTCTTCCCCTCCCTTCCCACCACCGCCACCACCACATCTATATTCGCATCTGCGGACCATTATGCGCGCCATGGTTCACGGAATGGTCAGCCGAACGCATGCCAAGAAGAAGCAGCAGCAGCAGCAGCAGCAGCCGGAAGCCATCGCGGCTCCGGTTGCCGCCAAAATGGTGCCGAGCTCATCGAGCTCATCGCCGCCGGCGGCGCCGTTGAGGCGCGCGATTCCCAAAACCGCGACGCTCGATGGTAGGACGATTCGAAAGCCCGACAATCATCAGAATGGTGTGGTTCGGGCCGATCTCGCCGTGTAAGTGTCTATATGCCATTTTTTTCCTATTTTTGATCTACCCGCTTTTCACGAAAATTTTCCATTCATTCGTGATTTTTTTTTGAAAATTTTGCCAACATTCATTAGTTGTCTCAAATGTCGACATTTTTTGCTAATTTTTCTACCTCATTATTATTTGTTATCCCGATTTTTTTCCGCTCGAATTTCAAAAATTACTCACAAAGCGGGCGCCAATGTTCGATCTTCCGGGTGGGAGCGATGCGAGGCGGAAGATCGAGCCTTGGGGGGCAGTTAGAGACGCAGCGTAGGTTATAGTTATTTGATGATGATGATCTACCAGAAATGTGAATGTTGCCTCGCGAGACACTGCTCATGGCGTTTTCCAGCCACACAAAAAAAAATGAAGAAATTTTTGACAAATTAGATATTCATGTCATTTTTTTTTCCGGCCAACTCGACGCGATATTCATGTATTTGTGTCTGGAGATGACGGGAGTCGTCGTGTTTTTGGCATTGTGCTCGTTCAAGTGCATTAGTATGCATTGAAAACGTATCGAATTACCATTTTTTCGCAACATTTATCGATTTTCCAAAAGCCTACACCCTGAACACATGTATACGGCGTTCGTACAGCGTCGGAGAGAAGTCGCTGTACACAGATAAACGGCAGCATAGGCACAATGGAAGCATAATGGAACGGCTGTGGATATCATAGGAATCTTATATGCAAGTTATATGGAAGCATAATGGAAGCATTTTTTTGCGGAACCGCGTGTTTCGTATATGGAATGAGCCGTATGCCTTCCATATGGGCAAATAAGAAAACAATTTGATTGCTGTATTCAAAATTTATTTCATATTAACACATTTATTTAATTTAAAATAAAAAAAAAACAACAATGAAATGAATTTCAATTAAGATATAATCACACCATTAGTTACTGGCAACTGCCGAACTATTCGAATCATTGTCAGTACTGACATCGAGCGGGACGCTGTAATAAGTAGAATTCATATCGTTCACACTTGGTTAAAAAGCCGTGTTATGATATTTTTAAAAACAACAACTATTGCTAAGAAATTAGGCAAAAGTCCTAATGCACATTTAACCTATCCTTTTTTCGCAAATATACGCTTGTAGAAAGAAACCGTTATCGAATTTTTACCTTTTCTCCACTTTTCCTAGTCGCTACACTTCGATTATAATGGGCCTATTAATTTGAAAAACTTGTAAACCATTGTTACGTAAACTAAATTTTTCGAGAAAATACAATCAGTTTTTTTTACATCAATAATTTTCTTAAAAATAAAAATAATTTATTTTTATTGCATTTTTGGAAACCCTTTAGTGCACAAAATAAAAAGTGAATTGGCGGAAGAAAGAACAACTCCAAAATTTGAAGCAAAAAGGCATTTTGGTTAAAATTTCAAAGACATATGAATACTCACATCTGAGGGTTGCTGGTAGAATCAAGCAGCTTCCTTAATTGCGCCGCGAGCGCTTCCGGCGCTACACCAAATTTCCTTTAAAGTCGTTGGCGCATTCTATCGCTTAATCAAATAAATAAATTAATAGTCATAGTTCAAAATCTTACAGAAGATTATCCATGACTTCTCGAACCATGCGTAATGCTTTCGCTTTGAAGTCATTTGTCGGTTGTTGCCCAAAGCCATGGATAAGAGCATCTGTAATATAGATATTTGCAATAAAGTATAGGATCTTTATATAGTCGGCGTCTGGCGACTTCTGTACTAGAGCCCCACTTAAAAAGATAAATGCCACTGAATGATATTGGTACGAAGGCTGTACGGCAATCGGAAATTTCGGCGATTCGGCTAATGGCAAATTACCGATCGAAATTTTCTTCGGCAATTTGAAAAACCGGCAATTTCGGCAATCGGCAATTCCATTGCCGCACAGCCCTGATTGGAACCAAATAATCAACAAGCTTTAAACTTAGGAAGTACTTTATAAAGACTTCATTGCGCATATTTTTCTAATTGAAACCATTTCTGGAGTCGAACAGGCCAATTTTTGATGATAACAACTTACAAATTGCGCGTACGAAGATTTAGGAATTGGCGTTGATTTTGTTGTTTGTGAGGACTGTGGAGAAAAATTTTTTTGCTGAGTTGGCGAGTAAATTGGACTATCTGGATCTGAAGTGTCGAGCGAATTTGGTTCCATGTTAGGGACTTCTGGTTCTTTGTTATTGACTTCTAGAGCAGTTTCAGTTATATCTGACAACACTCTCGATCTTGTCTTCATCTGTAAAAAATTTCAAAACATTATGTTTTATTAAAAGAAAAAAGCGAGCGATAATAAAAAATATGTTAAAGTAAATAAAAATAAAACGGATTCGATGAGAAATTAAACACAATTCGATTGAGAAAATATTTAAATTCGATTTTAAAAGTGTCGGAAACGATTTGAAAACATCGTATCGATTTTAAAATTTTCGAATGATGATAAACATGAAAATGATAAACATGAAAATTTTTCCTTTATTTTTTAAAAACATTTTTCCTTTAATTTTGAAAAAAATTCTTTAATTTTTGACAAAAAAAAAAACACAAAAAATCTTGAAAATTCATTGAGAAAAAGCAAAAGGACAAAAATTTTGAAAACGAATTTCGAAAATGTGAGGCGTGGCCGCATTGTGCAAAGCGGCGCACGGTTTTGCAATGCTGCGGCACGCCTCTTCTACGCGCGTCTGCTACCAGTTTGGAGCAAATTGTGAGTAGTTTGCGATGCCAATTTCGGAAAAACCGGCAAAAATATATTAATACGACTAAATTGTAGTTGGCAATCTTTAAACAAAGTAAGGAACAGTTGACTGAATTAACATAAATCTGAGTAGCATAAGTCATTAAATGGTAGAAGCTAAATTTCGTATGTTGTGTATCATGTAATTTTCAAATTTTCATTGTTTATATGATAGCATAAGTTTTTTGTATTGATTTTTCTAGAAATTGTCTTGGTCTGCCGTCCAGACGCCAATTGTATAATGTGTAATGATATATGATTATTTTATCCATATTTCATCCATATTCGTTCCACGGCTCGCAAACACCGGAAGCATATTCATCCCGTTTTCATTCCATCCATATTCGTCCCATAATTCTTCCACAGCCACTAAGAATTACATTATGCTTCCTATATGGAAGCATTATGCTTCCGTTCCACAGATTTCCCACAATGCTTCCATTATGCTTGCGTCGCGCTCAATCAGTGTAGCCGAGTGGCTAAGCGCGCCCGTTTTGCACGCCGAAACTTTCTGGTTCGACCCCATCTGTGTTGGGAAACTTTTTGTCTGACTCACTATACAATTTCGACTTCAAATTACGAGGAGCCAACGTGTTTTTTGAATAATTGATAGTTTTGCGCGCAACACCGGAACGACGTAATTCGGGGTGAGGCAATGGAAAACAAAAGTTTTTTATAAGGTTTTTTTGGCAATATGGGACAATAGAAGTCTTGAGGGTTTTTAGACGAGTGTAGAATAGTAATTATGCGTTCAATGCGAAATAATAAATCAAAAATTCGTATATATTTTTTTTGTGGCTAGTCGAGAAAAAAAATGATTAATTATTGTGCCAGCTGCTGTCATTATGGAGCGCGCGCGAGCTATACGACAATCGGAAGTGCGAGGCGGGGGGAGACACCTTAAATACGCTAATCGCGCGGAAGGTTGGCAAGGGTTTGATGGAGCAGTGGTGTCAACTTGCGGCTGTGGCGCGGCGTCGTGCTGAAGTTCGACCCCGCATCCTGCCTGGCGGTTTTGCAACATTTTGACGCGATCAGACGTTCATCGATTCCCTTGAGGCGAAATGCGTATAAACTAGTGCAAGCGAGCGTCTCAAGCCAACATTTTGTCGCCGCCGAGATGTAATTACGAAGAAGCTGGCCGCCGAAATCTGCGCAAGTCCCTAAAAAAAGGACGGGCGGAGAAGGACGACTGACTAGCATCAACCGTTGAAACACATTGGCTCGAAACGAATGCAATCAGGAGTAGAAAAAAAAAGAAGACAAAAATGGTGCAAAATGCTAACGAGTTCGACATGGGCGCACGCACAAAATCAACTTTGTTTGGCAGCTCTTTTTTGTCGTTTGGCTCATTTTTCCGGGGTCCCACCCGATTTTTATGGGCCGTTGACTCAGATGGTCCATTAAAATGAGCAACACATTGAAATTAATTTGAGAAGCGAGGCAATTTTCATTTCGACACCGATTACGGTAGTTTTGGTTCATTTTGTGCTAATTTTGTTGAGAAATTGAATGGTAGATCAAAATCCGAAAATTACTGTAATTCGTGTGTTTAAATAACAATGTGAAAAAAATAAATTGATTATGCGCCTTTAAATCGTAATTTTTAAGATTGTTTTTCCGAAATAATTTCAAATTTTGGCGATAATCATTGAAAACAAAATTGTGAGCCACTTTTTTTAGGGACCATCGAAATTTGTACCAGCAATCATTCGCGGCTGGTCGCATTTTGCGAAATGGCCCGAAAACTGAAATCCGAGACGTCGGACGGCTCGCCGGACGTTTTTCGTGGTTGTTGTCTCGCTGATTGTAGTTGTGGGACCATTTTGATTTTGTGAGAAAATAAAAACGAGAAAGAGGGACCTCGCAAAATTTTATGGCACATTACATTAGTTTTATGACAAAATCGCCTGCTCCCCTTCGAGCCCTCGTTTTTTTTTTGCTCTTGTTGCTTCTTGTTTCTCTGGGGACCATCATTCATTTGAATCCACCACGCCACGCCCCCCCCCCCCTCCTTTTCCTTGTTGGGACCACACTACTCGCTAGGAACGCGAATATGAATCATTACTTTCTTTGAGACCCGCCGTCGGCGTTTTGTTGATCAAATTCGGAATTTCTCAGCGCTTTTTTTTTCTCAAAGAACGATTTTTGAATTCCCGCCAAAATATGATTGTATTAAGTACGCCCCAATTCTTCTTCTTCTTCTTTTTTTTTTGAATTTCCGCCAAATTGTTTTTTTTTTTTCGAATTTCTCAAAAATCATCACTTTTTTTTGGAATTTTCACCACACCAAAATTGGCGCCAAAAAATCGATTTTTTGTCGCCACAAAATCTGGCTCATTCAATTTTTTTGAATTTCCGCCAAAAATTTTTTTTTTTCGAATTTCTCAAAAATCATCACTTTTTTTTGGAATTCCCACCAAAAATGAGTTTTTTTTTCATTTTTCGAAATTTCACAAAAAAAAATCCGGTGGTCCCAAGTTGTCTCTCGAATTGTACTCGTCAAAATCGCCCGCGTAAATCCACAATCGCTTCGAGACCCCCCCCTCATTAGTAGATCAAAAAAAAATCGGCGAAATAGAATAAAAAACGAGAAAAAATGGAGAATCACGCACACATATCGAATATATAATGGGAAAATGTTGTGCGAAACTCGCATCGGATGACGCATCGCGGGTGTCCCGCGGGGTCGCCGCCGCCGCCGCACCAAAACATTTCCATTTTTGGGCCATTTGTGCACTTGGGCCGGCCAGCATACATTTCCGTATAGTTTTGGCCGAAGAAAATGTATACAACGAAAAAAAAATGTTATTGTTGTTTACAAAAAATCGCGGCCCCCTCTCGAAATGATTTGCTGTCGTTCGGCACGAGACCCAAAATGGCCAATTTCTTTTTCGAGCGTTTTGAGACACCCAAAACTCATCTGGTTTTTGGGAAAGCAAAAATCGAGATTTTTTGCATTTTTTGTGGGAGATTTTATTTCTCGTTTTTCGCAAAATTTTGCATTTCCCTATTTTTTGCAGAAAAGTCTGCGTGCATTGCAAAAACGATCGGTCGGACCACGAGTTGCCGCCGAATCAAGCGCTCAACGTCTACAATCGACTCGGAATCCAGCCGCCTGAGACGATGCCGACGCAGACGGCGGCGGGCGGCGCCGCGCCGCAAGAGGTGCCCGGCAACGTCGGACACGGCTACGCGTGGGTCCCGCCGGGATTGTCGAGGAAAAAGGTGAGCGCGCCCACGTGGGTGGCTTTTTCGCGATTTTGAGCCAAACGGAAAAAATTGCTGCCACGTGGCATTAATTCTTTTTTTTTTTCTTTTTGACGTCCCTTTTTCCGCGGTTGCCTTGATGATTTCACACGTTTGGAATCGCCACGTGGCATTCTTTTCGTCCGCAAATTGCCGCCGACGTGTTTGCACACCGGCCCGCTACAGTAGTTTCTCGCAATTGTTGAATAAGTTTCTCATTTAAAGACGCTAGCCGGTCTCGCAGCGATGCGCCTTTAAATCGAGCCGCTCCCCCCCCCCCAATTGTCGACGATTATTCAACAAAAAAAACCGCCTCTCGAGATTGTCGCAAAAAAATATCAAATTCCCAAAATGTGCTCGAATTCCATCCAGATGGTCATCGACTCAATATTGACATTGAAATTCAAATTTGGCCTAGAAAGCACACCGAAATTTGCGCGCGCCAACTCCTCGATGTGAGACAGGTGCGTCTAGGCACCTGTCGGCCGTTGCCCCCCCCCCAGCAACAGCTCGCCAGCCATTCAATCTCATCATTCGTTCTGTTTACCCCGATCAAAATCGGATACCGATTTGGAGAGCCACCCGAGGTGGAGCACAGACACTACTGCGTACTGTGTACATCGGCCGCTAATCTTTTACCCCCCCCCACTCCCGAGGTTGCCGAACGTACTATTCGACTCGAAAGAAACGCGAAAGAAAAAAAAACGAAAATTACTGTTTCTTTTTCTGTTGCTCACCTCCTCCTTCGCCGCGCCATTGACAAAAATTTTGCCGTTTTTTTAATTAATATTAATATTGGACATTTTTTTTTGACGGCGCGTTTCTTTTATTTTCCCTCTCTCTGTGCTGATTAGATGATGGGCGCCGGTATCGCGTTAACCGAAGGCATGCGCGATGATCCGCTCATGTTTCAATTCATGCGAAACGCTGGACAAATTTTTCGGAGAAATCAGCATAATTGGCTGATTGACGTGAGTTTTGTTTCGTTGTTTTCCATTCTCTCAATATGGAATTCATAATTTGACTAAACAAAAAAGAGACGGATTTATTGAAAGAAATTGATTTTAAAAAAAAACTTGCAACATTTAGGTCGAGGAGTATATGGCGCAATTGCCGAACAACGTGGTCCCAAGGACGAACTCGATCGGTGAGAAGGTTCGCGAGAAGCAGCTTCTCCTTCAGCTCCCGCGTCAAGATTTGTCGGTGGCGTATTGCCGCAATTTGTCAACGGCTACCGAGCGCAAAGTTTATGAGGAGTTTGTGAACGCGAGAAACGAGATCGCACTTGACATCGGCTACGTTTCGCCGAGCATCCCGAAAGCCATGGTAATTCTAAAAATTGAATTTTTCTTTGCAATTTGAATTGTGCAAACTTCTAGGAATGCCATAAATGCTCGGGAATTCTCGAAGCCAACGAGATGGCGGTGATCGCGCCGAAACTCGGCGAGTCGACCGGCTGGCATCCGGCGTGCTTCACGTGTCAGACGTGCGAGCAGCTACTCGTCGATTTGACGTATTGCGTGAAAGACAATCAAATATTCTGCGAGCGGCATTACGCCGAGCTCCACAAGCCGCGGTGTTCGGCGTGCGATGAGGTGAGCGGCGATATCGACTGAAAACAAAAAAAATCTAAAATTCATGAAGAATTAAAACCGGTTGGGCGAATGATTTGCGAAAAGTAACAACAAAAAAGAAATCGGGAAGTGATTCATTCACTTCACTTTAATAAAAACGGAAAAAAACAATAACAAATTGATAACAGCCGTTTGCCGAAATAATTTTTTTTTGGCAATTATTTTTTCATATTTTCCAGCCTAAATCAATTTCGTCAAAATTGCACACATTTTTTCGATTTTTTTCGAGTCGCCTAGCCTCAAAATTTGCAATTTTCATCAAATTTTGATATAAAATCGAGTTTGAAAATTAAAAATTGAGCAAGAAATGGGAAAAAGAATCCAGGAGAAGAAAAATTATGAAAATTCAAATTGTCGCTGCGCGATATCGCTCCAATTATTGCACACGCGCCTTTAATACAGTAACCCCTCGCATTCGACAATTTCATGCCTAATTTTGTCGGAATTTCGCTGGAAAAAAAAAATTAGTTGCGAACACAAAGTTTGCGCTGGTTTTGTTAATCGGCTGACCGCGTCTGTTGGTTGGTTGGTTGCACTCACATAATAGTAACTGTCAATTGAGAAACGGAACACTTTTTGGAGCGATTTTAAAAATAGCTCGCTCGCTTTCTTGTTGGTCCATCAAACGCACGTTTTCCGGGGCGAAAAAGTCCAACCGCACCCATGTGAAACACAAACAAACAATGACACATTCTCAATGGTTATTTTCTTATATTGGGAATGATTTTTTTTCGGCCCATCGTCTTATCAGTTTAAATACCTCATCGTTTTCAAACTGGAACCATTCGATATATTATATTTGTGGTGTTTTGTTTATTCGAAATGTCTCGGCTCATCGCCCTCCCGATTTGGAGACACGCCGAGACGAAAAATCAAATTTTCGCGTGAAATTCGATTTTTGCATTTTTTTTTAAATCCCCGTGTCTCCCCTTCGTCCCAAGAATGAATCAGATGAAAACAAAACCGACGTATTCGTTTTTGCTAATAACGCGATGACACGCCATGAATTTGCGCAGAAATCTGAAGAAATTGGGTAATATAATTGTGCACATTGCGTGATGCGAGCTCATCGGAATGAATCGAAACTTGCTTGGGTGTTGTGCGTCATTTTCGACAACCGGAAGGAATGTTGTTGCAAATCTCTTTCGAATCGGTTTGGTGGTTTTTTTTTCGTCGAAAATACACCACGCAAAAATCCGCTTGGATTCGATCCATTGACATCTCGCGCGCAAAAGAGCGCCTTAAACCGCTAGGCCATCAAAACGTCTGTGGCTGCGGCAAACGATGGGTATAAGTGCGAGGTGCGTTCGCGTTCATCCCCTCCCCCTTCCCACGTGCAAACCATGAAATCAAGATGAAGATAGATAGATTAATGAGCTTGTGTTAAACATTGCTCCGGAACATGTGCGATTTCTCAAGCTCCTCTCATTTCCGTTATGTTTTCAGCGATTCGCGACGTTTTAAAACGCGATATTTTTGGCACGTTTCGAAATCCATTATTGCTTCTCTTGTTCAACACCTGTCCCACAACGATCCATTTTAGTATTCAAATTAGAATTATTTGACAAAAGAAACAAGGAAATGGGAAGAATTTCGATATCGAAACAAAAACGTGTAGTCGGTGTCCTGTGACTGCTCGCTGGCCGTAGGCGCCGTATTACAACATTCTCTTCTCTTGCTCCGGCTTCTGCCATTGCTTTTGGGCGCCCATCATTTCGTTTTCGCTTCAGCGGCGATCCGCCTCGGCCGGCTTCACTCGTTTCCAAAAAAAAATAAAATAAAATTTCGAAAGTTTTCTGTTTAGTTTTTGATTTTGTCGCGCACACGTACATATACGCCAATCGTCCCCCACGCCTTCAGGTGACCGGGTGGCAGATTGGCTAGCGGCGCCGCTCGTTGACACGCAAAGGCGTTTTGGTTCGAGTCCGCACCCCACGCAAATTTTTTGTTTCAAACAATGTGCGCTTCAAGGGCATGATTTAAAGTCATAAATTGTTGTTGCACAAAAGCAAAAAAAGTGGGCAACAATTGCCGGCACACGCAAAGCGTCGCCCATTTTCGTTTTTTTTTTCTTCATCTTTTTTCATCGGCATTCCCGTGGGGCGTATGTGTGCGAAGCCACCACCACCACCACCGCCACCACCACCAACACCAAGTACCATAAACATATTCATTTTTGTTTTCTGTGTATGAAATTCGTTGGTTTTTTATTTGTGGCCCGATCGAACTCAAAAAAAGCGGCTAATCTCGCAAATCGAAACGAAATCGAATAAAAATTGGTGTGCAGTCGAGCGCGAGAAAAAAATACGTCGCAAATCTTCCATATTTGGCGCACTTTAAACATGTGTGTTTTTTTTTTTGTCGAAAAAAAAACCGATTTTCAGCTGATATTTGCTGGCGAGTACACGAAAGCGATGAACAAGGATTGGCACAGCGATCATTTCTGCTGTTGGCAATGCGATCAGACGCTGACCGGACAGAGGTGAATTTTCGAACCGTCACGTTTCGTTTTTGCCTATTTTTTTTCATGCCACACACATTTGATTCCGCAATTTAAAGGTACATAATGCGCGACGAGCAGCCGTACTGCATCAAATGCTATGAGGATGTGTTCGCGAATCAGTGCGACGAGTGCGCGAAGCCGATTGGAATCGACTCGAAGGTTCTTCAATTTGTTTTTGGCTTGTAACATTTTTCGTTGTAGGACCTCTCCTACAAGGACAAACATTGGCACGAGCATTGCTTTTTGTGCAGTATGTGCAAAATCTCGCTGGTCGACATGCCGTTTGGCAGCAAAAACGATCGAAGTGCGTTTGGCGTTTAGTTGACGCCGCGCGGCGGACACCTTACGGGTTTCGCCGCCCTCTATCCTCAACATTGTCGTCGAGCAATTATGATTTATTTTTTGCAGTTTTCTGCTCGAATTGCTACGATCAGGCGTTCGCGACGCGTTGCGACGGCTGCAACGAGATATTCCGGGCGGGCATGAAAAAAATGGAATACAAGGGCAAACAATGGCACGACAAATGTTTTTGTTGCGCGCATTGCAAGGTGCCGATCGGCACCAAATCGTTCATTCCGAAAAACGAGGACGTGTTCTGCGGTCCGTGCTACGAGGAGAAATTCGCGACGCGTTGCAGCAAATGCAAAAAGGTGCGCAGATTTTGCATTTTTCTTTTTTTTTTCGGACCATTATTTTTGCGGACCATCATTTTTGGTTGCAGGTGATCACCGCCGGCGGTGTGACGTACAAAAACGAGCCGTGGCATCGCGAGTGCTTCTGCTGCACGAATTGCAATTCGTCGCTGGCCGGCCAGCGATTCACCAGCAAAGACGAGAAGCCGTACTGCGCGAATTGCTACGGCGAGCTGTTCGCGAAACGATGCAACGCGTGCACGAAGCCGATCACCGGCATCGGCGGCGCGAAATTCATCTCGTTCGAGGACCGCCATTGGCACAATGATTGTTTCATTTGTGCGCAATGCACGACGTCGCTCGTCGGCAAAGGCTTCATCACCGACGGCCACGAGATTCTGTGTCCCGAGTGCGCCAAGGTAAATTGAAAAAGAGAAATTTTGAGAAAAAAACATCGAATCTGAAAAATTGCGTCAAATGCGGCAAGTCCGCAAACACCGAGTATTTTGAAATTTCAAAAATTTGTTAAAAAATTTTTCCCGCCTTTTTTTTCATCCTCATTGAGAACTCCACCAAAATTTGTCGAATTTAAAGGCGCACGCAATTAATTATCTCGAGCCGCCGAGTTTTGTGGAAATTCGATAAAAAGCGCGCCGAATTAATTTCGCGGCTTTATAAAATTCATCTGCGGACAGTTTTGCGGGTTTCGGCAAGTTCACAAACACCGAGCATTTTGAAATTTCAAAAAAATTTTTTTGCCGCCTTTTTTTTCATCCTCATTGAGAACTCCGCCAAAATTTGTGGAGTTTAAAGGCGCACGCATTTAATTAATTCGAGCCGCCGGGTCTTGGGGCGAAAATATTTTAAATTTCTGAAATTCGCGCACCTCGTGATGAATTTTGCCGCTTTTTTTCTGAAACTCAAAAACAAATCGATAATTGAAGGAGCATTCAGTGTTGGTTGTTTTTTTTTTATTAAATTTGGGTCTCGTGGCGAAGTTCGTTGCGCGAAATTCTAACAAAAGCGCGTTGAATTAATTTCGCTCAAAAATCGGCTTTATAAAATCCACCTGCGGACAATGTTGCGGGTTTCTGCACCAATCCAAATTTGTCAATTTTCATTGTTTTCAGGCTCGTCTAATGGCCGCCAACTCGTAATATGAAACGAATTTCGCCTGTCTCTCTCTCTCTCTCCCACCCGTTGATAATTATCGATGCTTTCAATCACCCACCCAACACCAACACCCAAAAATTCACCAATTAAGAGAAATCGCCAAAAAACGGATATAATTGTTTGTTCTTCTATTGCAAATTTTGTTTTCTCTCTTCACTTTTCACCCAAACAAAAACCAAAACCAGCAAAAAAATAATATTTGATCCACTCCCCCCCCCCCAAAATCTGAAGGGTCCCTCCCCGTTCGTCATCTAGTCTAGTGCTTCTTCTTCTCTTTTTTATATAGGAATTTCAGCCCCCTTTGAAAAAAAAGTCGCCTGTAAATAGTTTTATTATATGCATTTTCCCAGACCCCCCCCGCCCCAACTATTCTTCATTCTGATCCTTCGCCTTCGCTTTCGTGATATATTCAACAACAAAAAAGACAAGAAGCTGTTCGTTACATTTTTTTTCTCAAAGAATTCCCCCTATTATATTCAATCACTACGCATTTCAAAAAAAAAGAAAAAAAAAACATTTTCTCTGAGTTTAATAATAAAACAAAAATAACAACAAATCTGGGAAAACAATAAAAAAAAAACAAAAAAACACATAACAAACAACATTTTTGTGAACAATTCGTGGATTAGCGTCGACGACCTCTAAAGGTTCCCCCACCTCTTCCTCGAGATCCTCCTCGACCGCCATCTCGTCCTCTGAAGCTTCCTCCGTCTCTTCCTCGAGATCCACCTCGTCCTCTGAAGCCGCCTCGATCTCCACCTCGTCCTCTGAAGCCGCCTCGATCTCCACCTCGTCCTCTGAAGCCGCCTCGACCTCGCGCTTCCTCTCTACCGTCTTCATACCGCGCACGCTTCTTCTCCTCATCGAATCCCCACTCCTCGTTGGCTCGTTTCAGCTCTCTGAAATCGAAGCACTTTTAAAAATGGTCATCAGCGGACACGCAAAAAAAAAAATTGAAAAAAAAATTCGATACCGTTCGCGATTCATCGCAATCTCGCGATCCTTCTCGCGCTCATTCTCGACCTCCTCGACCTGGCCGGTGGCGGCCGCTTGTCGTCGCGCGGCGCTCTCGCGTATCGCCTTCATCTCGGCCTCTTCGGCCTCTTCGCGTTGCTTGTTGATCTCGAGACGGCGAATCACACGCTGCTCGTTCTCCTGCTCGCGTCGCTTCTTCATTTGTCTGAAAATCGGTGAGCGTCTCAATGAAAAAAAAAACTCTCTCTCTCTCTCTCTCTCGCTTACTTCTTCTTCTCGATGTGCGCTCTCAATTTGACGAGCTCATCGGGCGTCTTCGAGTTCAACTTGTGGTAGAGCACCTCGCCCTCGTCGATGCCCTCCTCAATCTTGACCAATTCGAGTGTGAGTCGCGGCCCAATCTCATGGAGACGCACGTTGCTCTTCTGGCCGAGACCGCAACCGCGACTCTCGGAAATATCCTGCGGCAATTCGACTTCGGCTTGATCGCCCTCGAACTCGCTGTCGCTGAGCTGTCCGGGACTGCAAAAACCACGAGTTTTCACGCAAAATTCTCGACGTCCAACTTTATAAAATAATCGCTGATGTCCTTGTAATTGCTGAGGTCCGGAATCGCTTTCGCCATCGTTTTTTCGGCCTGCACAAGTTTTTTGACGGATTTGTTCAAGCCGGAAGCAACGACTCGAATCGCGCTGGAATTTCGAGAAGCATTCGCTGCTACTATGCGCCTTTAAGACTTACTAGTGTCGAATATCGATCTCATCGGACTCCTCATCATAATTAACAATTAAGCAACGCTTTAAATTGGATAATTGAACCTGAGATCATTATTTTTCTATTATTTTTTCAATTTTTAAATCTACCGTATCAACATTAATGCCCGGGAACATATTCTGAATGAAAGTTTGCACAAGAGCGAGATGCTTTTTGCCTTCAGCGTTGAAGCCGTTCATAACAACAAGCGGTGATGATTTGTAGAGTCTGTCGGTGGCTACTGGACGCTTCTGACAGCTCACCACGTGGCGAGCTAGGGAATATTCTTTGACTGGAAAAAAACGTTGTCTCAAATGAATCGTTGGGGTAAACCTTTGAAGGAAATCGTGGGACCCTGGCTGAATCTCATCATTCTCAGCTGCAATGAAGCGTCGCTAGCGGTAAGGACCATCATGTTGCTGACACCAAGCACGCTGCCATTCACAATAAAATCTTTGATATTGTTTCGTTTGAGAATCTGGAAATTTCAATTAATTTTATAAGAAATAAATGATTTACCTTCAGTTTCTTTGCCGTGAACGGCTCCATTACATTCCTTAAATCGGATTCCAAAGCTTTTACGTACTTTCCGACGTCGCCTCTATGAATCACGAGACAATGCGGTTGTCGGGCGAGCTCTTTTTCCTTGAATTCTTGAAGTTTCTGCTTCTGCAGCTTTTTCACAAAATTCTCCTGATGGTAAAGAGCGTCCTTTTGGCTCTAGAATGGATTGGTTCAGAAACAAATCAATGAAAATTATAAAAATTACCATTGCGTCAACATTGCCGGTTTTGTTGTGCGCGCCGGACTTTCTGTGCTTCTTTCCCATCTTTTTACCTGAAATAATTTATTTTTAATGCATTTATCAACAAAATTCACAAAAAACAATGAGTAAATCGGGTTTATGGGAACTGGAAAAATGTTCGCAAAAACAAGAAATAAATAAAAAGTCCGTGAGATGATTGCTCGGTGTTTGCGGACAATGCGCGGTACCTTACGTAACGCGATTTTCAAATTTCCCCATTTTTTTAGCAAATTTTTTTTTCGATTTTTCTATTTTTCTAGTCAACTTTTATTATGTGTAGTATATCAAGAGGCAAATTTGCAACGGTTTATAAATCATTATCAAAATGTATTTTTGAAAATCTGGCATTTGAAGAGTATCTATTTAGGGTAAGTTTTTCTTTTCAATATTTGATTTAGAGCAAACAAATTTGGTTTTTCAGAATCATGACGTCAACAAGAATGGAGAGTTGCTATTATTCTGGAGCAACAATCCCGCCATCGTCGTCGGACGGCATCAGAACACGTGGGCCGAGGTGAATCTGGAGTTTGCGAAAAAGAATCGAATCGACGTGGCCAGACGACACAGTGGAGGCGGTACGGTATACCACGATCTCGGAAATCTCAACATTTCGCTGCTGACAACCCACGCGCAGCATTGTAGGCCAAAAAATTTGAAGGTAGTTGCTTCAAAGAAGTCCATTTCTCAAATATCCATTTTTCAGTTCATCTCCGAAGCGCTGAACGACACGTTCTCGTTGAGCATCGTTCCCAACAAACGCGACGACATGGAATTACAGCCGGGCAATCGGAAGTGCTCTGGAACCGCGGCGAGAATCGCGAGGTATCAAAAATGAAAAGCCGAGAGAAAAAATCGACATGTCTTCGAGATGTGCCAAATTCCAGAGGTCACGCCTACCATCACTTGACGCTTTTGGTCGATGCCGATCTCTCGGTGCTCTCCGCCGCACTAAATTCGCCGCTTCGACATCAAATCGTGACGAACGCGACGAAAAGCGTCAGAGCCGAAGCGGTGGGATTTCTGAGGCAGGACGATCGATCGGCGAGTGTCGTTGCCGCCGAAAAAGCCGTTGTTGAAGCTTATAGGTGGATTTTTTTTTAAATTTTCACCAAAATTGAGCCACGAATTCCGAAAATGCGAAAAAAGACAAGGATTTTGAATTTTTTTTTGCAATTTTCATTTTTTTTTCGAGGTGTAAACTTGAAACAATTGAAATTCCCAATTTTTCAATGCGCCTTTAAATGTCGCCCCGATTGTTCAGATCGCAATTCGAGGCCTCATTGTACGACGAGATCGACGTCGGCGAGCAAATCGAGAGCAATTCGGAAATGGCGAGAATCTATGAGCAGCTGATCGGCTGGGAGTGGATATTCGGCAAATCGCCGCGTTTCGTGTTCACCGACGACGAGAATCGCGAGATTCTCGTCAAAGACGGCGTCGTCGCGACGCGATCCGGCGATTTCGACGCCGGCACACGATTCGTCCTTTGAATAAACGAAAATCGATTTTCGAATTTCAATTTTTTTTTTGGCTTTTCACTTTTTTTGAATGATTTACCCCGATGAATGTCGGTTCGATTTTTGGTTTTCGTCATTTTCCCCGACAATTTTTTTTTAATTATGTGGTTTTTCGCGGGAAATAATTCCATTTCAACCCTCGGCTCTTTCTTTTTTAACGATTTTATGCCTAAAACAGATTTCGGACCACAATTTTAATAGAAATTTTGGTCTAATTCGAACACGATTTGCAACATTGCAGGAAAACGCCCTTGAAAATTCTTGGCTTTTCGAATTTGCACTAAACGCCCCAAGATTGATTGAATCAGATTTGTTCTGCAAAAATTTTTTTTGTAATTTTTCAGATTTCCAGGAAATTCGTCGCTTTTTTTTTGGCGATGTTTGGAATATTTTTGATTAAAATTCCGTCTGAAAAATCATTTTCCTCCCAATTCGTCGCATTTTTATCGCAATCGATTCGTTAATTAATTGAATTTCTGTTTTTCCTCTTTCAGAATGCCGTCGGAGCCTTGGAGAGAGGCGCGAAAACAATTGTGTAAGTCATTTCGATGAAAATTTGGCAGCGAAAAAAATTGAAATTGTCAAATTTCCAGTGAAAAAATGGCAAGGAATTCTGATAAGCGACGAGCCGTCGCCCTATTATATGCATATTCCGACGCAGGTTTGGCAAAAATTGAGAAAATTGAAATTTTTTTGCGGGTTTAGTTTTGCAATTTGTCGAACGTTTTGCCGGAAGAGCAAGAGGAGATGATATTCAATGAGCTCAAATTTTTTCTATTGGTTCGTTTTGCCGATTTTCGATGCTTCGCCAAATTTTTAATTGCGCTTTTAGGGAACCCAAACCGAGAATATTCGAATAAGCGAGTTTGATGGGAATCTGCCGAGCCAAATCGAAGTCAACATATCGTTTGATCCGTACATTCGGTGAGAAGTTGAGAATTTTTCCTGATTTTCTAGCTTTATCTGCTTTAAAATGCTTTAATTTTTTGGTTTTCCAGATCTGAACTTGAGCGATTCACTGATATTCTGTTGGCGACGGCGACTATCAAAATTTGCTGCTATGGTTGGCGATTTTTTTTTTGATTTTTAAATGAGAATTGCGATTTTCACGCGTTTTTCTAGCGGCAAAATTGATGGAATATTGAAAAATTCGGAAATTTTCAATTTTTTGCCCTGTTTTCCTGCGCATTTCTTTTGGGAGAATTGAAAAATTTTTTGGACGATTCCGAAAAATCTCGGATTTTTCGCATTTTTTTTTTTGGCGAAAATTTATGAAAAATTGAAAAATTTGAAGAAAAATTCTGGAATTTTTCAATTTTTTGCGATTTCTTTTTAAGAAATTGGACATAGCGGGAAAACTTGGGATTTTCAACGTTTTTCTTTCAAACCTGCTCGTTTTTTTTTTTTTTTGGAAGAATCCGGAAAATCTGGGATTTTGCGCATTTTTTTGGCGAAAATTGATGAAAAATTGAAAAATTTGAAGAAAAATTCTGGAATTTTTTTTTATTTTTTGTGCCCTTTTCCTTCAAACCTGTGCGTTTTTTTGGGAAAATTGACGCATTTTTTGGAAAAACCCGGAAAATCTCGGAATTTGCGCATTTTTTTTCGAAAATTGATGAAAAATTGAAAATTTTGAAGAAAAATTCTGAAATTTTTAATTTTTTGCGATTTTTTTTCCGTCAAAACTGCGATTTCTTTTTGGAGAATTGGACATAGCGGGAAAACTTGGGATTTTCAGCGTTTTTCCTTCAAACCTGCGCATTTTTTTTTGGGAAAATTGAAAAAAATTTTTGATTTTTTGGAAGAACCCGGAAAATCTCGGATTTTGCGCATTTTTGTGGCGAATATTGATGAAAAATTGAAAAAATTCTGGAAATTTTAAATTTTTGCTGTTTTTTTTCTTCAAAACAACGATTTTCTGGTGGGACTATCGATGAAATATTGAAAAAGTCGAAGAAAAAAAAATCTGAGAAATTTTAATATCATGATATTTCTCGAATTTTGAGCTTTTCCCTATGAAAATGCAAAAGAAAAATTGGGAAAATTGGTTTGATTTTATTCATTTTTTGTTTAAATTTGAGAAAAAAATCTGGGATTTTTGCGCATTTCTTTTCGTCTTTCAGGCATCACCCATGACGCTTATAATTATTCGACGATTCCCGGCACGGTTGCGAGCGAAATCGAGAAAAAGGTGAATCAAGTGATCTACAAAATCTGCGAGAATCTCGACGGACACCTGGTGAGCTCCCCACTCGATTTCACCACTCAATGCGCCTTGAAATTACTGTAGGACGCCAATCAGCAGTTGAACAATTTGTTTCGTGAAGTCAACGCCGTCGCCGAATCGTTTCAATTTTACAAAGAGATCGTCAAGACCATCTACAAGGTAATCGCGTCGCGATGTGCTGCCGACGGTCTTGCGGGTTTCAGGAGCACTTGATCGGCGGACAAGTTTTGTCGTTGATTGACGCCAAACGGAGGCACGTCTACTCGCCGGCTGCCATTCAGGATCTCGAGGATGTATTTCAGGTTTTGGATTTTTTTTTTCTCGTTTCATTCAAAAAAAATTTTGAGATTGAGCAAAAATTGGCAGAAATGTGATGAGAAAAACTCGATTTTTGGTCGATATTTGCGAAAAATTGGGAAAGTCAAACAAAAAAACTTGAAAATGGGCAGAATTTCGAAAATATGCTAGTTTTGACACATATTTCAGCCAGAAATTGCTGAATTTTGAAAACATGTTGGCTAAAATGTTGGAAAATTTGAATTTGGTTCAAATTTGTCGAATTTTCCCCAAAAAAAGGCCGTTTAAAAACTGAAAAATTCCAAATTTTCAATCAAAAATTCAATTTTGCTCAAAATTTCCAAATTTTCTAAAAAAATTGTCGCTTAAAAACTGAAAAATCATCAATTTTCAATCAAAAATTCATTTTGTGTCCGAAATTTCCGAATTTTCCAAAATATGTCGCTTAAAATTTGAAAAATCCTATATTTTTACGATCAAAAATTCATTTTTTTTTCCAAAATTTCGGAATTTGCCGATGAATTGCGCTTAAAAATTGAAAAATCAAATTTGAGTCAAAAATTGGCGAATTTAGCAAAAAAAAAAACACTCAAAAATTGAGAAATTCTAATTTTTCATTAAAAATCCAATTTCTGTCCAAAATTTCCGAATTTCTTAAAGAATTGTGCTTAAAAATTGAAAAATCGAAAATTTTCAATAAAAAAATCGAATTTGAGTCAAAAATTGGCGAATTTAGCAAAAAAAACACTCAAAAATTGAGAAATCTTAATTTTTAAATAAAAATCGAATTTCTGCCCAAAATTTCCGAATTTGCTTAAGAATTTCGTTTAAAATTGAAAAATCGAATTGATAAAAAACTCGAGTTTGAGCAAAATGTACCACAATTTGTGATTTAATTTTTTTTTAAATCTTTTTTTTTTCGGAAAATTTTAAAATAATTGATCTAGGCGGGCTGGCGAGTCTTCGCGCGCTACATTGGCCGTCTCGTGTGTCGTTTCGAAGGCGATTCGCTCAACTTTGAGTTTGTGATCTGGTCGATCAAAACCGCCGGCGATTCGACGCTCGCCGCCAAAATAATGGCGCCAAAATTGCCGAAATCGACGAAGTTCGTCGTCGTCGACGAGCTGTGCCCGTCGTTTTTCCACAAATATCTCGACATTTTGGTAGGTGATCGTTTTGCGAAAAGAGCTTGGCGATTCGGCTTGGCAAGGTTTTTTTTATTTGAAACAATGCGTTTTTTTGCAAATTTTCGGGTCGACCCGCAACGACACTCCATGTTTACAGCGAGGCCGTTGTTTAGCGAAATAAGAATTTCGAATCGCATTATTTTGAGTAGAATTAATTGCTCTTGGAACAAAAATTGCTCAGAAGTCGTTGATTGAACCAGCTTTCACTGTTTTTGTTTCGTTTTCGATTTTTTTTTTGAAATAAACTTTTCTTCAAAAAATCTATTAGCGGGAGGGGGGTTTTACCTGACGAGTACGACACTCCATTTACACACATCGCCCTCAATTTAGCGTAGAAGTGTTCGTCGCGATCGAATCCCTGAGAATTTGTTTATTATTTTTTTTTTGGAAACAAAATTTAATTTTTGCAGGTGAGATGCGCCGAATTTGGCGACGCGTCGAAAATTGAGAACGCGCGCAGCGCGCCGCCGCCGCCGCTGATCGCCGAGAAGGGCGGCGGCAACGTCGAGAATTTGATGAACGATGTGCGGAACGTCGATTGGAGCGGTTTGGATGTGGCGGCGACCGTCAGAATGGTACGACTTGGACGAGTTTTTTTTACACGCTGGGAGAAAAATGAAACTAGGCCATCTCGCTTCTCATAGGGTCCACACACACAAAAAAGACGCGCGAAGCTCATCTTACAGACGCCTCTGATCGGCAAGGTCCTTTTTTTTGAAAACCCCCAATTTTTGAATTTCCACGTGGCACCCTAAAACCCGCCGACGTTTTGTCCGTGCGGACTACACGGACGCCCAAAATTTTGACAATTAAATTTGTTTCTTCTTTTTTTTTGCATTTTTCTTTTAAGAATCTGCTTTTAAACAAGATGGTCCCTAGAAAATGGTTTTTTTGACGTTGATGCCCCCCCCCCCCAGAGAGGAAATAGTTGTGGTTTTTCTTCTTTTTTTTTTTGCCACCCCGTAGAATTATAATATTTTGCCTCCATTTTTTTGCAGCTTGTTCAATTCTCGCGAAAAGAGTCGGCGTGTCTTCTGAAAAAAATCACGTCGGCGACCAATGTCGATCAGGCGATATGCGATATTCACGAGCTTCTCCTTCGCGGCGCTCAGGCTCACGAAGTGATGAGCCAGTGTGTGAAATCCGACATATTGTGCAGTCCGATTGATGTGAGTATTCTCTTTTTTTACTTTTTTCGCTTCTTTTTTTTGGTTTTCCCATTTCGGCTAAAATTTCTGACAATTCTACCACTTTTTGTTTGGTGCGGTTTGAAATTTTTGAGCAAATTTCTACAGGGTGTCATTTAAGTTCCCGCACAACTTTGTAGACGTACATTTCTGAAACTAAAAGTCCAAATCAAACGAGACTCGAAATATTTTTTATCTATAGTATAACAAATATTTATCTATTAACTCTTTTTGATTCGGCCTCTTTTCGCAGCTATGACTTCACGGAGACGCTTCGGGTAGGATGTGACTGTGGTACGCAGGTATTCGATGGAAAGATTGTCCCATTCCGCCAGTAATGTCTTCTTCAGAGCCTCTACACTTGAGTTGGGTTTTGCGTTGACCTTCTCCTGCAAGACCCCATCACGGAAAAGTCAAGCGGGTTCAGGTCTGGGGAGCAATCAGACCATTCGGATGACTTGATAAAGTCGGGAAAATGGGTCTGGCACCACTCCTGAGTAGTTTTGGCAGTGTATGCGGGTGCTCCGTCCTGTTGAAAGACCCATTTCTGCCCACCGAAATGCGTTTGGGTCCAGGGCATCACATGCTTCTCCAAAATGTCCCGAACGTAGACTTCTTTGTTCATTTTCACCATCTGATCCACGAAAACCAGGTAGCACTTCCCGGTTGAGCAGATGGCACCAAAGCCATCACACTGGCAGGATGTGAGGCTGGATGACATGTTCTTCCTTTCTCAGAAGCTTGCTGGGATGTTTGGCCAAGTACTCAATGGTTTTGTGAGTTGAATGCCGCCTCCACACTGAACAGCTTCTCGTCGGAGAAGACAGTGGCGAGGTGTTCTCTAGACCGCGTGCGAGCAAGAAGTCGTTTTGCGTTTTCGAAGCGTCTCTGCTTGTTGACGGCCGATAGAATTGCCGCTTTTTGGACACGATATGGGGTCAGTACAAGCTTTGTTTTGACGATTTGTTCCATAGCAAAGATGCTCATTCCCATGTCTGACGCCATCTTTCTCATGCTCCTGTGTGGGTTTCGCCTGATCCTCGATTTAACGGCGTTGATCTTCTGAGGAGTGGTTACTGAGACGAGTCTTCCTTGTCTGGGACGGACACTGGTCGTATTTAGCTACTTGAATCGTTTGATGGTGTCGCAAACCGTTCTACGAAGCACACCGACCCGTTGAATGATGTCTCTCGGGCTCACATTTTGCTTATGAAGTTCGATAATGGAAGCGCGATGGATGTTAGCCTTCGCCATTTCTCGGAAACACATCCGAATGAGGTGAAACTTGGGAAATAAGTAAAATACACCTTATTTAACAAAAATAAATTGTATTGGTGCACAAAAAGTGCGACAGTCAATCTCTTCATGGCGTCAAACTTTTGTGCGGGAACTTAAATGACACCCTGTATTGTTGGGACAATTTGAAAAAAAAAAGTAATCCCTTTTTCCAGGAAATTGGATCATCGCGTCTCAAAAAATTGACGCAGGAGTGCCTTGGAGCCGCGTCGGAGAAACACCGCTATTTTTGGAGATATTTCAGGTGCCACATGTTATGCGCCTTTAAAAGCGTGATGAATCGAGCGCGTGTGTTGCCTCCCAAAGAAATGGTGCACACATACATACGCAAAATTGCACAATTTTTTTGGTAGCGCAAAAAAAACGATCGCCCTTCGCCGATTCATGGCGCTTTTGATTATCCGGAGTACGGTAGACCGAATTTGCCACTGTTTTGAATTACCGCCTCGAAAAAGCGCTCTTCTTTTTTTTATTGCGATAGTAATATTTTTTATTTTGTAGAAACGAAATTAATTTTTTTCGTTTTCCCCCTTTTCTTAAAAATCGCGAAATTGTAGAAATTTGAAAGAAATTCGCGTTTGTTAAAAATAAAACTACGAATTTTCAGCTTCACCATCGAGACGAAAAACGTGTTTGAGCATTTGGCTGAGAGAATGCTGCGCGGAGCGCCGACCGAAAAACATCGCCAAAATGTAGGCAAACAATTTTTAATAGATTTGTGAAGTTTTTCTAATTTAAAAAAGAAGAACGTTGTTAGAAATCGACAAAAAATTGGCAAAAATAGATCAAAAATTCCAATTTTTTTGGGGCAATGCACATAAAAAATTTTGTTGCTTTTTGAATTCCCGCCAAAATGAAACTATTGCTACAGTACACGCCACCATTGTTCGAATGCCTCTCGCTGACATTCAATTGTCCGATTGAAATTGAGCCGATCGTCTCATCGAACGCCGTTCACATGCTTCTGCCCGTCTTTCGCATTTGGTTGCAATTGCACGTTGCCACGTGGAAATTGGCAAACGAGTGAGTTTTCCTTATTTTTCTTTTTGTAGCGGGGTGGCGACAAAACATCTTCAATTTTTGCCGAAACTCGAAAAATCGTTGAATTCTAGACGAGACATTCTGCGCGGAATGATGCCGTTGAGAAGCGGAAGCGATTTGGCGCTGAAGAAGCACTTGCTCAACTCGTTTGATTGGGAAATTTCGAATTTGAAGAAGAAATACGCGACGTTTGTCGATGTTGCGCTGATTTCGTATCGCGAACGTGTCTCAAAGGTGCGAAAAATTGAATGAAATTGTGATCTCACGCGAAAAGATTCTAAAAAATTGAAAATGTTTGTTTTTGAAATTCCAGATTTTAGCGCAAAAAATTACGAAATTGACATTTTGGGTGTATGCAGAATTTCGAAAATATTGAAAATTACCATTTTAAGCAATATTTAATTTTTTTCAAAAAAGAAATTTGTGAAAAATGAAAAGAAAAGAAAATATCGCAAAAATTGGAATTTTTGAGAAACGTTGAAATATAATATTAGTGCTTTCGAAAAAAAAAGTTCGAAAATAGTATAGTCGGCGTCCGGCGAGTGCTGTACGCGGGTAGATTTACGCGCATGCGCCTTGAAATGGTCTCGCCACGCGTGAACGCTTATTTTGCTGTTTTCACGTGAATTGATGAGTTTCGCATTTCGTTGAATTTCCAACGATATTCGAAAAAATTATCGAACCGACCCATAAAATTTGAAATAACCTGTTAGTCTTTGCAATACCATTTCGAAAGACGCATTCCCGTAAATCTACCCGCGTACAGCAGTCGCCGGACGCCCCGACTATACGATAATTGAAAAAAATAGCTGAAATGATCACGTTTTATCGGAAAAGATTGAAATTTTGACTTTAATCTAGAAAAAACCGGATTAACATTTACCAACGTTTTTTAAAGAGCTTTAATTTCTGAAAATCAATAATTAGCAAAAAAAACTAATAAAATTTGGCATTTTTCTCATCGAACCCCAAAATTTGGCGAATTTCAGGCCGTTTCGTTGGATGAATATGTCGAATCTCAAGATATTTTGGCTCGGGACATCACGAAAATGATGAAAATCATGGAGTCGACCGATTTGGACATTATCAAAGATATGCTCAACATAATTTGGGCTTATGAGAGCCCCGAAGTGGTATTTTTGTGCAAACCCAAATATGACAATGGTTTTTCGATTTTGCAGACATTGGGCGATTTGATTGTCGAATTCGAGGAAATTCAATCGCGCGCAAAAATGGGAGAAGTTACACTTGCATAATTCTTTAACAATTTTGGGGGTCTCTTTTAGAATTTTCTACGAGTTTTTATCGATAAATTTCACTTTTTTTGCGAAAAAAATATTTCTGAGGTTTGTCGTCAAATAAAATGATTGCAGCCTACAGTAACCTAATTCTTTTTCATCTATTACCGATATTATTGATCAAACCGATCCATTTTTCGCAATAGGGCAATAGGGCTCACTTTCAATCCTTTTTTGGAATTTTTTCATCACCATATTGCTTTTCTGTTTAAATGCTTAAAAATGAAAGGAATGGGTTAAAAAAAATAAATACATGAGATCAATAATGAAATGATCTAGCGATCAAAACCAATCAACTCCGAATCGCATTTCTTTCGGTGAGCGGCTCATCGGGCACTCGAATTGCGCCGCGCGAGCATAGGCCGAAACGAGATCGAACGAATCTCAGCGTGAGCGCGTCTTGAACAGCATCGGTGACACCTAGCAAGTTTCCAATGAAAATTTTGATTTAAAAAAAACCCAAACTGACAGAGTGCAAAATTTTTGACAGTTCCGCCGAGAATCACATGACAATAGACGATTGTGACGAGGAGGATGAGCGATTGAAGGAAAAGTGTGAACGCGTAGAAGCCATGAGAGCTGAACGCGCTCTGAAAATCGACATCCGTTTTTTTAGAGCACAAAATGTTGCAATTTTCGTTTGGCCTAGAAATTTGGTGGCCGCGAAATTTCTAGTCCCTCGAACTTACAATGCCGACAATCAAGAAATGCGATCCAATTGCTACAATTGCCGGATTAAAAACCGTCGTCGATCGTCCAATTTTGTGGCAAGTGTCCCAAATCTGAAGGATCAAACGTGTTAGTCATTTTTGATCTTGGCGCGAAATCAACAAATTTTGCGCATGCGCCTTTGATATCTACCGTACTCTTCAATTCATTTCATATTAGATCAAATCGAAAAAAAAAATGATTATTTGACAGCGTAAATCCCCTTTTTTTGGATTTTATCACAAATAAATAATTTTTTTTCGCGGTTCAAAGACCAAAAAATCGAAATATTTCACATTTTTGATCTTAATTTATTAACAGAAATAAAATAAATAAATGGTGTCGCTCGAAAATGTGTGCAAACACCGCGACGCAAATGCGACAGAAAAAGACACCCAAAAAATTACTGAATATTTTTTCGATCGGTTTTTTTTCGCAGGACAGCTGAAATTTTTAAAATCTAATTTCCCACACTACAATTGGACCTTTAATTCATGCCATATAAGCAATTTCAAAGGCGCATCGAGTTTGATTGTCATTTTTTTTAAATACTTGCCTAAATACCCCCCAATTATCACAATTTCTAATAGGAAGTCCCCCCCCCCAGGTTTAAGGCATTTTTTAAGAAACTCTAAAAACACGTAAAATTCTAATAAAATGACTCGCACCATAATTGTCCATGTGACATGGAATAATGTCAGAAGAAGTGCGGAAAGCGACAGGAACAACGGCAGCATTTTTCCGGCGCGATTCACGTCAGCTGTGCCTTTCTGAAATTTGAAGCGTTCCAAGAAAATCCTCGAAAATTTTCGAAAATTGACAAAAGCAATTCATTTTTTTTTCGGTTTTATTCAAATTTGAGATTAAAAAATTCCAAAATATTGTTGAATTGAGTTGTAGCGAGCGGAAAAAACTGTGTGCAAACACCGCCGCGCAAAAAATAACGTATTTTCTAGTCAAAAAACGCAACAATTTGGAATATTCGTTCTATAAATTCAATTTTTTTTTTGAAACCTCCAACGCTTCCGGCAATCCAATCGAGCCGGGACCGGCAAATGTGGCGAACGCGTTCATAACGAAGAAAAGCGCCGACGTAACGCCCATACCGAGTCCGCACACCAACGCGAGCATATGTCGCGAATTCTGAAGGCCCGAAACTCCCGACGCCATCGAATAGTTCGTTTGACGCGTGATTTTGTTGAGACCGCTGCAAAAAAATGAAATAAAATCAAATAAAAAATTATTGTTAAGTAGAAGAGATCTTCTTGATATGACCCTTTTTTTTGGTTTAATTACCCAAATTTTAGATAAATTGACCTTCCCTGATGATGATCTAAAGATCGAAACGTCGGATAAACATTTAAACAGTGTGCAAGACATTCAAAAAGGGTCATATCAAGAAGATCTCTTCTACTTAACAATAATCCACACGATGCACTCAAAAAAAATCGCTCCACAACTCACAAAACAAATAAAAAAAATCAAAACTCAATTCTCATCTCACTTTTGCGCTTTTTTCAGCACCCAAAAATAGGCGACTCGCGCGACTTCTTGAAAAATGATGCTGAGCAACAATGTCGGATGGAACGGATCGCTGAAAATCGGCGAGAGCGCAAACCAGAATACCGACGACAGCAGTAATGAGAGGAGCCAGAAGAACGCGCTGAAATTTTGTTGAAATTAAAAAAACAAAAAACAAAAATGCATTCAAAATTACCCCAAAAAGAACAAAATTATGCGGACGGGATCATGAAGAATGAACGCGACGAAAATGACCAACGACGCCGAAAATGAGAGCAGATAACACGAAATTGTCAATAAATAGCCCATCTGTAACGAATAAATTATTTTTTTCATATAAAACATCGATTTATGAGAATATGAATGAAAATATGCAAGAAATTCAAATGGCACGCCGAAAAAATGAACACATTTTGAACTGCCGCCGCTTGTACGCAATGCGGACCATGCATTATATCCTACGACATTTTTCAAATATTTCATTTTCACAAATTATTTTTTCCATTTTTTTGCTGTTTTTCATTAAAATACGACTAAATTTGTTAAATACGTATTTAAATAATAAAAAATTTAATTAAAAAGAAAAGAAATTATTATTTCAACGCCAGAAATGGTAAAAATTGCATTTTTCGATTTTTGGCTGAAAGTCCTAAAATCCTATTTTTTCTAGCGATTCGGCGTACCAACACAACGAAAAACTTGATATTTTTCGATTCCTCTCTTTAAAAATCGTCAAATTCTCACAAAAATTAAATCTCCAACAGTCACAACACAAAAAAAAGATATTTCAATCAAATGGCGTTAACATGACGCAGAAATTCATAAAACACACGAACAAAGGAAAATCTCAAAAAAAAAACCGATTCATTTTTTTGTGTGTACGTGTAACTCATAAATAAATAAGCCTATTCGAGACAATAATAATTACATTTTATCATTTTTTTATGGGGGGCGAATTTTCAAAACGAAAACGAGCAAAATATACAGCACAAATAATAGGGACCATCGACAAATTTAACCCGATTCTAGTGAAGTTCAAAAACGAAACAAAAAAAATTGAATAAAGCGTTATATTCTTGTTTGATGGGTTCTTCTTTTCAGTTGACTTTCGCGTAGCTCGGCGGCGAGAATTTCCGACGAAGCGCTTTGATGATGTAAAGCGGAAGGCACGAGATCGCTGTGATCGCCGTCGTCTTCGAGACGAACATCCATGACAAAACGAATTGGCGATCAAAGTATTGGTCGAAGATTATCAATGACACCATGTAGAGACCGATTGACATTGCCTTCAATTTCAATTTTTCATTATCCCATACAGATCATTTTTGGTCGAAAAATCAGAAAAAGTATGTTTTTTTTTTCGAATTTTATTTAAATTTTAAAAAACCAACGTAAAATTTCCATGATAAATTTCTGAAAGTCGCTAAAACAAAAACGATAGTTCAAAAAAAACTAAAAGGAAAACCCTAATTCGACGTTTTCAAGCTTTCTTCTCAAAATCTGCGACATTTTCCACTTAGAAAACCCATCAAAAATCTCTCAAAATCATGAAAAAACTCAATTATCCGCCTGAAACAAGCTAAAAATGTTTTTTTTTTTCCCAATAAAATCTGATCCCGTCCAAAATTTTCAGTCAAAACACGTCAAAATTTCAATTTTCAGCTCGATATTTTCGCAAATCAAAAAAAAAAAACAGTCGAAACCTGCGCCGAAATCATCGCCCAATGCCACGTGTGCACCGTCATCGCAACCATAATCAATTCGGTGATGATCAGCGCCGAGAACGAGATCGAGACGACATGAATGAAGTCGGTGTCGAACACGAGAAGCGCGCCGTACATTATCACGGCGCCTTGATAGAGCGAGATGAGCACCCAAATGCAGAACGTCTTGTACGACAACGAGCGACCTTTGCCGAGCTCCTTGTACAACTCCGGGTACGTCAGCGCGTTGGTGGCGGTCACGTCGCGATCGACGACCAACGAGAACACCGGCAACATTGTGTAGCACGTCGAATAGCTGCAAAACGAGCGACGGTTTGAGACGATCCAAATTTGGGCACGGGACTTACGCGACCATGAGAACACCTTGATACAACGACACCGAAGCGAAATAGAAGACGCATGAGAATATCGCCTGCATCGTCGAAATGATGAGACCTCTGAAATTCAAGCAATTGGCCCCCCTGTTTTTTTTTTGGATTGACGCGGGCGCAGTTTAAAGGCGCATACCGTACCTGTGCATAACAAACTGCGATAGAGCGCATGATCTCTTATAGCAGAATCGTCCGTGGACAAGAAGCAATCGGCACACGTGCGAGAATTGGGTGATCGAGAAGTCGGCCGCCAGCGACGCCTGTTTGCCCTCGTTGGCGTCGATGCCGATGCCGGCGTGCGCCGCCTGGATCATCGACACATCGTTGCCACCATCGCCAATCGCGGCGACGCGAAGCGGTGCGCGATACTGTAAAAATAATTTCATCCGGTTACGGTATGTTCGTGGCGAGCCTTTTCTTGGGTCTCACATTGTTTTTCGAACACAGTATGCGCCCATTCGCGGCGAGACGGACCAATTTCGTCGAAATTTCCAAAATCAAACAAAAATATGGTAGTTTCGTGACGAGACCCCAACCATCAAATTTTTTCGCGAGTTTTGGTCGCCAACATTTTCAAAAAAAAAGAAAAAACGCCAACCTTCCTCAACAATTGCACAATTTGGGCCTTCTGCTCCGGCGAGCAGCGACAACACACGACGGCCGTGCACGCGCACACCAACTCGGCGACTTCCGCCTCGTAGTACTGTAGGCAGACGTTGAGCGCCGAGCCGGGCATCACGAGCGCCACATCCGATTTTCGCCGCAAATTGTTGAGCTCGTTGTGCGCGTCAGTTCGATTGTGCACGTTGCCGAACACGTGCACGTTGTCGGTTCGCGCGAACAGACCGCTCGATTTCGCGATGCAAATCGCCGTCTCGAGTTTGTCGCCGGTCAACATCCAGATTTTGATGCCCGCGTTCTTCAACAACTCCAATGATGTCGTCACTTGGTCCTGAAACATTCGATTTGAAAAGAGAACACACACATCTATAAGAATTGCTACAGTAATCGCCTAGAATTGCTGGCAACGTGAAAACGAGATTTTTGGCGCAATATTGGAGGTGTCGATTTACGGACGAGCCATATGGATTGTTAAAAGGCGCATCAGGACCTTTTTCAATTACAAAAACATTTTTTTTTAACAAAAATTGGATTTTTTTGTTTGGTGCAAAAAAAATTCCAAGAGAATCCTATCAATTTCCGAATTTTTTCAAAATTTCCGCAATTCGACGAAGTGGACAACAAAAAATTTCGTTTTGTTTAAAAACGACCAACCTGCAAACGATCCTCGACACCCGTCAAACACAACAATTGAAGGTCCTTCTCGAGCATCCGATTCACAACGCACGCCATATTCTGCGATCGGTCCGATATCGACATTTTTGCCGCGTGATAGGCGCGATCGAACGCCTCGAGCTCGGCGGCCGACAGCGATTTTCGCGCGACGACCAGCGTTCGGAGGCCCTCGCGCGCCATATTGCTGCACTCCTCGTCGAGCCAATCGTTGTATTGGACCATTCCGCTCATCACCGTGTCGGCGCCCTTCATCAACAGACTCACCTCGTCGGTCGTCTCGTCTTTCACAATAATTCCCATTCGTTTCGTCTCGCTGGTGAATGGAAAAACGTGCAAAATCTAAAAACAAAATCTTGACATGGTACTAGGGCTTTAGCGGTCGTGGTCCCACCTGGAATTGTTTCGTCAAGAATTGCCCGTTCGGCATCCGAATGCTCAATTGAATCGAGTGAAGATCGCGGCTAGCGAGTCGCACGCCGACACTCTCCGTCCATTTCACTAGGGCCACCTGTCAAAACGATCGACTAGTTCACACCGTCGACACTCAATGGTCCCTACCTCGTCGGGACTCGCCGCCTGATACGACGTCTCGCCATTCTCGAATATCGGCGTCACATTATGGCAGAGCGCAATCGCTTCGACCGCATTCTGAAGTTTCGCCGAAAACGAGTGCCTGAAATGTTTAGGGACCATCATGAACATTGGCGGGGACCACGATGAGATTACTTGGCAAGACGTCCAGCATAGGCGCTTATAACGTGTTGGCTGACTTCTTCGAAAGCATCACTACTGAACGCAACCGTTCCCAAATGAATCTAAATTTGGAGAAAAAAATTGTATGAAGTTGCGTGCGCCTTTAAACATTGGCCAAGTCATCAAAAACCGATTACGGTAGGCAACATTTATAGTTTCAATAGGAGGTAATGCGCCTTTAAATCCTTTTTCACAAAAAAAAAGAACGAACGCGCCTTTAATGCTTATTTAAACAGACAATCTTCGCGTCAAGACCCAAATGAAGATGCGCCTTGAAATTTTTGAATTTCAAAAAAAAAAAAAAGGATCGCAAGCCGATAATTACAGTAGGAATCTCTTGAGGGACCTCATTTTTCCGTAGAAACTCAATACAAAAAGGTGGGTGATCGTTTAATCATCGCTTCAAGACCCAACTGGTGATGCGCCTTTCTCAAAGCTTCATTCGTTTTCTGCCGCTCGCCAACCTTTTTGAAGTGCATCTCATTCTTGGTGAGTGTGCCCGTTTTGTCGGACAACAAAAACGAGATGCGTCCCAACTCTTCGGGAATCGTCGACGATCGCACAACCGTGTCGGGAATCTTTTTGTCGCGTCCGATTTGCCACGAGTAGAACAGTTTGGCCATGTCGAGATTGACGCGCAACGAGATCGGAATGATGTAGGAGAATAGCAGAATGAAGCGCACCACATAGCGATACCAGAGGCCGTCGAGACCTGAAAGCAAGAAAAACAAAATCAATAATCGTTGCCTATTTTGGAATGAGATTGATTTGGGTCTCGCAACGATCGGTGTCGATTTACGCCACAACATGACATTGTCCGTGTGGAGTACACAAGCGCAACATTTTCGCCATTTTTTGGCATTTTTTCGCCGATTTTTCGACCGTTTTCAAAAAAAAAACAAAAAAATTCACCAACCTTTCATGACAACCATAACCGCCGAGAGAACGACGACAAAAATGAAGAGCACTTTGGTCAAGTTGTTCACCTGAAAAATAACACCGAGCATTTTCAGAAATATCATAAAAATTTCATTTCATTTTTTTTTGGAGATTTCAAAAATCGATGAAAACCCACTTTTTTCGTTTTTTCCCCCAAAATTCTCAATACCACAATTTTTATGTATTTTTTTCGTGTCGAGACCCGTCTCAAAAATTCGAGAATATGCGCCCATGGCTACAATACTAAAAAATACCGTAATTCTAGAGTCATCCTTTTTTAAATATTCAAAAATTGAATTGATTCAAATTTTCATGGGAAACTCGACAAAAAAAAAGTTTTTTAGGCCCAAAAAAATTCAATTTTCGTGCAAATTTCTAGAGAAAAAATTATAATTTCTATACAAAAAATGGCAAAATTTTCGCAATTCCTCAAAAAATATATAAAAAATTCAAAAGAAAAACCAATTTTCTCACCTCCAAATCCAACAATCCGACTTTGCTTTCGGGCAACGTCGTATTCATGACACTCCTCGTCTCTCGTCCCGTGTACACCACAATTCCGATTGCGGTTCCCGAAGCGACGACCGTGTTCGCCCACAAAACGTTCTCAACGTTCAGCGAACCGTCTTGAACATTATCATCTTGCGTGATCTGAAGAACACACAATTCCATTCGTGGCCGACAATCGAACGCGACGCAAACCTTCATGGTCCCAACAAACGCGTGAATGTCCTTCTGCGGCTTCTCGGCATAAATCTCGCAATTCAATTCCATGATATCCTGCATTTAAAAAAAAACCACCGTCGGGTACAAATAGAAATAGGCCAAATATGGCAAAATTCAACACTTACTGCTTCATTCATCAAATGTTGTGTTATCGGCACCGGTATCCTCAGCTTCCAATCCGTCTCGCCATCCAATTGATCCGTCCGAATGAAGCATGCTCCAGATTTGTCTGTCGTCCTACAAAAATAATTCAAATTTCACATTTTTTCAAAATTTCAAACCAAAAAATCTCAATTGAAATGAATGTTTTTTCAAATATCCCAACGAGACCCGCACAAAAATAAATTCAAAAATCATTTTTTTTTTGAGTGCGATCGATTTATCATTTAAATTTGCCCTTCTTGGTTCTTTTTGGAGCGAGTTTTGCCAAAAATTAACCAACATAAATGTGAAAACGAGCAAAATTCATTTATGATTTTTTAAGTGCCAAATGACACATTTGATTTTTTAGGACCCAATTAATCGTCAATTCAAAATTTCCCAAGTCCGTCACTTTTTCAATAGCATTTTATTGGAATTGTCGATTACCTCAAAAGCACGATGTCGGCCGGCACTCGTCGATCTTTATGAATGATGATCACGTCGCCGACTTCGATGTCGCAGCTTTTGATCTCCACACGTGTGCCGTCGCGCGTCAATTTTTCGTATCGTTCGCCGTTCAGCTCTTTGTCGCGTAAATATCGCACGAAATCATCGAACGCTTCTCGAATTAGTGTGACGGTGAGGACGAAACCCTAATAAGAACAATTTTTAAAGGGGCGAAAAAAAATAATATTTTCAAATCGCAAATTTGAATCGGCATGTGCTCCTTAGCACTGTTCAGACACGCCCATTGATGCAATATTTGTGATTGTTACAACGATGATCAATCATTATTAACATTGTGGTTCGCTATGAACTATTGCTTTTTCTATTTGTATTTTTGTTAGTTTTATAACCTACTTATATTTTATTCTTGCCTCGTTTATTAAATAAAAGGTTTAATTACCCAAGTTTGAGGTGTCAAAACATTGGTGCATCGACAATTCGAACTTGGACGCAAACGTGTGCAGCAGAGAAGCCACTCAGCTGTTAAGTGGAACGTTTGAAGTCGACGACATCGGTGTGAAGTCGAAGACATTGGTGTGACGTCGAAGACATTGGTGTGACGTCGAAGACATTGGTGTGACGTCGAAGACATTGGTGTGACGTCGAAGACATTGGTGTGAAGTCGAAGACATTGGTGTGACGTCGAAGACATTGGTGTGACGTCGAAGACATTGGTGTGAAGTCGAAGACATTGGTGTGACGTCGAAGACATTGTTGTGAAGTCGAAGACATTGGTGTGACGTCAAGAATTGGCTGGACGTAGAAGTTGGATAATTTTTGGACGACTTGGTTATCACCCTGTTAACCCAATCGTCGTTTGGAACAATTTCTTTGATTCGTGGGCCATCAGACAACAAGTGATACGGAGCTTTGGAAGCTCACCAGTTTGCCTAGGTTTGGAAACCAACTGGTTATCGCGGACGACAAGCGGAGTCGAGCAGTGCAAATTTAACAAGTCAGTTTATTTACGATAGATTCACCCTGTTCTTCCTTTTTTTTTTGAGATAATCTTGAATAGTTCTAACATTTGTTTATTTTCCAAACTCGTGTTGTTACCACGTAGGCCTGAGGGATCTAGTTCGGAAAAGCCGACGGTTATAGGATTCAGAAAACTTCCGGAATTGCAATACATTCACGAAATTGCATCATCTTTCCATTTTCTAATATCTTTTTCTTATCTTATCGATTCAGCTCAATATTAATCATCCCTATAACGCTAAAAACAATTGGATTTCTGGTTGCCCGTTATAATTGCATGACTAACATATAACTTTGCTGACAAAATGTCAAGTCTGTCGAGTCTGTTGGGGCTATGTACCAAGGCAGAAAAATTGTTTGAAGAAGAGTATTTAAAATTAGTTGCTAAGCAAGGCGTATGGGAGAGTGTAGCTAGAAACCATGAAGCGTTGGAAGAACTGGTGGATGAGATAGAAGAAGAAATGTATAAGATGGAAACTCTAGCAACGAAGGTACAAACAAGGTTGGATAAGTTGGTTGAGACGATAGATGAGCTTGAGGAAGCGACACAAGAGGACGAAATAAAAGTGAAAACCAAAATGATGAAGAACGAAGAAATTCAAGACAAAACTGACCGCATGACAAACTTGTACCGACCGAAATTATTCACACTGAAGAAGAAGTTGAAAGCAAACACAGGAGATACAAGAAGACAAAATGTTACGGGAAACAAACCGTTGAACATCGGACTATCAGAAATACGTATACCAGAATTTCATGGGAATCCAAATGAATTCGTTGCATTTTGGACCATATTTGAAGAAGCCGTTCATATGAATGACAATATGTCAAATGTGTTGAAATTTTCATACTTGATGAATGCATTGAAAGGAAAAGCAAAGATTGCTGCAAGCAGATTCCCAGTAACCAATGAAAACTATCCGCAAGCAATTGCCTTTATCAAGGAGAAATTTGGAAACGACAAAATACGAGTGAAAGAATTGGGAAAACAACTCAAGAATTGTAAAGCACAGTCGAGTAACATCGAAGATCAACAGATGTTATTCGACGAAGTAGCGGCAACTTTGAATCAATTGGAAACTAGCGGAGAAGCAATGGATATCGAAATGACCAGAGAATTGATTACGAAGAAATTCTCGCGAGAAATCCAAAAGAGTGTCTACCGAATGCGTGAAGAATCACCGGAAGATTGGAATTTGACCACACTGATGAAAAGCCTGGAAAAGACTTTGAAAACGGAAGCGAATGTTGAGAACGACTGTGAAAACGAACATGTCAGAGAAGTGAAACAAAATGTGGTTCGAAGAAATATAGTTAACGAAAAACTATTCCGGTGTTATTTCTGTGAGAAAAATCACCGCGCAGACAATTGTCCTAATTATTCTTCTATTGACGAGAAATGGAAACGAATTAAGGAACTCAAAAATTGTTTTAATTGTTTAAAATCTGGGCATTCCTCAAGAGAATGCAGAAGCGAGAAATGCAGAAACTGTCAAAGAAGTCATCATCGATTGTTGTGCAAAAACATAAATAACAGGAACAATAAAGCACAAAAAACAACAGCGAAGAAGAAAAATGACGGAGGGAGTCATCAAAACGTTTCAATACCAGTACGACAGGAAGATCAACGAGAAGTCAGTCGAACACGTCAAGCACATCAAAATTTTGTGAATGGGACAGGCGACAGCTATTTACCTACAGTTCAGATGTGGGGATACAGCCCAGCAACGTCGGAGTGGAAAAAAATCGTCGTGATGCTTGATTCTGGAGCGAATTCGACATATGTGAAAAAGTCAATCGTAGAAGACTGGCAATTGGAGATGGTTCGCGAAGAATGGGTGAAACTACAAACATTCGGACAAATCGCGAAGAATCCAGAAAAATACCAAGTTGCAAAAATCTTGATAGACAAAGGAAACAACCAAAGAATTGAAGTTGAAGCGACAGTAAAAGATTATCTTGTGGAACCAATCGATAAACCAGTGCTGGATGACCGTGATTCAAAGTTCCTGGAAGACGAAGGTATCACTATCAATCCGGAATGCTTAAAAACAATATCAGATCCCGATGTAGTTGTTGGTAATGATTACATTTATGAATTCTGGATGCAGCACACACTTCCATCAGGATTGACATACATCTTAACCACAAATGGTGCAGTAATCACTGGACGTAGAGCTGACCATGATGATATGAAGATGAAACAGGAAAACTCGACACGACGAGTGAATACGGTAGTGCGCAACGTCGTAGAAAACGTCATTGAATTTGAAGAAATGAAACAAGGAGAAATCGCTGGACCAGTGAATGACGAAATTCACCAAGAAAATGAATTGGTACTAAAACGAATTGAAGATACAATGGAAAAACGAAGTGATGGATATTATGTGGAGCTACCGTGGAAGGACGGAGCTGAGACTCTACCAACAAACTTCACATTAGCATTAAAAAGATTGGAAAGTGTTTTCAGATCCTACCCTATTGAAATACTACGTAAGATTGACGAAATTTTTAAAACACAGTTGAATCAAGGAGTGTTAGAAACAGTCGGGAATCCGGAAAAGTCAGAAGGAATTGTTCATTACAACCCTCATCGTCCAGTGATCACACCAACCAAACATACAACGAAGGTTCGAGTAGTAATTGACGGTTCAGCACACTACAAGAATGAGTCTTCACTGAACGATTATCTTTTTCAAGGACCAACAATGATGCCTTCATTGACAGGAGTTTTAACACGGTTTCGAACAGGAGAAGTAGCCATCGCGGCGGATGTTGAAAAGGCTTTCTTAAAAGTCCGAGTCATAGAAAGAGACCGAGACGCAACGAGATGTCTTTGGGTCAAAGATGTTGAGAAGAGCACGACACCCGAAAACATGCTAATTGTTCGATTCACTCGAGTAATATTTGGACTAAACTGTTCACCATTTTTGCTAGCAGCAACGATTCATAATCACTTGACAAAAGATAAAGAAACCCCTGAAATCGCGCAATCAATTTGGGAAAACTGTTATGTTGACAATGTAATCTTGACAACTGATTCATCAGGAACGGATATATACAAACAATGCAAGCGTCTGTTTGATGAACAAAATATGAATATACGCGAATTCATGTCGAATTCGAAGGAATTCATGGATTTCGTTGCAGAAAAAGACCGATCAACTGACGAAAACCCGAAGATTTTAGGAATTTCTTGGAACTGTGATCAAGATGAATTGACGTTCCGATGTAACATCAAAGACGAAGCCGATGGGAAGGTGACGAAAAGAATCGTATCACAAGCAATTGGAGCAGTATACGACCCGATGGGAATACTTTCACCTCTTATGCTGCCGCTGAAACTTTTTTGAGAAAATTATGGAATCGAAATTTGACGTGGGATCAAACACTTGACGAAGATCTACAACTTGAATGGGACACTATTAAGCAGCAAGCAAATGGATTTTCGAAAACATTGCCAAGGAAAATCATGCCGAAACATGGGCCAATGAAAATAATTGTTTTTGCTGATGCAAACATCAATGCAACTGCAGCGTGTATTTACGTGATTGATTCGGAAGCACATCTATTGCGCGCAAAGCAGAAGCTAATTCCGAAGGATGATGTATGGACGATTCCAAAATCGGAAATGACCGCGATTCGAAATGCATGCGAATTGGCGAAAGAAGTTTTACATGATTTACAAGAAGGATCGAAATTTGTGGAACATCTCATAATTTTTTCGGATAGCGACATTGCCCTCAAATGGATCAAACGATCGCCTGGGAAAAAAGAAATTGGAGCATTCATTAATAACCGACTACGGGACATTCGAAAAATCGTTTTTGATTTAATGAACTCCAACACTCATGTACAATTTGGACATGTTCCAACATCAGAAAACGTCGCGGATATTGGAACAAGAGGATCCGGCAAAGACGAGTTTGCTGAACATCAGTGGTGGACGGGACCAAGAGAATGGCTGAAAAGCGAAGAATGTGAGAAAAGTTTATTTTCAATAAATGATACCGAAGGCTTCGAAATTCAGAGAATTGCAGCAGTCCGAAAGGTAGTTACGAACAGAGAATCGCTATTTGGAAATATCGAAGGAAAATCGATTACTCGAATGAAAAAAGTTGCAGCATTTGTAATTCGATTTATCAATCGTTCTATAAGCAAATTGTCA